TCAGGGTTTACTCCTGGCGGTGCTCGGGAGACCATATGGGATACTGGGAATTGAACATGGGTCAGCCCAGCCCCATGCCTCGTGTGCTTGAAGCCTTGGACTGGAAGCCAGCAAGACACATTTACCTACTCACTTGTGCCTTCTCTCTTCCTCCTGACCCACAGCATCACAGACTGTGGACCTCATAGCCCTACAATCCTGCCCTAGTGTGGCCCCAACAAAAATAAAAGCACGAGTTACACTACTGTAGTGTAGTGTCGATGTATACTGTAAAATGAGGCTACCACTTTGGAAAAGTCCTTAAAGTGATTAAGACAGAGCTAACATTTTGCTGGAGTAATTCCACTCCTACATTCAAGTTCATTCATGCCCGAGAGTGAAGCATACACAAAAATTCTCACCTCAGCATTATTCATAAGAACTGAAAAAAAAGAACAAACTAAATATCTATTACCTGATGACGGAACAAAATATGGGCTACCCATGCTAGGAGTATTATTTGTCAATGAAAAGGAGTCAAATCCTGAAACAAGCCACAACATGAATGAAACACAAAAACCTTATGCACAATGAAGAAACCAGAAGATCCAGTTACAGAAGATCCAGTCGGTTGATTCTGTTCATATGCAATGACCAGAGAAAAGCAAATCACAGGAAGCAGACAAGTGGTGGTTAGGGGCTGCAGGGGAAGAGAGGAAGTGATTTGTCTGGGTGATGAAAATGTTCTAAAATCGTGGCTGTGCAGAACAGATGGTTGGAAGGGCTGAAGCACACACTTTGCATGTGGGACTCCCGTTGTTTTGTTGTTTTCTATTTGTGCCACACTCATATGTGCTCTGCAGTCATGCCTGGCAGTGCTGGGGGAACATACGCCATGGAAGGCAAGTGCCCTATTCATTCAAGGTGTATTATCTCTCAGCTCCAAGGTTTGAAGCCCTGAGCCAAGCCAACTTTTTCCAAACCCCATTGCCTGACCCAGCCCTCAAGCACTGCCAGGTGTGGCCGCAAACCCCCAAATCAATTAAACTGTGGCTCTAGTTGTACAACCCTGAGAATTTTTAAAAGATTTAAAATAAATAGGCCAATTATATTTTATTATTTAAAAGAAAGTTCTTTCATGGAGATGACCATCGACAAATCAACATGAAGATCAAAGAGGCATATTCAGTGATCATTTTTCTGAAATCCTTAAAACTGGAATTATAAACAGCATCATAAAGCTACTTGAAATTTTCATTTTATCTTTTTTAAGTTGCTCAATCATTGTTAAATCTAATTGTGAAAATAAACTTGGGAAAATAAACCAGGGAAGCACTTCCCGAAACGGTAGCAACAATTGGAAAATAACAGGAATCCCAATCTTTAGTTATGGACAATTTATTTGTTTTGCTTTTTGGGCCACACCCAGCGATGCTCAGGAGTTCAGGAATTACTGCTGGCATGTTTGCGGGACCACATGGGATGCTGGAGATGGAACCCGGGTAGGCCTTGTGCAAGGCAAACGCCCTACCCGTTGTACTATCTCTCTGGCCCCTGAACAATTTCTTCTGAAGGGGCGGTCTCAATGTTCTATTTGATTTATGGCTGAAAAAAAAAATTGCGGGTGACCTAGTTTGATTTTCCCAAGCGATGAGTATAGTAACTAAGGAAATCAACAAACTTCTCCAGTTCACTGCTGTTGCTTGTAAATAGGGTACAGGCTTCGCTTCTGCCGGGTATTGGCATTTGCCAACCTCTCACTTACATACAGAAGCGTTTATGATCAACATTAGAGCATTTGAAAAATGAGGCTGAAAGCGTTTGGGTGCCAAGGGCAGTTGATTCAGCAGCAAACATCCCCGTCCCCTGTCCCCTCCAAGTCCAGGAAGAGAGACCATCACTTAAGGGACAGGACCTACGTCTTAGGTCGTGAGGGATCATGGGAAATAAAACAAAACCGTGTCCTAAGCCGGGGCCGGTGAGAAGAGGAGAGGAAATTATGGGGTCCGGGACCGGCTAGCATCTTCCTAAATCCCAGGCGCCCGTCTTTGACCTTGCTCAGAGCCTGCAACCCGCGCACGTGGCGAGGCGGAGACTAGCGAGTCACGTGGGTGCCGCGTCGAAACGCCGCCTCCGGCACCGGGTTTCACATCCCAGGGCCTGGGAGAGAAAGTCACTGCCGATCGCTTGCGGGGGGGGGGGGGGGGGGCGGGGGGGGTAGAGAGGGGTTGTCTAACCCCAATGCACCGCTGCAAAACCCCAGGAGGCCTAACTCACCCTTGAGCAAGGGGAGCAGAAAGCCGTGCAGTTAAAGGAGCGTTTTCCCCCAACTTTCCTGCATCTTTCCCTCCGTTTCACCCCAAGACGCGCCCCCGCCGGAGCGCCGAGCGCGAAGACCAAAGCCGCGGCCAGGTCGATCCCATTCGCGGGTCGCGGCTGGGACGGGGAGGGCGTGGCTTCGTGACGTCAGAGCGGGCGGGACGACCTGCCTGGGACGAGAGGCGTGGCTTCGTGACGTCAGAGGGGCGGGGCGACCTGCCCAGTCCTGGAGCCTGGGACTTCCGGATGGCGCGGGGGCTAGGGGTGGGGAAGTTCGGTTTGCCCCTTTCCCCGCCTCCTGGCACTCGGTCCTGCCTCCACGAGAGGCGCCCACATTTCCCCAGCACCCCTCGGAGGCGGGACCTCGGTCAAGCTCCACGGTCCCCCTGCCCAGCCGCCCGCTCTCGCCGCTTCCTAGCTCCTCGCTGGTCAGCTCCGGGCGTGCGCCCTCTCTCGCGAGAGTCCGGCCGCGTCCTCTCGCGCGGGTGGGCGGAGCCCGCGCGGCGCGCAGCCGCAGAGCGTGCGGGGCGGTGCCGGCTGACGCAGCGCCCGTCGCTGCCATTTTAAGTTGTTTGTTCTCGTCGGCTTCCTCGCAAACGCGACTCTACCTCCCCGGACCCGGGAGGCGCCCGAGGCCGCCGCCGCCGCCGCCGCCGCCGCTTCCGCAGCCACCGCGGCCGCGCTCACCCTCCGCGTCTCCGCCACGTCCGAGCGCCGGAAGCCCTCCGCGGGGGAGAGAAGCCGGAGAGCGAGAGACTCGCGAGCAGATGCTTGAACTGAAATAACTTTTCCCCCTCCCTCCTTTTTTTTTTTCCTTAAAAAAAAGCCTGGGGGTTTTGGCTTCGCCGACAGCCCCTCTCTCCTAGCGCAGGGCTCTCCCCTTTTCCCTCCCCCCCCTCACCCTCCTCTCCCCGCCGCCTCGGCGCTTCGGGTCTCTCTTCCGCCTCCCTCCCTTCCCCCTCCCTCCCTCGCGGGTCGATCGATCTGTTTTCTTTTTCTTGATTTTTTTTTTCTCCCCTCGCCGTCGCCTCCGTGTCCTGCCGCCGCCGCCGCCGTCGCCGCCGCCGCCCGGGGCGCCGAGCCAGACTATGGGTCCCAGGTGGGGGCCGAGCGGCGGCAGCAGCGCGGGCGGCCCGGTCACTGTGCGCACTGCAGCGGGGATGGAGGGGCGCGCCCGGCTGGTGCTCTTCTCTTGACATGGCTCCTGCCCGCGCCGCCAGCAGCGCCCCCGCCGCCGCCGCCGCCTCGTCCGCCGCCGCCGCCGCCGCCGCCGCCACCGCGCCGCCCGCCGGCTGCGGCTAAGAGGGTCCCCGCCGCGTCGGTCCGAGAGCCGCGGGCACCGGCAGGGCCGCCGCCGCCGCCGCCGCCTGGGGGCCACCCTCCCTCTCTGACCTCCGCCCCCCACCCCCCACCCCACCCCCTCCAGCATCTTCTCCGGGACCCCCAAGCCGGGCCACCCCACCCCTCCCGCGCCAGCCAAACTTGGGGCGGAAACATGGTCTGTTGCACGTGAGAGCGAGCTCCCCTCCGGAAGCCGGGGAAACTTGGGTTTATTTATTTTTTTCTTTTTCTCCCCCCACCCCCATTTTAAAAAAAAGTTCTATTTTGCGGGTGGGCCGGGGTTGTGGGCCTGCCTTCCCCCCCCTTTCCCTCCCTCCCCCAATTACTAGGAACCCAACTGTTTGCTTCCTTCCCCCCACCCACCCATCCCCTCCACTGGGTCCTTCCCGTCGCCTCCCACCAGGAATTGAGGGTTTTTTTTTTTTATTTTCCCTCCTCCACCGTGCCAAATGAGTTGAGAACCCGAGCGAGCCGGTGCCTGCCGGGGTACGAGTGAGTCGGACCTTGCAGGATCGGAGTTTGGGGAGCTGCGCCTTGGCACCGGCTGGTGGTCTGTCCGGTTCCCCCCCCCACCCGCCCGGGCGCTGCCTAGGACTCGGGAGAGGAAGGACCCCGCCGCTCTTTTTTTCTTTCTTTTTTGGCCTCGGCCATGCCCGACGCGAGGATCAGATAAAACCCACTTGCCCCTCGGAGGTCTCGGAGCGCGGCAGATCCGCACGGAGGCTCCTGGGGGTGGGGGGGGGGGGATGTAGGACTCGCCAGCGGTGCTGCGGTTGCTAGGAGACCCCTCCGGGCATCCTTCAGGCCTGCCACCGCAGGGCCCCGAGCCCCTTCCACCGTCGCTGGAAAAAAAAGCTCCCAGGGACACCCTCCTTGCCCGGTGCCATCATGATTCTCCTTGGCAGCAGCGTCAGCAGCCGCCTGAGGGTGAAAATGCGGGTGATGGGGAAGCTGGTAGTGACTCCGCGGTTTTTCCTCCTGGCTGCCGTGGGCACCCGCTGCCCGCCCCCGGTCTACACTGTAGTTGATTGCAGGGAAACCCTGTACCTCTCCCCTTCCTTCTCGGCTGGTTTTGCACTTTTCTCTCTGCTCACCACCAAGGGTAATCAATAACAAGCACTGACGATACAATAGCAATAGTGAAATCTGAAATATAACTAAGATTAATTAGGTACTACAGCCATGGATCTGGCTGGGTAAAATCCAATTTGGATATTTCAGTTTCATTCACCTACCCTGATTTTTCTTTTTCTTTTTTTTTTTTTCACCCCCTCCCTAAACTTTTGGGAGGGGAGGTGGTTGTGGGGTTTTTTTTTTTTCCTGATAATTGGAAAGCAAGGATCACAGTTTCTCCACTCCTACCCCTTTCCTTTTCGCAATTCCTCTTAAAGAGGGGGAAGTATTCGGGTGGATTTGAAGGATCGGATTGGCCTCAGCTGTGTGGTATTGCACACCTAAATCCTGATAATAAGGCTTTCCACCTCCCATTCCCCCTCCAATAGCTTTACTTTGGCAGTTAAGCCAAAGGTGTTTTCCGAAAAATTAGTTCAGATGTAACTTTCTCCTTTTCTTTCTGTCTCCTCCTTTTGCCCATTGAACCCCAAATGTTATTGTCCAAACATGAGTGGACAGCAGCTTTTGTTTCTTGACCCTGTAATATGACAGTCTGCTAATATTGCCAGAAGGTGCAGTTTTGGGGTTACAGTTGTGATTTTTAGCTATTCAAATCATATTAGCAGGAAAAAAAAATGACTTGTTTCTGTTGTACTTGAGTCTTAAGAAAAAGTGCCCATAGTTTAGTGACAATTTCCAAAGGCTTTAGTACCACCTGTATTTCAAAATGGGGGACCCAAACTCCCGGAAGAAACAAGCTCTGAACAGACTACGTGCTCAGCTTAGAAAGAAAAAAGAATCTCTAGCTGACCAGTTTGACTTCAAGATGTATATTGCCTTTGTATTCAAGGAGAAGGTAACTTCATGTTCTTTATGTAAATTAGCGTGAGTGGTTTTTGTTAAATGTGTATTGTTCACCTTTTAATAACAGTATTTGGTTAAGTTGGCTGTAAATAAATTTTTAGGACTGGGGGTGTAGCTTGGTCGTACTTGCCTTGCTTATTTGGGACCCCGGTGAAAAATTTATATATGAATTGTGTGCTGTGACTCCTGTGTTTCTCTGAATGTAGCTGGAATGTAACTGAATGGAAAGCTTCAGCACTAGTTGGTTTAGACATGTTTAATTCCCAAGCTTAGAATCACCTTTCATTAAGTGCAGTAGCCAAGATTCTAAAACTTTGACAGTAAGTTTCATCTGTGTGAACTTTTAAACTAAATGTAAAGATTACCTAAGGAAGGAATAAACAGGATATTTGAAAGGTAAATTAGAATTAAAATGATTTATGTTAAAATTAGTCAATTTTGGTACATTCAATAAACTGGGACTTAGTTTGGAGTCATTATATACTGGTTAATTTATGCTTAAAGGACAGTTTGTTCTAAGATTTAAAGTCACTTAGGGTTTACTTAAAGGAAGAGTAAGATAAAAGAAGTTTTTGCACCTTAATCATGGACAGATTAGGTTCTGAATTTAAGGAAACAGAATTTTGATGTATTTGTTTTAATTGTGAGTTCAGATTAGAAATATATTGCATGATAGCTAAGATTTGAATGTGCTCCCAGGCTACTAACTTGATTTTTTTTTAAGGCTTATTAGTATTTAAAATGTTTAGAGCAGTAGCACAGCTAGTAGAGTGTTTGCATGTGGCCAACCTGGGTTCAGTCCCTGGTCCCTGATATGGTTTCCCAGGCCCGCCAGGCTGATCCCTAAGCAGAGCCAAAAGTAAGAGCTGAGCATTGCTGGGTGTGAACCAAAAAAGTTGGGGGGGGGGGAGGGAGGAGGGAAGATAGCCTTTATATAGAACCTGACCAGTGAAAGCACATCTAGAGTAAATGACTAACTCAGCAATTTTGGTGGTGGAGGGGTTAAAACACAGGGTCCCACTTGAAAGCATGTAGTCTGCAAATGAGCTACATTTTTAGGCCTTACTTACCTGTTTATGGTACTGTGCTGCCTGGGGATGTGGCCGAGCTATTTCCCTATCCCTTTAAGTTTTAATTTTTCAACCTTAGAAGGGTGCCTCCTATTTTTTCCTTACAGCTTCTAGGACAACCAAAAATAAGTAAGTTGATATGGATACCATAATGCTTCCTGCCATCTTCGATTTAAGATTTCTGATATTAGCCATTTCTGTTGTGTGCTTGGGGTCGGAATTGAAGGTTATCTTTCAAAATGCTCAGTAAAAGATTATTTTTGGTTATGAATCTTGCTGAGTTAGAACAAAGGTACATTACATTGTAATATGAACTGGGTGTTAAGATTGTTGGCGTTGGATTAATGATAGCTTTTTTTTTTCCAGAAGAAAAAATCAGCACTTTTTGAAGTGTCTGAGGTTATACCAGTCATGACAAATAATTATGAAGAAAATATCCTGAAAGGTGTGCGAGATTCCAGCTATTCCTTGGAAAGTTCCATAGAGCTTTTACAGAAGGATGTGGTACAGCTTCATGCTCCTCGATACCAGTCTATGAGAAGGGTAAGTTCCATTTAAATTCTTCATGTGCTGAGTTTTTATGAGATGAGCTAGCGTTTCTCCCCCCAAGAATAATTACTGTTGCCTCTGTTTTTTGGGGGGGGAGAAGGGGGCCACACCTGGGGGTGGTGCTCAGGGCTTACTCCTGGCTCTGCACTCAGGAATCACTCCTAGCAGGGTTCAGGGGACTATATTAGATATTGGGGATCGAACTAGGTTTTCCTCGTAATAGGTGAGCGCCTTACCCACTGACTACTATCTCTTCGGCCCCTACTGTTGCTTCTTTTAAAGGCTATGCCAAAAGATACCCATGTAGAAATTTTATAGCATTGTGCTATAAAATGGTGTACATTATTTTGTGAATAATGTTCTAGAGAGTTGTTCATTGAGCTAATTAATATTTAGGCAGAAGGAGGGCTAATAGATTATGTCCCTTCTAAATTAACAGCTTAAAGTATCACTGTCCGCTGTCCTCCCATTGTTCATCGATTTTCTCGAGCGGGCCCAGTAACGTCTCCATCGTGAGACTAGTTGTTACTGTGTTTGGCATATGAAATACGTCCCCGGGAGCTTGCCAGGCTTTGCCGCGCGGGCGAGATACTCTTGTAGCTTGCCGGGCTCTCCAAGAGGGGCGGAGGAATTGAACTCGGGTCGGCCATGTTGGCTGCGTGCAAGGCAAACGACCTACCGCTGTGCTATATGATGCCAATTTTTTAAACAGAATTCTCTGGGTTTTTGGAAGTCAAACCTAGGTGAGCTCTGTGTTAAGACTATGGCGTTAAGACTACGGCATGGGAGAGGTAGAGGTAATTTACCGTCAACAGATGAGAAAAATTGCATTGCTGGTGTCATAAGAAGGCAGTGATTCATATTAGGTGATTGATTAATTGGTTTTGATTTTGAAGAGTTGAATTAAAGGTATCAGATTTTTTTTTTTTAAGATGAGAGCACACACCCTTGAGAATATAAAAATGCTGTAAAGACGGGGTTAAGGTGATAGCTCAAAGGGCTAGAGTACATATTTTACATGTGGGAGCCCTGGATTTGAGCCCTAGTGTTGCTGGGAGTAGCTCAAGAATAAGAACTTGATGTGAGAAACATTGCATTGAGACTGTACATGATCACTCCTGGCAGGCTTAGGGGACTGTATGGGGCTCCACGACTGTATATAATCTGGGTTATTTGTGTGCAAGGCAAGTGGATTGCATGGACCATAGTGCTTCGTGCACATGGGTTCTTAAAATAAAAATTAGTATTAGATTCTGCACTGTTTAGATGATACACAGTCCTATTACTATGCCCATTATGTAATTACTGGAATTTGTCAATTTAGAGAATATTCCTATAGTTAATAGGTAAACTGACATTGTTAGAACGTCAGAAATGTTTTTTTTTTTTTTTTTGAGACTGTACATGATCACTCCTGGCAGGCTTAGGGGACTGTATGGGGCTCCACGACTGTATGTAATCTGGGTTATTTGTGTGCAAGGCAAGTGGATTGCATGGACCATAGTGCTTCGTGCACATGGGTTCTTAAAATAAAAATTAGTATTAGATTCTGCACTGTTTAGATGATACACAGTCCTATTACTATGCCCATTATGTAATTACTGGAATTTGTCAATTTAGAGAATGTTCCTATAGTTAATAGGTAAACTGACATTGTTAGAACGTCAGAAATGTTTGTTTTTTTTTTTTTTTTTTTGCTATCTTCCAGGATGTAATCGGCTGTACTCAGGAGATGGATTTCATTCTGTGGCCTCGGAATGATATTGAAAAAATTGTCTGTCTCCTGTTTTCTAGGTGGAAGGAATCTGATGAGCCTTTTAGGCCCGTTCAGGTATTTTATTCTAAAATTAGTTTGGTAAGCACTTGTGTAAGTCTAATTGGAATAATGTATAAGTAGGCAGTTATTTGTAGTAACTTCTATTTCATAAGTCTCTCTAGTCTCTTTGCTGAAATGGTATGTTCTGCTGTTTGTAGGAAGTCTGATGTATGTTTCTTTAAATTGATTTTGTAAATTCAGTGGTGGGAGGTTCTTTTTTTGGTTTTTGGGCCACACTGGTGGTGCTCAGGGCTTACCTACTCTTGGCTCTTCTCTCAGAGATCACTCTGGTTGGGCTCAAGGGATCATATGGGTTCCGGAGATTGAACCCAAGTCAGGCGTATACAAAGGCAAGCACTTTACCTATTATGTTACCTCTTTGGCCCCTATGTCTTGTGGATTTTCAACTTGTCATTTTATGTGCTTTAAAGCTTTTATATTAAGAGCATTTCCCCTTTTGTTGGTGTTCCTAATTTTTTGGTTTTGGGGGTGGCTTGGGGGAGTCCCTCACCTGTGCTAGGATTGACTCCTGGGCTCTGCACTACGGGATCATTTTCAGCCGGGCTCTGGGACCATATGGCATGCCAGGAGTCCAGCCCTGGTTGGCTGCATGGGAGGCAAGTGCCCTATGCGCTGTACTATTGCTGTAGCCTTCCCTCATGACTTTGATAAAAAAAGAACGTATTTAGACTTATTGACTTAATGATTGATTGATTGCTACATCCCTGGTGGTTAGGGACTACTTATTTCGACTGGCATATTGCTCTTCAGACAGTCTCCTGGTGGTGGGGGATAGCGTGAACCTCAGGCCTGTGCATGGAAAACATGCACTCCAGCCCTTTGAGCTGCCTCCCTGGCCCTGTCTTCCATAAGAGTTCTTTTGGGGGGAAAGGGGGCATCCCTGGTGGTGCTTGGGGTTTACTCATGACTGTGCTCAGAGATCACTCCAGGCAGGGTTTGGAGAGCCAGGAATCACACCTGTGTTGGCTGAGTGCAAGGCAAGCGCCGTGCCTGGTCTACTACTACTCTGACCTCCCAAGTTGGGTTTTGTGTGTGTGTGTGTGTGTGTGTGTGTGTGTGTGTGTTTAGGGGTCGGGGGACGGAGGGGTTGGTGTCATACCTGGTAGTGCTCAGGGCTTACTCAAGGCTCTGCTTTTGGATCACTTCTGGTGGGCTCAGGGGACCACCTGACATTTTGGGGATTGAATCTGGGTCGGCTGATTGCAAGGCAAGCGTACTTGAATGTACTGTATCACCAGCCCCAGTTATAAAATTTTTGATTTGTATTTGTACCAGACTTAGCAGTATCCAGTTTGGGGGTCCCCAGGGCAGTGCTTAGGATCTTTTGGTGCTGGGGTTGAAACCTGAACTTCCTTCATGCAATGCATGTATTCGACCCATTAGAAACTTCAAGGCTTTTACACTCAGAGGCCATATGCTTGAGGACTATAATTGGTGGGGATTTTACATTGTTTGATCTGTCTAAATGTCTTAAAAGGTAAGAATTCATTTAATTTATAGGTGAGTCTCAAGTTTGGCAAGCTTCAGGATTTATTTTAGACCTCACAGGAGTGGGATTGTAGCTGAGATTCACAATAAGTCTCTTTCCTAGACCTTTCAATAGTGTTGACTTGCTTATGTTATTGAACTTCAGGCACTATGCAGGGAGAGAAACGCATAGGTCTCTTTATTTTTATTTTCCAGGGTTTTTTTGGCCACACCCAGAGATGCTTAGAGGGTACTTCTGCTAGCTCTTGGGAATTACTCCTCTGTACTATTGCTCCAAGCCTGAAAATGCATAGGTTTTTCAAGTTGATTTTCTGAAACTTTCCTTAAAATCATTGAGTATTAGTATTGAGTCAGTACAGAAATTTTATTGAAGATACATAATTGGGTATTGTGTAATGAAGGAAATGACCACGCAGGAGACTTCTGACAGCTAGCTGCAGAGTATTTGAAATGTGGCTCAAGTTACTGGGGAACTGAACTCTAAATTGCATTGAATAAATTTAAATTTGCTTCCTGTCAGCTACGTGTTAGAATAGCTAGGTAGGACGATATGGGTACTGTAGTACTTCAGAAAGTAATGTACTCCTCGTTCTTTATAAATGTCTGTACTTCTTAATTAGGCCAAATTTGAATTTCATCACGGTGACTATGAAAAACAGTTTCTGCATGTACTGAGCCGCAAGGATAAGACTGGAATTGTTGTCAACAATCCCAACCAGTCAGTGTTTCTCTTTATCGACCGACAGCACTTGCAGGTAAGCCTTACTTGGCTTTGAAAACTGTTTAATGGTGCATTTCAATGGAGCTGGAGAGAGGTGCACATACATACGTGCTTGGTGTGCAGGAGGCCCTTGTTTGTCCCGAGCGTTGCATGGTCCCTTGTGGCTCAAGATTGAAAACTGACGAGTGTGGTGGGGCGGTCTCAAAGGGCTTGAAGGCATTCTTCGTTTTGGGGGAGCTTTGACTTCTGTCCGTGGCACTCTGGTCCCCTTGCGACTGCTTGTGTACCAAAACCAAAAAAACTAAAACCAGGACCACTTTGCTTACTGGCCCTTATTCCCTCCCCAGCAGTGCTTCATGGGGCTGGGAGAGGGCTTGTGGGAGGCTCGACTCCCAGCTATATTCTGCAGGCTGTATCTCGCCAGGCGGGTCAGTGCTAGGGTCTGTCCACTGCTCAGGCCCTCTGATGCGCCACACTTGGCAGTGCTGTGTGTATGGGAGGGTGTTAGAAGGGGAGCATGTGCTGATGTTCTAGCTATGTTCTGCTGAGGGATCTCCCCCAGCCTGTTCCTTGTTTCTTCTATTTCCCCAGACTGCTTTCTACATGTTACTTAATTTTGTTTCCTGCTCAAACCTACTTATGTGTGTGTAAACCTTGAGCCAAGCCATGCATCCTGCCTGAAACATAATCCTGGCCTAACCGTGCTTTATATTTTTGCCTATATGGGATGCTAGGGATCAAATCCCAGTTGGCTGTGTGCAAAGCAAATATCCTATTGTGCTGTGTTCCGACCCAGTAGTTTATTGTTAAAAATATTTTGGGCTTTTGAAGCCACCCTGGTAGTGCTGTAGGTTCATGCTTTGCACTCAGGGATCACTCCTGTAGAGTCTTGGCAGATCATATGGGGTGCCAGAGATCAACCCCCTTTTAGCTGCATACAGTACCTGCCTGCGATCCCCTCTCTCCTGCTCCCTTCTAAGTACTTCCAAGTCTGCTTACAGTCACTTTTCTCAGTGGGGATGCTACCTGGTCAGATCGTCTCAATTCACACCAACTGTGTAGGTTCCCCCTTCTCATCACTTAACATCAATTTCAGTTACTCATGCTGAAATTTGGGGTCTCCCAAAATGGAATATGAGTCTGTGGGGGAAGTTTGATACTTGGTAGGCATTTATTCGTGGTAGATACTCATAGGGAAAAAAGTTTGTTTTTTGAAGCAGACTGCTTGAATCTGTAAGAGCCCTCAGCTAAATCTGAGTTGTAGATGAAGTGAGTAGCAGTTGGAGTCTGTCCTGAGACCCAGAAATGCCTCATACCTGGTGGCTTAACATGTCCATCCTCCTCGGTGTGGCTGGTTTGGCCTTGGGTGTTCTTGGTCCACTTTCTACCTCAGGCTCTATTTTTGCTATCTTAACCCTGGTGGGCTAAGATGTGTACATTTATGTATGTAATCTCATTCTGTTGAGTAATCACCCTCAATCAATGAGATACAAACAACCAACACTACATTATGTACTAAATTCTGTGCTAGCAGACATCTATCACAGGTGTGGGCTCCTTTCCTTCTCCCGAGGCTAAGCACCCTTCCTGTGTACTGTTTCTCTGGCCCTTGCCTAATTTGTCTTTGATCTTCTCCCTAGCTTTTGATTTCACCACGTGTTGCTTTTATATGTGTATAGGAATGTGACTTTGTATTTATCTCCATGAAATAAATGATATTTAAATGGTATTCCATATGAATTCGTGAAGTTTATCTAGCTTGTAATGTTGTTTCATTTATTCCTTACGTATGCGTGGCAGGATTCTGTTTTCGTGAGTAGATTGTTACTATGGGTAAAGCCATAATTTGTCTTGATTCCTCTGTATGGCTTGTGTCTACTGGTAAGAATTATGGAGATGGATTGATTTTTCTGTGACAGTTTTGTTCAGTTAAGGTTGTATTTATTGAGAATATTAAACTTCTTCCCCTTCCAGACTCCAAAAAATAAAGCTACGATCTTCAAGTTATGCAGCATCTGCCTCTACCTGCCACAGGAACAGCTCACCCACTGGGCGGTTGGCACCGTAGAGGATCACCTTCATCCTTACATGCCAGAATAGAGTCTGGGCCAGCACAGTGGAGAAGATCAGAGTGCAGCAGGAGATCTTGTCTTGTTTTCTTACCACTTTATTCTTTCAGAGATTAAAGAAAATGGACTCATGCACAGAACACTATGCATTTTGAAACTTGTTCATCCTGGATTATTTTTTTAATCATTTGTATCTCAGAACTTAAAAAAAATTAGCTGTCTTCTGCACGGACTGTGTGAAAGAAGATGCTTTGCATATTTGCTGCACTGCATCAGCATCTTACTAAAAATGTGAAATGAAAGGACTATTGTACACTGAAATGCTTAAATGTATCTGAAAGCACAAGGTGATACTCATTTTTGATGGTCTTTCCATTGGCGCTGGTTTTTGCCTCTTTGACATCTGTCATCAGTATTTAGAGGGTGAGAAGTACATGTAACAGTATAAATAATTTTTACAAATGCAATAGCTTTGCTATAATCACTGTTGATCCAGAACACTGTCAGATTCACTCTAATGACCAGAAGTGGTTGTTCTAAAAAGAAAATACAACCACGGGAAAGAAATCTTAAATGAAAAAAGCATCTCATTGCAGGCATTCTTGCCTCAGTTTACTGGGCCATGTTTGTTTCCTGGTACTCATGAATATGTATTTTATTTCCAAATCTTTCCCCAAAGTTGCTGTTTAAAAGAGTATTCTGCTGAGTTTGGATACAGTAATATACATTAAAGCAGATCTGGAGTCTGGAGTAGCTAAAGCAGCTATAAAACTGAGAAATACATTCGTAGCTGCAGAAACCATGGTAGGCAAAGGACTTTTCCTTTTAGGTTTTTGTTTTGTTCTTTGTTTTAAAGAAAAGGGATTTTTGCTACAAAGAAAAAATTGTGCAGAAGTACTAATTTCTACACAACCTAAAGGAAACTGTATTGAAGGGTTTTTGGAGTAGATAAGTTATTAAAAGTTGGAATCTTAAATTGTAAAAACAGCCATGAGTGTCGAAGGTCGAAAAACAACTCATTTTGTGCAATGAACATGAGGAAAGACTACTGTATAGTTTTTTTTTTTTTTTGGTTTGTTGTTTTTTTTTGTTTTATCTTTGAAATGAAGAAAAGCTTTGCTTAAGGGTTGCATACTTTTATTGGAGTAAATCTGAATGACTCCTTTGGAGTAAAACTTAGTGCTTATCAGTTTCCAATTGTATTTAGCTTCTGGTTGGAATTTGAAAAAATGAAAACCTAAATAAAATAGGTGAAAGTTCCCTGACTATTCAGGTGAATACACAAAACTTGAAGTGTTAATTTTTTTTTCCTAAGTCACTGGTTAGTTGTTAAATTGATGACTTGCGGGGGGTGGGGGTGTTATTTTTCATAGCCCACGGCACAACAGAAAATAGCAGTTGAGTTTATTCTTTCAGCAGAAATAAGTTATAAAGAATATCTGTCAGCATTTAGGGTTTTGGTTGGTTTTTTGTTTTTTGTATTTTTGGGTGATGGTCAGGGGTTCTGCTGAACTCCTGGTTCTGCTGGGGATCAAACCTGGGTTGGCCATGTGCAAAGCAATTTCCCTACCCGCTGTACTATTGCTCTGGCCTCTCCGGCAGCTTTTTATTTATTTATTTGCTTTTTTGGGTCACACCCGGTGGTGCTCAGAGGTTACTTCTGGCTTTGCACTCAGGAATTACTCCTGGCGGTGCTCCGAGGACAATATGGGATGCTGGGATTCGAACCCGGGTTGTCCGCGTGCAAGGCAAACGCCCTACCCGCTGTGCTATCACTCTAGCCCCTCCGTTAGCTTTTTAACAGTAGCACTGTCCTCTTGTTCATCGATTTGCTCAAGCGGGCACCAGTAATGTCTCCATTGTGAAACTTGTTAATGTTCTTGGCATGTTGAATACACCACGGGGAGCTTGCTGGGCTCTCTGAGACGGATTTTTAACAGTAACTTTTTAATTGAAAATGCTTTTGCATATTTTCCAATCAACTGAAAGTTCAAATCTATTTGAAAGAACACTTGAAATGTTGATTATTCTAGGTACTGTTGTAGACTCTGCTTTGGTATCCCTGAGTGGGTATGGATGCAGAGGTGTGAGTTGCCTTCCCAAGTTCATATTGTGGGTAGGGGAGGATTTAAATAAAACCAGGCAGTCTTAGTTCTATAGCCCCAGGCCCTATGGGGGGTGGGGGGTTGGGGATGGAGGACATACCTTGAGATGCTCCGGTTATTTCTGGCTCTGAATTACCACTGGCAGTCTTCAAGGTATAGCATATGGGATGCCAGGATCAAACCTGTTCAACTGCATGCAAGGCAAATTGTCCTACCTGCAATACTGTTTGCTCTATGCCCATTAGTTTCTTTCCACTTTAGGATAATTTCAAAAAGTTTGTGAGAGGGATACAGAAAGTTGTATAGCCTTTACAGTTTAGTCTTAGTATTTTTCTGTTTGCTTTCATTGTCTCCATATATACATATTTTTCCAAAGTACTTTGCTGTCATTTGGCAGTTTGCGGTATATATATTATGTATATATACATACACACATACACATTTTGATTCTGTATCATTCAGTACCTAGTAACTCATTTACAAAGATAATATTTTATATTTTATAGGCAAACAAAGAAACTGCATATAACATCCACCACCATTTTCAAGGTTTGTTAATTGTCTTAGCTTGATGGTATTTTTTAAAACCATTCCCTTTTAGGGACTGGAGCAATAGTACAGCTAGAAAGCACTTGTGCATGGCCCACCCAGGTTTGAATCCCGGCATCCCATATGGTTCCCCGGGCACTGCCAGGAGTGAATTCTGAGTGTTTCTGGGTATGCCCCAAAACAAAAATTCCTTTTTGGTATAGGAATTCTCTCTTCTCTCCTTGAATCTGGAATAGTTCATCATTTTTCATCACCATTTTTTCATCATCATGTCATCACCTAGATATATATTGAAGAGTACAGACCAATTTTTGTTGCTTTTGTTTTGGGACTACACCTGGTTGTCCTGGGATCCTGGCAGGGCTGGGGGACTGACTCTGGTGTCAAGTTGGCTGCACCGTATTAGCATCAGCCCAACCCCTAGAATACCCCTGCTGGTGCTGATGGAACCACACTGTTCTGACCGTTCAGGCTTCCTACGCACAAAAGCATGCGCTCTAGCCCTCTGGTCCCATGGGCTAATTTTTAGTATGAAGTGATGCCTATTTCTCATGGCTACTAATTCATGATTAGATTTGGGTTATACGTTCCTAAGATCTAGAAGCATACTGTGATTTGCAGTTGATGTTAATTTGACTGGGTAAAGTGATTTCTGTTTTGTTAACTTTTCCTTTAAGACTTAAGTGCGGGCTGGAAAGAGTTCTGTAGGTAGGTGCTTGCTCTGCGTATGGCTGATCTGGCTTTCAGCATCCCGTATTGTCCCCCTGAGCACCACCAGGAGTAATTACTGAGCATCACTGGCTGTGTCCCCCACTACCCCCCACCAAAAACAGTAATAGACAACCGGGCAGCGGCATGCACGTAGCCTGCTTTATTTTTAATTTTTGTTGTTTGTGCCCTAGCCAGCTGTGTTCAAAAGGACCATATGAGATCTGGGGATTAGATTCAGGCCTCTCAGCAAAGCACAAGCTGAACCTTTTGAGATAACTTTACACTATTGGGCATATGACCAATCTCTATACCCAGGCTACAACTAGCCATTTATTTACCACTCAGCACATTTATCAGAATTCTATCATGAAAGCTTTCCAAAAGTTTGGGCTCTTACTAAGCAACATAAGTGGTACTATATACTCAGCATTTTTGGGGTTTTTTTTTTTTTTTTTTTTTTTTTGCTTTTTGGGTCATACCCAGCAATGCACAGGGGTTACTCCTGGCTCTGCACTCCGGAATCACCCCTGGTGGTACTCAGGGGACCATATGGGAGGCTGGGAATCGAAACGGGTCGGTGTGCAAAGCAAACGCCCTACCCGCTGTGCTATTGCTCCAGTCCCATACTCAGCATTTTTTTAAATGAATAATTTGTGTATTTCTCATTTTCTTGAGCATTGTTTTCTGTCTTTGAGGTACAATGTACTTAACTATTGGAGCCTCCTGATCTCAGGCCACAGTTTTGGAATCAGCTACTTCTCCAAGAAGGCCAGTTTTTTATTTTTAGGTTTTGGGACCACACCGTGCACTGCTAGGTGTGGCTGCAAACCCTCCCCCCCCCCAAATATGTATTGTTGCCAATGGCTTTATAGAGCGGGGAGTGAGAAGTCGACTCTAGAGTGCTTCCCCTAATCAACTCCACCCACCAATGCTCGGGGAAATGTCTGGCTTGGCTCAGGACTGACTCTGGCGAAAACATTTTGGGTCTGTCACCTTCCCTCATAAAAAAGAATTTAAGGAAGAGGTGAGCTAGTGAAGCAAGATGGTTTTTATTGAGTGAAACTTAAACAGATGTGATGGGCCAGCGAGATGGTACTGTACAGCGGGTAGCACCTGCCTTGCATGTGGCCGATCCAGGTTCAATTCCTGGCATCCCATATGGTCCTCCAACCCCGCGAGAAGTGATTTCTGACCAGTCACGAGTAGCCCCTGACCCTGCTGGATGCAGCTCTCCCACCAAAACCAACTAAAAAAGGAGGGGAGAAAAGAGGAAGTACATGTTTGCGTGAACACACACTCCTCTAGGGTGGAAAAGCAGACAAAAACGTGAGAGATTAAGATTTCAGGGGAGAACATGGGCTTGGAGAGCCAGAGCCGAGAGCTGTTTCAGAATTGTGAAGTCTGAAGAGGCTTCCAATGGTCAGACACCCACCACCATGCACTCAACTTGTTCACTATGTTTTTCCCAAAGAAAGTACTTCGCTGTTTATGGTTCTCCTGATTTATTTTGAAAAATGAAATCTGTTCAAGTGCATACTCTGGCATTCATCAGTGGGTTTCTCAGGCCACTGGGTGCTGGAGGTGCTTGTCTCAGTTCCCCAGGTGCTTTGTATGTCTTCCTTGTGCGATCAGTTTCCCGTTGGACTTGTTGGTCAGATCCACAGAGGCGAATGCAAGTGTTCGTCCTTGCTTCAGAATATGTGCTGTGATCACTACATCTTCTCCAATTTTAGCAGGAGACATGTACCTGGGAAGGGAATATTGAAATGTACTTAGCACATCTGTTTGTTTTGGGGCCATACCTAGCATACTCAGGGCTCACTTGGGCTCTGTATTCCAGGGTCAGCCCAGGCCGTGGTAGGGCTTGAGCTGGGGTCAGTCAGCTGTGTGGAAGGCAGGCACCTTAACCCCTGCACTAGCTCGCTGGCCCACAGCATTTCTTTTTTTTTTTTTAATCTTTGGGTTTTGGGGACACATCGAGCAGTCCTTAGGGTATCTGGCTCTGCACTCAGGGGTCACTCCTGGTGGGGAGGGGGAAACCATATGATGTGCTGAATTGGACATATGCAAGGCAAGCACCCTATTGTTAGGGTTCCTGTGAAAGTGTTCGGGGCTTACTCCTGGCTCTGTAGACCACAGGGGCTGCTGGGACTGTACTCAGGTGGGCGCATGCATCTGCTGTACTGCTGCTCTGGCTCTCATCATCCCTCCGCTCTTAATAAGAGCTTTTATTTTTATTTTTTGGTCACATCCAGAGATGTTTCAGGATAACTCCTGGCTCTGCACTCAGAAATTTTTGCTGGCGGTCCTCAAATGGTGGAGATCGAACCCTCAGCAGCGTGTAAGGTGAACTTGCCCTGTACTATCTTTCCAGCCTGAATAAGGGCTCCTGAGGCAAAGTAGAGTTATGAGCTGGTCTGAACCTGCTGCTAAAAGTATGCCGAGCAGTAGCAGTGCCAGAGATTGATCCTAGATCCTCCACATTCAAGGCTGCTTGTTGCACCTGCAATTTCTCTGCACAGACGTTATTTGGGGTGTCATGTGGATACATACGTTATGTTCATATCCACACTCACTCCAGGCAATCCCCGGTCTGTGCAGAGCAGAGCCAGAGTTGATATGTTGTCCACTAAGGTGGCTGTCAAACCACCATGGAGAGTGCCCATTTTATTGGTGTGCTCCTCCTCGACTTTCAGTTCACAAACCACCTTCCCAGGAGCAGCAGAGACCAGAGTCACCTAAAGAAGAGAAAAAACAAACAAAAATCAAAAAAGGGCCTTTCGACATTCTTTGGTATGAGTTCAAAAGGCCATCAAGAACTGTTGTTGGCAGGCTGGATCGATAGCACAGCGGCTAGTGTGTTTGCCTTTGCATCAATCCCTGGTACCTCATCGGGTCCCCTGAGCTCACCAGCAGTGACCCATGAGCGCCGGGTCAGGTGTAAGTCCTGACCACCACCGAGTGTGGCGCAAAAAACAAACCAAAAACTATCATTGGATTATACTTGAAGCACCTTAAAAAAGACACAGAAATCCAAATAAGTTACCAATGTGTCTATGGTGGAAATCAGTCCTTATCTAAATTGTTTTAAAGAAAATGGCCCATTTCAGGGTGGGAAGAAATAGTTTTTGTTAATTAATCTCTATAGAAATCAAATGCTGCATGTGAGCTTTTCAGCACTATGTTCCGTGATGACCTGGTATCTCTTAATGTGTCCTTAGAAATTCTGTACCAACAGAGACAACTCTTTTTTGTGATGTTTTGAGGTTTAATTTTGGTGTTTCCTAATTTTTGGACAGTAATTTTTAAGTGTCCTCATATAGAAGATGAAGAGAAAATCAGGAATTTAACCAGTTAGTAGATTTAAGAAGCTTTTATTGTGAACTAATTTTTAGGGGGTGGTCTTCCAAGTGGTGCTCAGGAGGCTGGGGCCCTTATTAGTGATTCCCAGCTACTTAGCTGGTGGTTCAATGCAAGGGCCTGCCCAGGTCTTGGGGTGCTTGGGATTACCTGGGCCATCCATAGGGTGAAGGGGTCTCCAATACTGCACCCGGTGATGCTTAGGAGACCATGTGGTGCCAGCTATCAAACTCAGGTAGGGAGCATGCTTAGTACTCTAACCATTAGACTGTCTTCTGGCATAACAAACTTTTTTCTGGGCGCGGGGCAGGGGGAGGTTTGAGCAACAGCTGGTGGTGTTTAGGATTCTTAGTCTTGGAGGTGCTTTGGGGAAGCATATGAGGTCCCAGGATCGAACTAGGGCCAGCTTCATGCAAGGCAAGCATTTACTGCCATCTATCCAGCCCTATCCTGCAAATTTAATATTAAAAAATGTTTAACAATAGAGTCATTCTGGAGAGATGACAGTACAGTAGGAAGGATGCTTGGCCGAGCATCACCAGAAGTGGCCCCCAGGTCCTTTGAGCCCTACCAAGGAGGCCCCGACAAAAATATGAAAGACAAACTATGAGAAAGTCTTTCCCACATCCCAAGTCACTGTGATAAACCATTGTAGCTTAATATTTACAAGCTGAAACTGGGCTGTGAATGATATAGTGTCTTTGGCAAAATTATTTCCACCATTAGTGGGGTTCAGGTAAGTACATGGATATATACTAGCTGTATGTTACATCTGAGGTAGGGAAATGTCTCAAGTTTTGTTTAGTAGGATTCTACCTAACTACACTGATGTTTTAAATTAATTTTTGTTGGAGCTGGAGCAATAGCACAGCAGGTAGGTCGTTTGCCTTGCATGTGGCCAACCCAGGTTCGATTCCCAGCATCCCATATGGTCCCCCAAGCACCGCCAGGAGTAATTCCTGAGTGCAGAGCCAGGAATAACCCCTGAGCATTGCCGGGTGAAACACCCCCCCCACACACACACACCAAACAACAACAACAACAACAACAAAACACTATAAAAACAACCCACTATAAATTAATTTTTGTTTGGTTTGGGTTTTGGGCCATAGCCAGCAATGCTCAGGGTTTACTCCTGGCTCTGGACTCAGGAATCATTCCTGATGGTGCTTAAGGGACCATATGGATGCCAAGGATCAAACCCGGATCGACCATATGCAAGGCAGACACCCTACCTGCGATCCCATCACTCTGGCCCCTTAAATTAATTTTTAAGTTTATTATTGGGAGGGTTAAGCCATACCCAGTGGCACTCAGGGATCTTTCCTACTGATGCTTGGGGAACATATGTGATGCCAGGAACTGGGCTGAGTTGCATGCAATGCAAATGATAACCCCTAGACTATTCCCTCTGGTCCTGCTCACTGCCATTTATTGAGCTCTTTTATATCACTGTGCCTGATTCTTTACATAACTACATGGCAGAAAAATTACTATGAATTATTTCCTAAGGAAGGGATGGCTTCTATTTTGTAGATAACAAATTGGGAGCAGTTTAATTCTCAAGGCTCCAGGATGCGACAGAACTGAGATTTAAGTTTAGGCTCCAGCCCGCCCGGCTATCCTCAAGGCCTCCTGCTTAACTATGACATTTCTAGATATACTCAGAGCCTTTATGGCTCCTCCCAGGAGGACATTTGGAGTTTCACAAAACCGCAACTTGGGAGGACCCACAGTCAAACAAACAAGCATGAACAATAGCATGCCCTGGCTTCTCAGAAGGTAAACCAGTCTGAAAGTGTTAGGACAGAATTAATTCTCTCTCTAGAAGTTACCTAACCACAGGATGTTCTCAAAAACTAATATTAAGCAACACTAAGGTGTAAATTCACCTTATTCAAGTGTGTAAGCATTGGCAACATAAAATCAACAAATCAAAAGCCTGCTCTAAGGCCTGAGTCCAAAGCAGTTTCTCAGTGGAAGGCCAGATGGCCCCCTGAAAGTCCAAGATATTCTCAGCAGGGGCCAACTTGGAGGGCAGCTGCAGGCAGGCAGCCCAGGTTAGACAAAGGCTAACACTCGTGTAAATGAAGAGACATTTAAAAATCTGCACGGAGGAAATGATTGTGACCAGCAGCTGACTGCCTGAAGTCACACCTGGGACCAGAGAGATAGCTTAGTGAGAAATGTGCTTGCTTTGCATGTAGATTACTTGGTTCGATTCCCGGCACCCCTATGGTCTCCTGAGCCCCACCAGGATGATCCCTGAGCACAGTTGTGTCTGATCCCAAAATCAAGGATGTCTTGCTTTTTTTTTTTTAAGTTAAAAACAGTTTTATTTGGATGTTTTGAGGAGAGAGAGATAGAGCGAGAGTGAGGGAGTGAGAGAAAGAGCGCGCGCGAGAGAAATGGGCCCAAGAAAGAACATGGGCTTCTCCAAAGGTGGAGAGAGCCCCTGCACACATCCCAGCAATGACAGGAAAGCATGAAAGTCCACATCTCAAGAGGGACATCCCTTGATAATTACGCTCGGGCACCACACGCGAATACTTCTAGAAAGTATTGTTTTCTGGGGAGAGAAATTAGGGAGGGCTTTCTGGGGAAAAGACAGGAAGGCCAGCAGTCTAGGAAACAGAATAAACTGGATTCATGTCATTAAATATTTTAAAGGATAGTGTGGGTCATACCCACAGATTGTCCCCGGGTGCCACGTAATCCCATCAACGGTCAAGATCCAGAGACTAAAAAACAAAGCTCCCGGAAGAGAGCGATGCCAGGCTGTCTTCACGAGGGCCCCTTGGAGGAGGGGGCGGGTTGAGTTTCCCTCCCCTCCCCGAGCAGAGCCCTGGCAGCTGAAAACCTCCAGAATCCATCCACAGCCATGCTCAAGGTCACTCTCCACACGCTCGGACGAGCCTCACGCACGAAGGAACCGTCAGAAGAACCCATGTACACAGGACCGGGGGCTGAGATCTCCAAGCCTGCTTGGATTGAGACTGGGCCTCCTCCACCCAGATCCCCCATTTTCCACAGTCACACCCAGAAACTGCCCCCAGCGCCATGCAATCCCATCAACGGCCAAGATCTAGAGATTATAAAACAAAGTGACCTCTTACAGTCTAGTCCACTGATGTACCTAAAGCAGCACTCATGTGTTTGGTTTTAACATACTTGCTGGTATTCTCTTATATACATTCTGTGTCCCTCTCGGAGAGCCCAACAAGCTACCGAGAGTATCCTGCCTATACAGCAGAGCCTGGCAAGCTACCCGTGACTTTCGATATGCCAAAAACAGTAACAATAACGGGTCTCATTCCCCTGACCCTGAAAGAGCCTCCAATACGGCGCCACTGGGAAGGGCGAGTAAGAGGAGGCTGCTAAAATCTCAGGGCTGGGATGAATGGAGACATTACTGGTACCTGCTCGAGCAAATCGATGAATACCGGGATGACAGTGATACAGTGATAGTGTGGGTACTGAGGCTACAGTTTACTGTCCTGATGAGCATGGTTACTGCACTGCCCCACTGACGAAGTGCCCATGACCCCTTACCACCATCCTCCTGTCACCTCTACTCCAATTTTCATCCCCTTTCACTGTAAATACCTTTTGTGATCTGAGGCTAAAGTCCTGGCATTGTTTCTTGGGCCGTTTCTTTGCTCTGCCCTGAGTTCTACAGATGAGTGGGATCAGGCAGCTCTTCTCTTCCCTCTGGCTTATTTCAGTCAGCCTCGGGATTATGTAATTCAAAGCGGAGCGAATCATTTCATTTCTACTTTTTACTGACTCGAAAGGTTCAAGGACATACGGATACACAAGAGTAGACACTGAGATCGCGATGGTTTGCGCTGGTTCCTCTCACAGGGCAAGGGAAGTGCTTTCATGTGCTGCCAAGTCTCGTCTCTAAGTAACATGGAAGAACTGAGCCAATGAAAGCTCCCACGGACGGAATGGCCTGCAGCTCCCAGAGCTTGGCCTGTGGGGAAGATGTCATTGGACACGCAGCCCCTCTGGTGAAGAGAGGAGAAAGGAGAAGAGATAAAAGTGTCTGAAGGGACCGGAAAGGGCATATACTACAGTCTTACTATACTTTATAGATATATCACACTTTTGGGGTGCCGAGTGGAGTGGGGGTTACACCCAGTGGTGTTCAGGGCATAGCCTGGCTCAGGGATCACTCCTGGTGGTGCTTGGGCAACCATCTGTACTCCCTTGTACTAATTCTCTGGCCCTGGTGTTTCAGTGGCTTCATTATGCTGGAGGCTAACGGCACCTGTTTGAGTCCGACATAGAAAATAATCCTCAAGTGAGACTTCCTAACCTGTGAAATGGAAGTAATAGCATTGCCCTTTTGGTGTTTTGTTATTTTCTTTTCACTTGGAGGACATGGGGGGTAGGCATGGGCCATATCCAGCAGTGCTCAGGGGTATAAACGTGGTGCCAGGGATCAATCTAGGGTGAACAGTAGGCAAAGAAAGTACTTTAACCCCTGTATTATCTCTCTAGCCCCCCCCCCCCCTTAAAAAACAGGTAAAATTCAAATTACGGCAACATGAACATGGTGAAATATATCAGTGGTGATCAAAATCATTTTAACATCCTTATTAAAGGGAGACTAAAATAAATAAATAAATAGCCAACTGAAAGTTGGTTTGTGTATCTTGGCAAGGATAGTCTTAACAATGGGAACAGTTTTTAGTGCCAAGGTCAATAATGACTTAATTACTAAATTCAATACATACCTTTCAGCCCTTCCCTTACTTGACTTCTCTCTACTGACCTTCCTGAACTCTCATGCAGACAACTTCCTCCCCCATCACCAATCAGGCCTCTGCTGGCTCTTAATTGGCACCGCTTACCTGGAGCCTTAGGCCAACCAGTCGCTGACTCTTGCCAACCTGACTCCTCATGGTTACACATGTGGTGTTTGTGAGTTTCACTCACAATGACAGGGGCTAGGTAGGCACTGTGATCTTCTAGGGGACTGGAGAGACAGCACAGCAGGTAAGGCTTTAGCACACAGCTGCCCCTGGTTTTTTCCGCAGCACCTCACACGGTCTCCTGAATGAGGTGTTATCCCTGAATACAGAGCAAGGAGTATACCCTGAGCACTAGTGGGTGAGCACCCCCAAATGTCACTGTCACTGTCACTGTCACTGTCCTCTCGCTGTTCATCAATTTGCTCGAGCGGGTCCAGTAACATTGTGAGACTTGTTGTTACTGTGTTTGGCATATCGAATATGCTTGCCAGGCTCTGCAGCGCGGGCGAGATACTCTCGTAGCTTGCCGGGCTCTCCAAGTGGAGGAATCGAACTCGGGTTGGCCTGGTCAGCTGTGTTCAAGGCAAATGCCCTACCCGTTGCTATTGCTCCAGCCCCCCAAATAAATTAAAAAAAAAACACAAACAAATAAAACCCAGAGGCTGGAACTCAATAGAACTCTGTTTTGGTGACGGGATTTTATCAGGGCATTCTGTTGGCCGAGGTGACTAAATAGATGGGTGAAGGGGCAATGGCATAGATGTGAAGCAACAGCACAAACATACTCCTTGCATCTGCCACACAGAAACATTATCCATCTACTTCTTTACAAAAGCAATGAACAGCATGGCTGTATCTCAGAAACTATGGACATCCTCATCCCAACTTACCTTTTAATAATATTCTTGCATTTAAAAACGAGCATTTTGAGTGCCAAAGGGTTAGTACAGCGACTAAGGTGCTTTACCTTGCATGCGGCTTTGATCTCTGGCATCCCAGATGGTCCCCATAACACTACCAGGAGTGACTTCTGATTACAGACCAGGAGTAAACCCTGAACCAGGTGTGGGGCTGGAGTGTTAATACAGTGGGCAGAGTGTTTGCTGATCCCTGGCACCCCATAATGGCCCCCTGAGCCTGCCAGGAGTTCTCCCTAAGCCCAGAGCCGGACGTGCTCCCTGAGTACTGCCAGGTGTGGCCCCATCCCCTGGCCTACCAAAGACCCCACAAAAGCTAAAAAATAAAAATAAAAAAATTAAAACGAGCACTTGTTGTCTTGAAAAACCTCTAGTGTTACATTTTATAATCGAAGGAACAAGGACTTCACATAAAGCTAAGTTTGTCAGTCAAGGACCAACAAGGCCACAAAATGCATACCTTAATGAAGAGACTTTAATACAGAGAATTGTTAACCAGAGATTTAGTGAAAGATCACATTCTGTTCCGTGCTTAGCAAGGTGGAAGTTTTATGAATGGAACAACCAACTCAAAGTTCAGTGCACAGCATCCTGCAAGTGGCAGCAGTTGGGTTAGTTTGGATTTGAGCACCGGGTTAAGAGGATGGTCTAAGTCAGTGATCCTCAACCCGGTGCCCTTTGGCCCTCAAAGGGGCCCCCAGGATATTCCAAGGGGCCACCAGTGAAAACTATTATAGAAAGCCATGGAGGGCCCTGGCAGAAGAGATTATGGCTAGTCTGAATTGGGATGAACTTTATATGTAAAAATTTAGGTTTTACATGGTGCGTACAGGTAGCTTGCGTGCAACTTCAAACTGCTTCAGTTGGCTGCTAAACAGGCTTCTTGGAAATCGAGTCACCGCCAGTGTCAAGTCAGGCATGCATGTGCTCGTATCTGTTCCATCTCTAAAGGCAACTGCATTGAACTCGGATGAGTTCGACAATCCCTGGCACTGCACATGGTCCCCTAAACCCTACCAGGAGTGCTTCCTGAGCAGAGGCAGAAAGAGCTCTGAGCACCCAGGGTTCTGAAACAAAACAAACAAGAGGCAACTCCAACCCAAGGTCAGATTATCTAGCAAGAAATCCATCCGTCCATCCATCCATAAGATTTCTGAAAGTTTCACAGTGAAAATGCCCACAGGTCCCCCCCCCCACAGGAATTAACATAACTTTCTCTTATGTTAATACTTTGCTTTCCATCTTTGTAGAAGTTACTTTGAAATAGCGCATATTTGGATTTTATTTTTATTTCAGAACATTAGATACACTTGTCTGTTATTTCTGATTTTTCACTAAGGCCTTCAGGGGCCAGAGAAGTGACTCAGCAGTAGAACATACAATACAGAGATGTGTGAAACCCTGGGATCTGACCCCCAGTACTGCAAAAAAGAAAAAAGATCCCTGGGGTCAGGAGAGGTAGTACAGAAATTAAGGCACTTGCCTGGGAATAATCCTCCTCAGAACTGCTAGGAGTAATCCCTGTCCCCAGTCAGAAGTGAGCCCTGAACTTCTTGGTGTGTTCCAAACACCAGAAGAAAAACAAAAATATCACAGAAACTGGTCTGGAGCTCGACCTTGACCCAAAGTCCTACATTCTTCCTTCCAGCGACTGAGGCTGATCCACTTCCAAAATTTCCCAGCACCTTACCCTAATCAGAAGGAAAACAAGCGGTTCATGCATTTATTTATTTATTTATTTAATTTTTGCTTTTTGGGTCGCACCTGGTGAGGCACAGGGGTTACTCCTGGCTCTGTGTTCAGGAATCACTCCTGGCAATGCTTGGAGGACCATATGGGATGCTGGGGATTGAACCAGGGTTGGCCATGTGCAAGGCAATCGCCATACGCACTGTGCTACTCAGGGATTCATGCATTTAAATGCCTGGGGGGAGTGTATATATTACATAATATATTATATATAATTAGCACTGTAGCACTGTCCTCCCGCTGTTCATCTATTTGCTCGAGTGGGCACCAGTATGGTCTCACAACAAATTGTGAGAACTTGTTGTTACTGTGTTTGGCATATTGGATACATCACGGGTAGCTTCCCAGGCCTTGCCGTGCGGGCGGGATACTCTCGGTAGGCTTGCTGGGCTCTCCGAGAGGGGTGGAGGAATCGAACCGGGGTCGGATGCGTGCAACGCCTTACCTGCTGCGCTATCGCTCCAGCCCATTATATAAAAAAATTGGAAAGTCCTCATTTTATATATAACATGTCATTACATATATATTATAAATTGGAAAGTGTTCCAATTTATTGCAAGAGCTTTTGTTATTTTTCTCCCTTAGAAACGCTTCCCCCCACCCCCACCCCGTCCGGAGACCCGAACCGAGAGGAGTCCGGGCTAGTTGGATCCTGTGCATGGGAAAGGCTCGAACTCGGCTGCGCGACCCCAGCGGGCACTTGTCCCTCCTCCCAGACGCAAGTCCTTCCCATCGCGCCCACCGCTGTGCCCAGGGACCGACGCTCTTGCCTCTGTCGGGCTCGACCCCCGCGCGCCCCCTCCCAGCCCCTCCGCTCCGGTACCTTTTCCAAGACGCGGTCAAAGCCGCGGGCCCCCTTCAGGGCCTTGATCACCTCCAGCAGGTTCTGCGTCACGGCGCTCATCGTGGCCCCTTCGCCGGCCTCCGGGCCGGGCATACGAGGCGCCTTCTTGCAGGAGGATCGAGCAGCCCTGCGGGTCGCCACCCGGGGGAACAAGGACACGAGGGCACTGGCACAAGCGGGCGCCGGCGTTGCGCGCTCTCGTCACCCCCGCCCTCCCCTCCACCCCCGAGGCTCGTGCACGGACATCCCGCGCCCGGTTGGAGAGCGCGCGCGCGCGCCCTCGTGCGCGCCCTCGCCGGACCGCTCGGAGCCGGCCCCGCCCCCTGAGTCCAGGCCCCGCCCCTCACCTACCCACCCACCCCGCGCAGACGCAGTTCCGTCCGGAGCTGCGTTTCTGCTCCCGGCCTCGGGGGGGCGGGGCCCCCGGGCCAGCGGGCGCCTGCGCAGAGCCGCGGGCGGGCGCCGCCGGGCGGACGCGCCGTCGGGGCCGTGATAAGCGGAGTTTGCGGCGCGGCCATGGACGTCGGAAGCTTCCTGGAGGCTGGGCTGGAGGCGGAGCTGGCGGAGGGCGAGCCCGAAGCCAAGAAGCGGAGACGGCAATGTGCGGAGTTCGCCGCCGTGGCCAGCTGCGACGCCGCCGTCGCGCAGTGCTACCTGGCCGAGAACGACTGGGAGATGGAGGTGCGGCTCGGGCCGGCCGGCTGGCGGGGGCGGCGGGGGCGGCGGGGGCGGGCGGGCCGCCCCTCACGGCCTGTCCGTTCGCTTTTGCAGAGGGCGCTGAACTCCTACTTCGAGCCCCCGGTGGAGGAGAGCATCCTGAAAGGCTCCCCCGGGAGCCCCCCTAAGCCCGAGTCGTGAGTGCGGCGCGCAGCCCGGCAGTGTCGGATGTGGGGGGCGCGGGGGTGGGGGGACGTGAGGGTGTGATCTGCGGGGGGTGTGTGAGTGTGTGTGCGAGGACGTATGGGTATGGTTGTGAGTGTGTGAGGATGTCTATGTGTGTGGTTTAGTGTGTGAGGATGTATGGGTGTGTGGTTGTGGTTGTGTGAGGATGTGTGTGTGTGTGTTTCTGTGTGAGGATGTATGGGTGTGTGGTTTAGTGTGTGAGGAGGTGTGTGTGTGAGGATGTATGGGTGTGTGGATGTGTGTGTGTGAGGATGTACGTGTGTGATGGTGTGTGTGAGGATGTATGTGTGTGTGGTTTAGTGTGTGAGGATGTATGGGTGTGTGGTTGTGGTTGTGTGAGGATGTGTGTGTGTGCTTCTGTGTGAAGATGTATGGGTGTGTGGTTTAGTGTGTGAGGAGGTGTGTGTGAGGATGTATGGGTGTGTGGATGTGTGTGTGTGTGAGGATGTACGTGTGTGATGGTGTGTGTGAGGATGTATGTGTGTGATTGTGTGTGTGAGAGGATGTCTGTGTGAGTGGTTTAGTGTGTGAGGATGTATGTGTGTGATTGTGTGAGAGGATGTATGTGTGTGGTTTAGTGTGTGAGGATGTATGGGTGTGTGGTTGTGGTTGTGTGAGGATGTATGTGTGTGTGCTTGTGTGTGAGGATGTGTGTGTGAGGATGTATGGGTGTGTAGATGTGTGTGAGGATGTATGTGTGTGTGATTGTGTGCGTGTGTGAGAGGATGTATGGGTGTGGATGTGTTGTGCGAGGATGTGTGGGTGTGGTTGTGTGAGGATGTATATGTGTGTGGTTGTGTGTGAGAATGTATGTGTGTGTGATTGTGTGTGAGGAAGTATGTGTGGGAGTGAGGATATGTGTGCTTGCATGTGTGGTGCTGGAGCTTCTCTCGTGACATGTGGAAACATCGGGGGTTCTGTGAGTGGGTCGGGTGCCCCGGGTGTGTGTGTCTGTGGAGTATTGGGGGGGTCCTTGCAGGTAGATCAGGCGTCCCCGGGTGTGTGTGTGTCTGTGTGGGGGCGTCGCGGACCTATGGATGGGTGGGATGTCCCAGCTGTGTGTGTATCTGTGTTGGGAGCATCATGGTGTGTGTGTATCTGTGTGGGAGCATCAGGGACCTGTAGATGGGTTGGGCATCGCCGGGTGTGTGTGTGTGTCTGTGTCTGTGTGTGTGTGTGTCTGTGTCTGTGTGTCTGTCCGTGTCCCAGGCAGGGACCTTGGGCGGGCGGGGTGGTGCCCAAGCCAGAGCTTCTCTCCTGATGTGCTAATTGTCCTATGTAACTGGAAGTCCCGGCAGTGTGACTTCTCTTTTTGGGGGGTCGAGGTCCATATTAGGTGGTGCTCAGGGCTCCCTCCTGGCTTTGCTCTCAGGGATCACACCTGGCGGTGCTTAGGGACCAGGTTGGGTGCAGGAGGTTGAACCTGGGTAGGTCAGGTGTTAGGCAAGCACCTGCTGTTCTTTCGCTCTGCCCTCCATCTCTCCCAGTATGACTTTTGGTTGGAATTAGAATGTGGGTTTAACTGGTTGACTGGAAGTTCCATAAAGATCATGGATGCACCCCAGGCAGCCAGAGAGTAGGGTCATGTGATGACACGATGAGCTGACAAGGAAAGGGGAAGTGGCCCGTGAGTCCAGACGGGAGGAAGGACATTCTTTGGACAGCAGGGGAGACCACAGATTGATCCCTGGCACTGATAACGATTCCTGCCCCACCTCATCCCTACCACCATCTGGAATGGTCACTGAACACCACAGGGTGTGGCTTAAAAAAAAAAACAATGGAGGGAAATAGTCTGAAATTGATGGAGATTTACCTTGCAAATAGACACAAAAGGACATCTCTGTTTTCAGAGCTTTTTTGGCAATCTGCCTAGGACTGTAATCTGCCTACAACTACGGGCAGTGGGGCCTTGGGTACTTTTGGTGGTGGTGGGGTACATTAACTTATATTTTAATACCATACACGTTAATGCTGTTGTAACCTCAGAGCTATAATGATAATAAGCTAGGACCAGAGAGAGCTCAAGGTGCTGTGGTGCTGTAAAATTGTAATACCAGGGTTTAGGGTAAGGAAGGAGACAAGCTTGAGCTCGTGTCCAGGTCTACACCAACCTAGTGGCTTCAAGACAAGGACCCAGACTCTAATTTTTGTCAACATTTTATCATATATCGTTACATAAGCTACTCATTCTTTGTGGTTAGCAAAAGACTATTTCTGGCACTAGTATTGTTGATATGGCACATGGTGCTTGAGCCCACTTGCTGGGCCCAAGGATTTTCCAAGTGGGGTCAGGTTGGCTAGTTATGCATGGTTTCATTTCTGGGGAAACCGAAACTTTCAGTTCCAGGAACTGAACCTGAGGCCTAGCCGATTTTTCTCATATCTGCTATATGTCATGATGGTGCCATTGCTTAATTGTGTGGCTCATTTCTTCAGTGGGAGTGGGGAGTGGGGATGTTTATTCCCGGCAATGCACTGAGGATAGTTTGAAACATAGCCCAAGCCCAGATCCAGCAGTATCCTCCAGCACTATAGGCCCGGCCTTTCACCACTCCCAGATCAGCTGAGTGGTATACTGGTGCATGGTTTAAGTGGTAAAGAACATGTCTTGCATGTAGGAGTCTTTTTGTTTGTTTCATTTTGTTTTAGGGCCACACCCTGTGGTGCTCAGGGCATACTCTGGCTCTGTGCTCAAGAGATCATGTCTTACGGATTCAGGGGACCGCATAGCATGTTGGTGGATATCTCTGCAGCCTTTTGGGCCACACTTGGCAGTGCTCAGGGGTTATTCCTGCCTCTACACTTAGCAGTAACTCAAGGTGGTGCTCAGGGAACCAGATGGGATACTGTGGATTGAATTGGGGTTGGTCCATATGCAAGGCAAGTACCCTACCAACTTGCCTCTCTGGCCCAGATAAAGGCATTTTGATGACACTGAAGAATATAAAGCTGGTTTTATATAAGGGAGCATATATTTGGACAGTATGGTAAGAATAATCTTTTGCTTAATCATGTGACTTCTGCTTTTTTTACAGGTAGTTGCTTTAGGGTTCTTTTATTTGTCTTTAAAATGAGGGCTGCAAATACAGAGTAATTATAAGTCAGCTTATATATTATTTCCAAAATTGTATTTCTTTCTAATATTTATTATTAAATCACTGTTGGACTTCTCTGTCATACACAAAGTGGGTCGCAGTTCATGGTTATAAAATTTTGAATCAGACCAAAGTTCAGAGTCTAGTTCTTAAACATGCAAGAGAATTGAGAGTTATTCTTCCCCGTCATGGGACCCTGCAGGTCATGCCCATAAACTGCCAGCCCAGTTCCCAAGCTGTCTGGAATAGCTAACCTGTGAGGACACTCCAGGGATCTTAGAGGCAAAGGCTCCCAAGTACTAACCCAGAGAAGTGAAGGACTGACTCAGGGGACCTGTGATTCCCCAACAGTATTTATAAATCAGTGGTTAATTGTTGACATGGCTAGAGATACTTGCATCACCATGTAGAGTCTTCAAGGCAAATAAGCTTTGTCTCTGAGCACATTCCCCTACCTGCTCCCCTCCCCCTCGACTGCTCACAACCCGTTAACTTTCCTTTGTGTCTCCCACTTACCATGTCTCCCTCATTCTGCTCGTACTGCATTCTCTGTACCTCTAATTGCCATATACCCTGAATAAAATTGTTACCCATCAGTCAGTCATCTATGTCTGTTGATCATCAGTCCATAGGTGGCAGTATTGGCTTGTTGCACCCAGTTCTCCCATGCTACCCAACAGCACAAAATTCAGTTTATAGATTACTTCCTAGGTTGTATTTCTTTCTTAAAAAAAATTGTTGGGGCTGGAGTGATAGCGGTAGGGTGTTTGCCTTGTATAGGGTTGACCAGGGTTCAATCCTCAGCATCCCGTATAGTTCCCTGAGCACCGCCAATAGTAATTCCTGAGTGCAGAGCCAGGAGTAACCCCTAAGCATTGCTGGGTATGACCCAAAAAGGCCAGAAAAAAAATTACTGAATCACTGTGAAAATTGTGTTTATTTTCGATCTGCCAGTGTTGACCTAACCGTTGAAGAAGAAACAGCTGAACCCAGTAGTTCTAAAGCCAGCTCGTCTGAAAAGACTCAGCAAGAAGATGGCAGCACATTCTCTGTCATCACCTGGAATATTGATGGATTAGATTTAAAAAATCTGCAAGAGAGGGCTCGAGGTGTCTGTTCATATTTAGCTTTGTAAGTATTACTTCTTTTATGATAGTCATATACAAAGTAGGCAGCAGTTCAGGGTTTATAAAATTTAAATCAGACCAAAGTTCAGTCTAGTTCTTACACATGCAAGAGAATTTAGAGTCTTTTTTCCTCCCAACCCCCTCATGGGACCCTGCAGCCCACAAACTGCGTCAGGCTGCTATTTAAGCTTCTTAACGGCCATGATCCAGAAACACGTAAAAGAATCTCCGAACCAAGCAACTCAGAAATTTCTCCAGACCCTAATTATCTAAAATTTTAGAATTCCAGGAGCACGCAACCTCAAGAGCAGCTGTGCAGCATCTTAGCTATTCATAATCAGCAATACAGAAGAGAATATGGGGGAGCTTGTCTGCCATAGAGGCAGGGGAAGGCATTGGGTGGGGGGAATACTGAGGATATTGGTGGTGGAAGATGTGCACTGGTGGAGGGTTGGGTGTTCTATCATTGTTTGAAACTCAAACATGAAAGCTTTGTAACTGTCTTTCATGGTGATTCAACTAAAAAAAGTAATTAAAAAAAAGAATTGAGAGTACGGCCAGAGCGTTAGTAGGGTAGGGTGCTTGCCTTGCAAGAATTGAGAATAACTGCCCTTAGAACAAAATGGTAGCTTGGAATGAATCAGTAGTACTAAGTTTACTAAGAGCCAGTGACTGGAGGTATTCCACTATACACCTCAACCCCTACAGCGTGTAAGGCACTTACCTTGTATGAGGTTGACCTGAATTTGATTCCTGGCACCATGTACAGTCCCCAAGTCCACCAGGAGTGATCCCTGAGCACAGAGCCGGAATAAACCCTGAGCACAGCCAGGTGTTGCCAAAGACACCCCTCCCTCACCACCACCAAAGGGGAAAAAAAGGAATATTAGATGTCCTAGGGGATAATTTTTTGTTTCTTGTGAAAATTTTTTAATCTAAGTAGTGGCAGATGAATTGGTATACCTGGTTTATCATCAATTAATGTTTCTAATTAGGTACAACCCAGATGTGGTATTTCTACAGGAAGTTATTCCCCCATATTTTAGCTACCTAAAGAAGAGAGCAAAAAATTATGAAATTATTACAGGTAACAATTTTCTATTACTTGTCTTTTTCTTTAAAAAAAGTCAATGAAAAAGAAATCAAATTAGCCTATTGTAGTACAGACAAGAAAAAGTAAAAATATAGTAAATTTGAGAAAAATAAGCCAACGTTAGTATCTGGCGTTTGGCTTATTTATATATACTAACAGTATGAGAATGTTACTCAGTTTAATATTATAGGTTAAAAAATACTTGACAGCTGAAGAGAAAGAATGGGTTAAGACACTTGCAGGCTGAAGCCATAGCACAGCAGGTTGGGCATGTGACTGACCTAGGTTTGGTCCTTGGTATGGTCCCCTGAACCTCACCGAGTATGTTCCACCCCTCAAAAAAAAAAAAAAGAAAAAGAAAAAACCCAAAAAACCACCGAAAACAAAAAACAAATATTTGCCTTGCATGTGGTGAACCTAGTTTGATTTACAGCATGGAATGGTCCCCCAAGAACATCTGAGCTTCTCTGTGTGTACCTTCATTGCCTCCACCACCCCCACCTCCAAAAAGCGTTGAAATGATTTTTCAAGAAAATACAGGGGCTACAGTGATAGGGCTAGTAAGTACAGTGAGCAGGCTATTGGCTTTTCATGCAGCCGACTTGGGTTTGATCTCCAGCGTACCATATGGTCCTCCCTCCCCCCGGCACTGTCAGGAGTAATTCCTGAGTGCAGTGCAGAACCAAGAGTAACCCTTGAGCATTACTTAGGTTGTGTCCCAATAATAAATACATATATACACACACACACACACACATATATATATATATTGCTCAAATCCGAATACTGTATGGTCTTTTGGTGAAATTGTTATAATATTAAGTAGTAATAACCACATTGAAATTATGTAGTGTTTTTTTGTTTTGTTTTGTTTTGTTTTTTAAATTCTGGACCACACCTAGCTCTGCTCAGGGTTTACTCCTGACTCTGTTAAGGATCTTATACAGTGGCAGGAATCAAACCAAGGTCAGCACATGTATGCAAATACCTTAGTTGCTGCACCTTCTCTCTTGCCCATGGCTATGCTTTTTTTTTTATCGTCTCGTCATTTTCTCTTTAATTTTATTTCTTTTTTTTTCTCCAGTTTTAATACTGACTAGTTTAACTTTCTATTTCTCTTTATTTCTCTTTTGCTTTTAATGTACACTTTGCTCAAGCGGGCCCAGTAACATCTCCATTGGAGACTTTGTTGTTACTGTGTCTGGCATATCGAATACTCTCGGTAGCTTGCCGGGCTCTCCCGAGAGGGGCGGAGGAATCAAACTCGGGTCGGCCATGTTGGCCGCGTGCAAGGCAAACGCCCTACCGCTGTGCTATTTTTGTCTAAATCTCATGTTTTATTTAACTTAATATTCACATGGTACATAAATTTCTCCTTCCTTTGTTTTTTTTTTTTTGGACATACCTGGCACTGCTCTGGGCTACCCCTGGCAGTACTCAGGGGACTAGATCGGATGCTGGGGTTGAACCCAGCTCAGCTGCATATTTATTAGGCAAACACCCTCCCTGCTATACTATTCCTCCAGCCCAATGTACTACATGATTTTCACTTTGATCTTAATCCAGAATTGCTGAAGACAATATGCTATTGGTCTCTCTCACCAGTTCTTCTGCTTTGTGGTACCACTTTTTGCAATTTCATGAAGATTCTTTTTACTGCTCTGCACTTCTTGTTTTCTGATTCCTAGATTTTCAGCCTTGGTTTATTTAGTACTAGTGCATGGGGGTGTAAAAATTTTGAATTCTAGGATATTTGGAAATGTCTGTTCTGTTCTCATAGTTTGCTGGACATAGATTTTTAGGTGTAAAGTTATTTCCCCTCAGAATTTTGAAAGGTATTTTTTCTGAAGGCAGGAGTCAGGTCCGCTCCCAGATTGGGCTGGCGAGGTCAGCGTTGTGGTACAGGGGTCCAGCAGGGCCATGCCCTCAGGCACTGCATCTGATAGTGTTTAAGGGACCATACATAGTGCTTTGGATTGAACCAGCGTAAAAAACTATGCATGCAGAAGGTTGTGTGTTCGTGGGCTCTCTGGACGGCTCTTGCTCACTGCCCGCGTTCGGTGCCCTAGAGCCGCTGTGTATGGCCTAGATTGGGACGGCTGTTGGCCAAGGGCAGACGAAGGAAGAGACGAGGGCCAGGCCAGTTGATCTTTGTAGCAGTTTATTACAAGGAAGTTTATCCCATAGAAGAAATTTATGTTATGGAGGGCCTAGGTTCTCTCAAGCACATACTCTCCTTGCTAGTCTCTCTGTGGTCCATCTTCAGCCTTGCTCTCTCTTTCTCCAGCTCCCTTCTAGTTTGGGCTGACATTCCACCCAGTCAGGTAGCCAAATCAACCTAAGAAAGCCCTTTCTGACTGCCCCAGGCAAAATACCTCCTTAAGGTGTTTTTCTCTTTTCCTCAGTCCAATAAACTATCAACTATTCCTGAGGCTATGCAGGAAGGACAGAACAGTGTTATCCTACAAACCAGGGTTGATTGTGAGCACAGAAAGTACCTTTCCTCCTTTACTAGCTTTCTAGGCTGTTAAGTTTTAATCTCCTTTCCTTGTTTGGTTGGTTGGTTGGTAGTAAGACCATAACCTAAGCTATTACACCCAGCAGTGCTTAGGGCTTACTTACTCCTTATAATGCTTAGGAGATCATATGAGGTGCCCAGGATACCATCATGCAAGGCAAGCCCTGCATGTACAGCGGTACTGTCTCTCCAGCCCCAACAGAGACTTAGGTTTTAATCTCTTAACTGTCATTTTTTGTTATAGACTATCGCCTCTAGCTTGAAGGTGGGTGCTGGTCTCCTCAAAAAGTTTATTTAAATGATTATTCAGGGAGCCAAAGTAATAGTATAGCTAGGTAGGGCTTTTGCCTTGCACACAGCTGACCCGGATTTGATCCCCAACATCCCACATGGTCCCCGGAGCTAGCCAGTAATGATTCCTGAGCACAGACCCAGGAGTAACCCCTGTGTGTCACCAGAACTGACCCCAAACCTAAACAAGACTAAACAAACTCATAAAAAAATAAATGATCATTCAGATAGATTTGTAGACTGACCTGAAGAGTGAGTGAGGGCTTCAGGGCAAAGAGAACCTAGGAGAGAATTGGCTTTTTTTGCAAGGTTGCTGGATGCCGGGTTTTTTTTTTTTTTTTTGGTCACACCCAGCTGATGCTCAGGTGTTACTCCTGGCTCTGCACTCAGGAATTACTCCTGGCAGTGCTCAGGGGACCATATGGGATACTGGGAATCGAGCCCAGGTCGGCCATGTGCAAGGCAAATGCCCCACCCGCTGTGCTATTGCTCCAGTCCCTGGATGCTGGTTTTAAAATTTTTTTGTTGTTGTTGGGTTGGCCCTCCAGGTTTATTTCCAGTCCAGTTAGTTTGATTTGTGTCTTTTCACTAAATGTTGAGGCATTTCTTAGTGAGGATTCTCTGGGTGTTGATTTCTCTTTGCTTACATCCTTTTTGGGTCCTGCTGGTTGTTTCCATGATTCTTGTAGGCAAAAAAGTTCCATGTTCAGAATGTAGGGCCAGAGAGAGCATAGGGATTAAGGTGCTTGCCTCTCATCCCCAGACCCCGTTTGATCCCTGGTCCTACTAGGGGGTCACTCCCGAGAATAGGGCTAGGAACAGCCCTGAGTACCCATGGGTGTGACCAGCCTCCCTCTTTTCCCTCCCCTACCTTCAAGCCCCCAAAATGTAGAGGCAGTTATTCTCTCCTTGTCATTGACTTCCTGTCACGCATAGCCTGTCCAGTCCATTCCCACAGTGTCATACTGGCCTTTCATGGACACGACGATGGATGCTCAGTGGAGCCAGCCTGGTAGTGATGAGGCGTTCCCTAATAGTTTCTTTTTTGGTTTTGTTTTTGTTTTGAGGCCACACCTGGTGGTGCTCAAAACTTACTCCTGGCTCTTGCTCAGGGATGACTCCTGGTGGGACTCCGGGACTAGAGCAGGAGGAAAGGTAAAGAATATGAATCCCTGGAGCAATAGCAAAGTGGGTAGGGCGTTTGCTTTGCACGCGGCTGACCCGGGTTCGATTCCCAGCATCCCATATGATCCCCCAAGCACTGCCAGGAGTGATTCCTGAGTGCAGAGCCAGGAGTAACCCCTGAGCATCACCGGATGTGACCCAAAAAGAAAAAAGAAAAAAAATAACAATAATATGAATCCCCAGTGGTGCTGATGGGATTGACCCGGGAAGGCCACTTGCGAGGCAGGTACCTTCCCACTGACCTGTCTCTTTGGCCCAACATTTTTATTTCTTTGCTTTTGCTTTGGTGTCTTCATGTTCACTTCTTCCTTTATTCTTACATATTCTTCAGGTACTAAGAAGCTTATAACAGTTCTGTCTTACTGAACAGGGCCAGATACAACTTAAGCCCCTACAGGGACCCACTCCTCCTCTGCTTCCCCCCTCCCCCCAACACACACACAGAGGTTAGTGATAAATTGATTGTGGAATAAACTGTTCTTTGGGGAACCCCCATCACCACCAGTTGTCAGTATATCATATTTTAAAAGGCCTTTCAGTTTGACTAAAATGTATTCTTTACTGTTCCTTCTTCTATATTCTAATATACTGGGTTGGAAACGGGGTCATGTGTTCGTTACACCGTCTTGCTAGGAACTTTCTTGTGACTCGGTGCATATACTCTACTCAACTCCTCTATTTTCAGTCCTAATGTCAGCTCATTTCCCTCTCCTTCCTTCCAGCATTTGAGGCTGTAAAAGTCTAAATTCTCTTTGAACATCTTATTTTAGTGCAGTCATCACTTGACTACAAGGACTTGCGGATGTGGGTGGGGGAGCCTTTCTGTTTATCCCCTGTACATAGACCTTAAACTAGCCCTCCCAGTCTTCGTTCAGCATCTGGTTTACTAATTTTTGTTGTTCAATTATTTTGATGAAACAAATCCACTTGCTTTTACTCCATGGCCTCTGCTGTAGGCTAGCCCAGTGCTTCCTTCTCTTCCAATAAACTAGTTACCATTTACTTGTTTTCTAAAAATCTGTTAAAAGTGTTTTGCTTGCTTTCTAAAAATCTGCCCACTATTTTTTTTCTTGCAAGTTTTCCCTTTCTGATTTTCTTTTTTTATCTGATGCTTCCAGAGTAAGAAGTAAATGCATTTCACTTTACCTCAGCTTCAGTCTCTTTGCCTTTCAGAATTTTCTTGTTTGATATTGGCAAATGGTGTCATTTTTTAAAAAATTGCCCTCTAATTTCCCCCTTCCCTTTTTTTCCCCTTTGTTGTTGTTTTTATGATGCTCAGGGATTGCATACACTTGGTTGTGGTACACTGGAGATTGCACGTTTGTTGTGGTGCCAGGAACCCCAAACAGCATAGCTATGGGGACTGCACTTTGCCTGTGATGCAGTGCTAAGAATTGAACTTGTGGTCTCACTGTCTTCTTGCTTGCAAGGCAGAGCCTGCTGCTGAATTGTTGCTGGGCCTCTCCATTTTTGCAAAGTGATTTCTTTTTTGGTTTTCGGGACACACCTGGCGCACTGCTCAGGGCTTACTCCTATCTCTGTACTCAGAATTACTCCTGATAGTGCTGAGGCTTAAACTTGGGTAGGCTACCTGCAAGGCAGTCACCCTACCTATTGTAGTATCTGTGGCCCCCGCTCCACTTTTATTTTTGTATTTTGCATGTACTTCCAGTTGCAGAAGTATTTTGGCAGGGGCAGGGAAATCCTATATCTTCAACTGTTTTGGAATAGTTCACTTGCAGTATCCTTTTAAATTTGTTATTTAAAAAAAAAATCTTCAGTAGGGGAACTTGTGATACATGAAAATACTCTTGACATCTTAACCAATTTTTTTCCACAAACATCTGAAGGTAATGAACAAGGATATTTCACAGCCATAATGTTGAAGAAATCAAGAGTGAAATTTAAAAGCCAAGAGATTATTCATTTTCCAAATACACAAATGATGAGAAATCTTCTGTGCGTGCACGTAAGTAATTTTTACAAAGGGTCACTTGTATGGTGAAGGATGGAATAGTTCTTTTTTTGAAAAAAAAAATAGTTGAAGCATTATTTAATTTATTGAAGCATAACAATGAATCCATATATGTTGATATAAATATTTTATTTATTTTTTTATGTAGGAGTACTGCTATTTATTCAGCCACTGATTAGCTGATTGAATTGGGCATGAACTCCACCTTTTTTTCTTTATTTTTTATAATTTTATTTATCGAATCATGGAATTGTTCTTTAGTGATGAGTTTAAAGCAGTATGTGATTCATGATAATGTGATTATCTGGATTTGGTGTAATTTATACAGGTGTGATATATAATGATGCACACCTAAAGCCTACGTAATGTTATGATGAAATTTTTAGTAAAATACTTTTAAAATAAAAACTACCCTTTAGAGAAACTAGATGTTCCTTTGTTAGATTCTTTAAGAGATCTTTCAGAACTTTGCAAGTTACTTTTTTACATAAGTTACAAATGCTGACAAACTTAAAGAAATGAAATATTTGATCCTTTTATTGCTTTCTTAAATGTATCAGTTTGCTAACATTCCACATTTCTACATTTTTTAGTTTGTTTTAGTTTTGGGTCGGCCATGTTGGCTGCGTGCAAGGCAAACGCCCTACCGCTGTGCTATTGCTCCACAAGCGGCCAACATGGCCGACCCGAGTTCGATTCCTCCGCCCCTCTCGGAGAGCCCGGCAAGCTACCGAGAGTATTCGATATGCCAGACACAGTAACAACAAAGTCTCCAATGGAGACGTTACTGGGCCCGCTCGAGCAAATCGACGATCAACGGGAGGGCCTTTACCTTTACCTTTACCTTTAGTTTTGGGGCCACATCCAGCAGTGCTCAGGTGCTATCCTTAGCTCGTTGTTTAGGTATTGCTCTGAGGGACCCTTTGCTAGAGGGAACATTTGGTACCAGGGATTGAACCCTGAGTTCAAATGATGAGAAATGTTTTGTCTGCGCATGTAGGTAATGCAAAATACGCTCTGCAGCCCATTGAGCTATTGCCTTGTCCCCTGTAAAGTAGGTATTGACTAAGCGCGCTGTTTATGGTAAAGTGTTAGACTCTGGGGCTTACAAAACGAGTCAAATAGATCTTGCTTTCACACATAATGTTAGTAAGAAAAAGATTGCATGTATTGTCACTAAAGTAAAGAAAATGCATAAATGTACCATGGAAGGTTAGAGAAAAGGCAATTAACCTTGCTAGATTTTTTTTTTTTTTTTTTGCTTTTTGTGTCACACCTGGCGATGTACAGGGGTTACTCCTGGCTCTGCACTCAGGAATCACCTGTGGCAGGGCTCAGGGGACCATATGGGATGCTGGCAATCGAACCCGAGTCGGCTGCGTGTAAGGCAAACGCCCTACCCGCTGTGCTATTGCTCCAGCCCCTCCTTGCTAGATTTTTAGGGAAAGATCCACAAAGAAAATTATATTGGACCCTGCAAAATAAGGTGATGTCAACATTAACAGGTGCAAATGGCACGTATGTGGGCATCAATTAGCTTTTTATTCATTTAACTAGCATTTTTTTGACTATTAATTGCCAGACTTTTGATTATGTATCAGTAAGCAAAGCATTTTTGTTTTCAGCTGACTCAGCGGTTTGTAGGAGGGAAATAATTGTGCTGTAATTCAGCTTAGAGGACTTGAAAAATGGCTGTTGTGCTGTAGGAGTATAAAGCGGGAGCTAACTAGTTACCTGAGGAAGTACTCGTAATAGAGGTGACATTTAAGTTAGTGTTTGCTAAGTTGTCTGTGGGAGCACTGTTAGCACTTTATACTTGGATCTATAGTGATTATATGATTTTCCTCCATGATAATCAAATAATTGCTGATTCTACTGTCTAGTTAAGCATTGGTGCTGACTGGATAATTTTTCTGACTAAATTTATCCTGTTGCAGGTGAGTATTTTGGGGAATGAACTTTGCCTTATGACTTCCCATTTGGAGAGCACCAGAGGGCATGCACCAGAGCGAATGAATCAGTTTAAAATAGTTTTAAAGAAAATTCAGGAGGCACCAGAGGCATCTGCAGTTATATTTGCAGGAGATACAAATTTAAGGGATCAAGAGGTGAGTAACAAGGTTAGTTTAATCTTTGTAGACAGATGTTGCTGTGGAAATGTCAGTTCAGTCTTTATAGTAGAATGTGCTGTGGAGATCACTTTAAAGCTCATTTGTCAAAAACCTTTTTTTCTATTGAAAATGTCTAAAAAGCCCTTGCAGATGCACCTCAGCAAATCGCCTGTGCTATATGCCTCGAACCCAGGAAGTAGAGCAATAGTAAAAATAGCCTGATTAAGAAATGAGCAGAAAGATTTGATTATTTCTCTGTATCACTGTATCATGATACTGGTATTTGGCCATCTGTATATTATCTTCTTTAGAGAAATAATATGCCCATCATTGTTACTGGTATTTGGCATATTGGGTACGCCACGGGGAGTTTGCCAGACTCTGCCGTGTGGGTAGGTTACATTCTGCCTGCCAAGTTGTCCAAAGCAAGCATGAGATAATAAAATGTCTTCCGGGAGCTGGGTTTTATAGTCTCTGGGTCTTGGCCGTTGATGGGATTACACAGTGCTGGGGGGCATTGGTGGGTGTGACCCCTGCCTACTGGAAGATGCAGGATCTGAGTGGAGGATGCTCAGCCCTGATCCGAGCCGGCTTGGAGATCTCAGCCCTGGGACCCGCATGCCTTTGTTCCTCTGCCGGTACCTTCATGCGTGTGGAGAGTGGTCTCAGCATGGTTGTGGCTGGTTCTGGAGGTCTTCAGCTGCCGGAGCCCTGGTCGGGGCGGGGAGGGAAACTCAACCCACCCCCTTTCAAGGGGCCCCGGTGAGGACAGCCAGGTGCAGGGGCAGGAGACTCTGTGCTGTTTGACGAAAAACTGAATGATCTGATTGTGATCACTGTATCACTATCATCCTGTTGGTCATCTGTTGCCTCGAGCAGGCCCCTGTAGCATCTCCTTTGTCCTAGCCCTGAGATTTTAAAACGTGCCACATTCGAGGCTCTTTCAGGGTCAGAAGAATGAGACCCATCATTGTTACTGGTTTTTGGCATATTGAATATGCCATGGGGAGTTTGCCAGACTCTGCCGTGTGGGCAGGATACCTTTGATAGCCTCCCAGGTTCTACAGATTAAGACCTAGATAATAAGATGTCACATGGCCACAAATGGGCCACACACTTCCGGGAGCAGGGTTTTATAGTCTCTGGGTCTTGGCCGTTGATGGGCTTACATGGCGCTGGGGGCAGTTGGTGGGTGTAACCCTCACCTGGAAGGTGGGGGATCTGGGTGGAGGAGGCCCCAGTCCCAATCCGAGCAGGCTTGGAGATTTACGCCCTGGGTCCTGCACACCTGGGTTCCTCTGCCAGTTCCTTCATGTGTGAGGTTCGTCCGAACGTGTGGAGAGTGGTCTTAAGCATGGCTGTGGCTGGAACCAGAGTTCTTCAGCTGCCGGGGCTCTGCTTGGGGTGGGGAGGGCAACTCAGCCCACCCTCTTCCAAGGGGCCCCTTGGCTGTGAGGACAGCCAGGCATGGAGGCAGGAGACTGCGCTGTTCTCTTCTAGAGCAGGGTTTTATAATCTCTGGGTCTGGGCCGTTGATGGGATTACACAGCACCCGGGGGCAGTTGGTGGGTGTATTATTTCTCTAAAGAAGATAATATACAGATGGCCAATAAGTACATAAAATTTGCTTAACATCACTAAGTATTTCTAAATTGTATGTCAGAACCATAATGGGATCCCACTTTACATCTATTTGCATGGCTGGAGCCCTGTACCTTGGGTAGGGTGTTTGCTTTGCATGCAGCTTACCCAGGTTCTATCCCTGGCATCCCATGATCCCAGAGCACTGCCAGAAGTGATTCCTGAGTGCAGAGATAAGAGTCATCCCTAAACATTTCTAGATACGGCCTCAAAATCAAACCAAACAAACCCAAAAAACAAAGAACGAATTTTTTAAGATGACAAGTTCGGCAGAGATGTTTAAAACGTATGATCCTTGTGCATTGCTGTTGGGACTGTAAAATGGTGCAGCATAATATGGGAATACAAATAAAAAATTGTGAGGATACCTCTAAAAGTTAAACAGAATTTCCTTTTGATCTATGTTCCAATTCCACTTGAGTTTACACCCTAAATCAGAAAAACTGACTTTTGAGGAGATATTTTTGCAGTCATCAATATAGCAGTTTCATTCACAGTAGGTAAACTATTTGAGTGACCCAGTGTCTATCCATTGACAGATAAATGTATAAATAAAATGTAGTGCATCTCTTCCATAGAATATTATCAAACCTTTAAAAGAAAGAAAATGCTGAAACATCTACAATACAGAGAACGCTTAATTCATGCAAAGTGAAGTAAGCCCGTTATAAAAGAAAAATGTCTTATGATTCCTTAAATTATGCTTGTTATTGCTAGGGGAAGGAGAGTTAGTCTTTAAAGGCTACAGTATTTCAGTGTAGGAAAGTGGATTTTAGAGATTGATGATTGCACAATAATGTAGATACAGGTACTGCCACAAACTTTACATATTTATGCATATTTTACCATATTTTTTAAACTCCTAGAATGTGAATGGGAAAATGAATTAATATATTGCTCATTAATTTTATATAAAATAATAAAAGGCAATTGATATAAGTAATTTGCTTCAAAATTCTTAGAGTAACACTTTGCAACTTTGCTATCTTTCATTTGTGTTTTCTCTCTCTCCTCCTCCTTTTTTTTTTGTAAATTTTTGGGCCAATCCTATCAATGCTCGGGGATTCCTCCTGGTTCTGCACGCAGGAATAACTCCTGGAGGATCATACGGGATGCTGGGGATCAAGCCCGGGTTGGCCATGTGTAAGGCATGTGTCCTCCTCGCTGGACTGTCTCTCCAGCCTCAGTGTTTTTTCTTTTTTGTGGTGATATCAGGGATCAAAGTCAGGGCCTCACACAAATAGGCAAGTGCTTTACCATTGGGCAACCTTGTGGGCCTTTGTGTTCATTGTTTTTGTTGTTGTTGGAGCGATAGCACAGTGGTAGAGTGTTTGCCTTGTGCGCAGCCAGCCCGGCCCAGGCTCGATTTCGAGCAAATCGATGAACAATGGGAGGACATTGACAGTGACAGTGGGTTTTTTTTTTTTTCTTTTTGGGTCACACCCGGCGATGCACAGGGGTTACTCCTGGCTCTGTGCTCAGGAATTACCCCTGGCAGTGCTCAGGGGACCATATGGGATGCTGGGAATTGAACCTGAGTCGGCCGCGTGCAAGGCAACGCCCTACCCACTGTGCTATTGCTCCAGCCCCGTGTTCATTTTTAATAAGATATCGATGGCAATAACTGTGGACATGGGTTTTTAGCTTTCTAAAATTTAAAAAAAAATTATATTCATGAGGTTGTTCACATTAATTACATTCAACATTTCAACACCAGTTCCACCATCATTACACCTTCCCTCCACCGTTATCTCGAATTTTCCCACCACCATTCAACCCTGCCTATAACAGGCAGATGCTAGATAATTTATTTTCTATTGCCTATTATGAATATCATGAGAGGTCGCATGCCCGCTTTCGCGGTCATGTGCTTCTGGAATTCTAAAATTGTAAATGGTTGGGGTCCGGAGACATCCCTGTAGAGAGCTAATCCATTCTAAGATTCATTTGTGAGTCTCTGGATCAAGGCCAATGATGTGCTTAAATGGTGCCCGGAGGCAGTTCATGGGCATGACAGTCAGGACCCTGAAGGGGCAGAGGGACGGGAAGGGACTGCCCGTCCCCACCATGTGGCTTGGAGTCTTCATTCCCTGGTCCCAAGTACCTGGGTTTTTCTTCTGGAAGTTTGTGGCCACCCGGGGTTCATTTGGAGTGGGCAGAGAGAGGACACCCACTCCATCTGAGGGGCCCTGGTGAAATCAGCTCAGCACGGAGTCCGAAGAAATCTCCGGTGAGCATCTGTCTTCTGGGATTCAGTGCTGAGTCACTGGATCAGGGCCAGTGATACACTTAAATGGCACCTGGGTAACCATCTGAATTTTATCTGACACTCAAAGTTAGTCTATGGAGGAAGAGAAGGGACAAATTTCAGAATTCTTTAGCTGTCATATTTTGAGGGGGCGAGGCCACACCCTGCCTTCTCACCGCACTCAGGGCTACTCCTGTCTTTGTGTTCAAGGATCACTTCTGGTGGGGATCAAGAGATCATATGGTGTGCTGAGGATTGAATTTAGGAGCCCTACGCACCATATTATCTCTCCGGCCCCCCATCGTGGTATGTTTATATCACCTATTATCGTGCAGCAAAACATGTTTTATAAAATACCGAACAGTTCGATTACTTATAGTATCTAGTTGGCATTTTTGTGTTTGTTAAACTGTGACATTCTAATTTGAAATGTTACACTGAGAGGCAATACTAGTAAAGACAGATACCTTTTTAGCTTAGAACATGAAAAATGGTGAATCTTACAGTTTTTTCTTTTTTCTTTTCAGGTTGCCAAATGTGGTGGTTTACCTGACAACATTTTGGATATCTGGGAGTTTTTGGGCAAACCTAAGCATTGTCAGTATACATGGGATACACAAATGAACGATAATCTTGGAATTGCTGCTGCTTGTAAGCTCCGTTTTGATCGAATATTTTTTAGAGCAGCCTCAGAAAGTGGCCATGTTATTCCCCAAAGCATGGATCTCTTAGGGTTGGAAAAACTAGAATGTGGTCGATTTCCGAGTGATCACTGGGGTATTCTGTGTAATTTTGATGTGATCTTGTAATATGCTTTGTAGATAAGAATTGTAAAATGTTCTGAGTTGTTTTATACTGGATTTTTACAAATTTCTCTCCGATTTGAAAAGGGGGTATAATATGGAGGAATATTGGATACTGGATCATAGTAACACAAAACTGCTGTGGTGTAATTTTGAGGATTGATTATATCAGAGCTTTAGTACCAAATATTAATGTTTATTTAAATTAAAGCATAACCATTTTAGAAGATGAGACCTCCTAATGAATGAACATAGATTACTAAGTGTGTGTGTGTGTGTGTGTGTGTGTGTGTGTGTGTGTGTGTGTGTGTGTGGCTAGGGATCAAGCCAGGGCCTAGCATGTATTCTGCTGCTAAGCCACAACTCTGGCCTATCAGAGTTGTTTTTAGTCTTTGTTTTTGCAATCACGAGGGTCGAACTCAGGTGTCATACATGCAAAATACGTGCTGCAGAACCACCTCGCCAGCCTCTGTCAGCACTTTCAAAGCTTTACTAGTCCTCGTAGCTGGGGCCCAGGAGATGGCTCAAGAACACATGCTTTTAGCATGCCAGAGTCTTGGGTTTGGTCCCCAGCACTTAGGACTCAGTTCAGCACCACCAAGCTCCACTGGGGATGGCCTTATAAAAAAAAAACAAAGTAAACCAGGCACCAAAACTATTATTTTTTTTTCTTTTTGGGTCAACACCCGGCGATGCACAGGGGTTACTCCGGCTTTGCATTCAGGAATTAATCCTGTCGGTGCTTGAGGGGGGCCATATGGGATGCTGGGAATTGAACCCCTTTTCGGTCACATGTAAGGCAAATGCTCTACCCGCTGTATTATTGCACCAGCCCAATTTTTTTTTTTTTTTGCTTTTTTGGGTGACACCCAGTGATGCACAGGGATTACTTCTGACTCATGCACTCAGGAATTACTCCTGGTGGTGCTCGGGGGACCATATGGGATGCTGAGAATCGAACCCGAGTTGGCCACATACAAGGCAAACGCCCTACCTGCTGGGCTATCGCTCCAACCCCTCCAGCCCAATTTTTAAAAAATATTTTAAAATAAGTCTTCAAAAGAAGACTTTGAATCTCGGTCTTTTAATTATACTTTACAAATTCAGATAATGTTAAGAAGTACCCTAGTGATAAGCATTTTTGTTTTGATTTGGATTTGGGCAACACCCAGCAGTTCTCAGGCCTTACTCCAGGCTCTGTGTTAGGGATCACTCCTGGTAGGCTCAAGGGACCATATGGGATGTCGGCCGTTGAACCTGGGTCTGCCACATGCAAGGCAAGCACCCTACCTGCTGTACTGTCGCTCCGGCCCTGTAATCATAAGCATTTAAAGAGATCACCGGACTTAATTTTTGTTAGCAAACAGTATGTAATTGGTAAGCTATAAATAAAATGATTTAGTCTTCATAACTTCTAAAGATTCATGTTTATAGTTATGTTGCCAGTAGAGGGAAAGCTTTGATTTTGATTAAAGTCAGTTTCATACTGTATGGGACTTTTTGCTAAGAGGGCAACATTAACATTTAGTTTTGCTACTTGTAAAACTGAAGTTATTTTAGAATAAGTAAACAAAGTGAACTTCCAGTGTTACTTGTTTGTTGGTTTCTTTTTGTTTGTTTTGGAACACATCCAGTGATACTCAGGGGTTACTCCTCACTCTCCACTCAGGGATCATTCCTAGCAGTGCTCGGGAGACCAAACGGGAAGCTAGGATCGAACCCAGGTGTGCTTTGTGCAAGGCAGAGACCCTAAATGCTGTACTATTATTTCAGTCCTCGGTATACTTTAAAAAAATGACATTTGTGGGGGGCCAGATAGTTCAGCGAATAGGGCAGTTGCCTTGCATACAGCCAACCTAGGTTTGGTCCCTGGCACCACATAATGATCACCCAAGCCCACCAGGAGTAATCTCTGAGCACTGCTGGGTGTGACCCAAAACAGCAACAAAGAATAAATAAAAAATAAACAACTTTTTTCCGGTGCCAGGGATAACTTGGTGTATAGTAGCACTCCTGCCTTGCAGAATGAGGCATGACAGTGAGCCATCTCTTGACAAACACAAGTGTGCAGCTGCGGCGCTACCCCAGGGAGCATCAAACCCGTGCCACTCCTGTTAGGCACCCAAAGTATGTGCACTGCTTCCCAAGTGGCATTAGACTCCCCGTAGTCGCAGCCACATAGGGCAAAGGGAAGGGAAGGGAAGGGGGAATTGTCTTTTCCATAAGATAAATATTCTTTAATAAAGAATTTTCTTCGGAGTTTGCTTTAGTGTTTTTATGCACATGATGGAGCTGAAGTTTGTGCCTGCTTCCTGTCTCTGGATTTATTGCTGCTACTTCATCTTTGCTTCTTATCCTGCCATGAACTCTCTCAAGAATGTCCTGACTTGGTTGAAAACAGAAGAACACTCCCTCTCCCCCCCCACTCACATACATCCCCCAGAAAGGGAAGAAAGCCAGTGGATTAAATACAGTGTGAAAGGACACATCTATTTTTCCTTGGGTTGCTGAAATGAGCTAAAACACTATATATCTTGGAATTTATACAGTTAGTCCCTTTGTATGGAAAGCTTTTATATTAGCCATAATTTTAATTACTAAAAGTAAATAAAGGGACTGGAGAACGGTATAGAGGTTAGGACTCTTGCCTTGCACACAGCTGATTGGGGTTTGATCTCTGGCATCCCATGTGTTGCCTGAGTGCAGAGTCAGGAGTGTGCCTTGAGCACAGCTGAATGTGACCCCAAACCAAGGAAGAATCAAATAAGGGCCTGAGAGATGTGACTGGTAGATACCCCCCTTACATACGAGGCCATAAGTTTCGTTTCTACAGTTTCCCTGTGATCACTGGCATGATAGTGCGTGTTCCCTGGGGAGCACCACAACCAAGTGTGTGAGCCCGGGACGATGCAGATAAGACAACAAGGGGTGTGTGTGTGTGGGGGGGGGGGAGTAATCTATGCTAATGTTTTACAAGCAAGGCGGGCCAGAGAGAGTCCGGCATTAAAGGCACCCTTTGTGCATTCACCTGGTTAGATCCTTAGCACTTTATGGTTTCTGAGCATTGCCAAGAGTTGCCCCTCAGTGCCTGTCATATGGCCCCAATACATCTACTCCCCACCAATGAAAAAGCAATAGGGACTTCGGGGGACACATTCATTAAAAAGAATAAGAACCCCCTCCTACCACATTACCAGAAAATGAGTTGAGGGAAAGACTAAATACAAAAAGCAAAAAATAGATAAAAAGTTACAAGTGAAGTGAAACCAAATCACTTTTTAATATCCTTTTCTGGGCAAAAGTTCTGAATGAATCCAGTATTGTAGCTTTTTATACTTGACCTCCATTCCTGGTAAGAGTCAAACTCACAATGTTCTCTTTCAGCAGGCTGATAAGAACCAGGATACGGCTCTGGCAATGCCGTGCAATAGATCTGGTTTCAGTCCCTGGCATCATCTTTGCCACTGCCATGGAGAATACTGAAAGCCTGATACTTTTATCATTATTTGGGCTGGAGCGATAGCACAGCGGGTAGGGCGTTCGCCTTACAAGCGGCCAACATGGCCGACCCGAGTTCGATTCCTCCGCCCCTCTCGGAGAGCCCAGCAAGCTACCGAGAGTATTCGATATGCCAGACACAGTAACAACAAAGTCTCCAATGGAGATGTTACTGGGCCCGCTCGAGCCTTTTTATACAATAATTATGTAATCAATTATTATATTAGTTAGTGGATTAAAATGTAATTTTAAAAATAGATTAAACATTTATTTTAAATAATGAAAAAATTAATTTAAAATTTAAACATTTAAAATATAAAATTAATTTTTAAAAATAATTACTCAGTTAAAAAACTCTTCTCCAAAAAGACTGCGTCGAGAGGAAGAGACCTCTCAGAGGCTGCTCAGATTGGGGTTACTCCTGGCTCTGTGCTCAGGAATTACTCCTGGCAGTACTTGGGAGACCATATGGGATGCCAGAGATTGAACCCGGGTCGGCTGTGCGGAAGGCAAGTACGCTCCCCACTGTACTATTGCTCTGGCCCCACATTTCAAGACAGGGCCCCCAGGGTCATTGCAGGATGGTCCACATTGGTGGCTCCCCTTGCTGTAGGCGATTTCTTTTTCTTTGTGTTTGGAGACATAGAGACAAAGACAGCACTCTTGTGCCCAGTGCTCCTTGCTCTTGTGCACGGTGCTCCTTAGCAGGAATAAAGGCTGGGCAAAATGCTGCATTGATGCTGAGAAGCTCTTCAGTGTTGGTGGCCGGGGCTGCGTTATTGTATTGGCTTTGATGAAACAAAGATGATCGCCTGTTTGTAGCTGCAGACTTGTATTTTTTTTCTTTTAATTTTCTGGGCCACCCCCAGCCGTGCTTAGGACTTGCTCCTGGCTCTGTGCCCAGTGATCACTCCTAGTGGGGCTCCAGGGACCCTATGTGGGGCCCGGGATTGAACCCAGGTGAGCCTCGTGCAAGGCACCTTTCCCACCCTCTAATCTTCCTAGTCTCTGCAAATACAGGTGTGAAAATTTCTGAGCTAAGTCTGCCTTGGCCTCAGACTGCTTGATGTTGAAGTGAACAGCGTTATTCCAGTACCTGGTTTATCACAGACTGTTTCTCTTCAAGCTGAGGATTCTAAGAATGGACCCATGGTGCTAAGTGTGGTCCTGTGTAACAGTTACACAAGATCATGGTAGTTGGTCCACAGACCTACTTAGTGAGGTGAGGAAGATGGAGCAAAACCACACACACACACACACGCACACAGACATGCACACATGCACACACAGGCGCACATACGAACACACACACACATGCACAAGATACGCACACACACATGCACACACAGACACGCGTGCACACAGGAGTGCATGTAAAAGTTGGCATAATTAGCACAAGGCCCATACTAGTAGTATTGAACTCACGTCAATTTCCCGGATTTGGTATTTGCCTGGTAATGTAGGAGGGTTACCAACCCGGGTTTGACTCCCAGCACCACATATGGTCCCCAAGCACCTCCAAGTGTGATTCCTCATCACAGAGCCAGGAGTAAGCACTGAGCACCACCATATATGGCCCCCAAACCAAAAATAAATAGGTACAATAAAAGGTTAAAAAAATGTTGAGGGCGAGGGTGGGGTGGGGGTAGGGGTGAATATGGGAGAGGAACTGGAGAGACTGGTGGTGGGAAATGTACATTGGTGAAAGAACGGGTGTTGGAATGTGATATGACTGAAACCCAGTCATGAACAACTTTGTAACTGGTATCTCACTGTGATTCAGTTTAATAAATTTTTTTTTTTCCTTTTTGTGTCACATCCAGCAATGCTCAGAGGTTACTCCTAGTTCTGCACTCAGGAATTACTCCTGGAGGTGCTTGGGGGGACTGTATGGGATGCTGGGGATTGAACCCAGGTTTGCCGCATGCCAGGCAAATGCTCTACCTACTGTACTATCACTCTGGCCCCAATAAATACAATTTTTTTAAAAAGATGTTGAGTGTAAACAGCCGGACTCATGCTGAATATTGACATACTGAAAATCTTCAATTAAAATCAATGACAAGTTAACGTGTGTTAACACACACACACACACACACACACACACACGAGTCCATACCATTTCTCCAACTTTTTTTGTTCTGGGGCCATACCCAGCAATGCTCAGGGGTTACTCCTGGCTCCGCACTCAGGAATGACTCTCGGTGGTGCTTAGGGGACCACATGGGATTCTGGGGACTAACTCCCGGTCAACTGCATACAAGGCAAATGTCTTCCCCGCTATACAATTGCTCTGGCCCCAAAGCATGCTTTTTGAGGTAAGTTTCAGGAGTGGCCAAGTTTCTTATTTTCACAGAGCACAGAAGCGGGGCGAGATCTGGGCCACATTCTGGCTCTGGTTGTGTGCAGACACTCTATGTGGTTCCAGAATCAAACCTGGATCCACATGCCAACCTGGATTCCCCCTACATTTCACTGTCACTGTCCTCCCATTGTTCATCGATTTGCTTGAGCGGGCCCAGTAACATTGTGAAACTTGTTACCGTGTTTGGCATATCGAATACGTCACGGGTAACTTGCCAGGCTTTGCTGTGAGGGCGAAATACTCTTGGTAGCTTGCCAGGCTCTCCGAGAGGGGCAGAGGAATCGAACCCGGGTCGGCCATGTCAGCCGCGTGCAAGGCTGCCTCCCTGAACTCGTCCTTCCTGGGAGAGGGCCGGAGGGGCACCTTTGTAAACCCAAGTCCTGCTTTTAGGAGCATGTGGGGTTTTTCTTCCCTGTTGCTTCTCACATTTTCAACACACTATAACCCTCAAGGCCTAACAGTGTATTTTGGGGTGACATATCCTTAACCCCTTGACAACTGTATCTCACTGTCGCTTCGCTACACTTCATACATATCTGAACTGGTCGAAGAATTTCCATGACCAACTCAAATGATGAACAGGAAGGAAAAAAACACAACCGCGAAACACAGAAGCAGGAAGTTCTGTTACTTGAACATTTATTAATTACACACACCATTCTGCAGACGAAAACACAGGTTCACATACACAATTAGCAAAAACTTGGCATGTGGGTTTCGTGTTCATGTTTAAAAAGTAAAAGGATTACTCACACATCCTGCTACACTTCTTCCTGCATTCTTCCACAATAGGAGAAAAATCATAAATATTATTCAAGTAAAATGCCACCTGAAACAGCTACATGTAGAAGGTTAAAACCCCGGGCTCCAGTCCTCGGAGAAGGCAGTCATGTGGCACAATTCAGTTAATAGGTTAACAGTAAATTATATTGATGTGTATTGTGCTTCTGATCTTTATTTTCAATGGAGTCTTATGGTAAGATTAAAGGCAGGGGAAACAGCATCTAAATTCCTTAAATGAGATTTCCTGAACAATCACAGAAAGTAAATCGACATTTTTTTTCCAGGCCAAGGGTTTCTCTTAATCTAGGTAACTTGAGTTACATATATTCTCTAGAAAGTTCTTGATGACAACTCACTAAAGCAATGTCTAGAAAAGTGCTTTTTACACAGGTGTCAATGAAATGAAATGTTTGATAAAGGCCTAAGCCAGGGATAACAGATTTTCCGGCAAAGAGCCGAAGTGTAAATATTTTACATTCTACAGGTCACAGTGCAAACGGATGGGATGTCTCCGTGCCTTTATGGACATAGAAATCTGAATTTCATATCACTCGCAGGTGCCATGAATGGGATTATTCTGATTCTCACCACGGCCCCCTCCCCGACAATCTACCATTTGGAAACCAAAAAACCGTGTGTGTGTGTGTGTGGTGGGGGGCGCTTACATCTGGCAGTGCTCAGGGGCTATTCCCAGTTCCGCACTCAAGAATCACTCCTGGTACGCTCGGGGGAGCATTTGGGATGCCAGGGATCAAACTTGGGCTGGCCACAAACAAACCAAGTACCCTCCTCTCTGTACAATCACTCTGGACCCAAAAAGTCATTCTTCACTCTGGGTTTCACAAAGCCAAGTGGCAGGTGACCGGGCCTGTGATTTGTCCACATTGTTCTAGCGGTCATTTCCTATTTCATGACAAAAAGTGTATTTCTGGGTAAAGGCTCATCCATCACCAGCAGCGAACTGACTATAAGAAAACAATCTCCATATGAAACACTCAACTAAAACCACAGCTTTTCCTTCCCGCCACTCAGGACAATTTCAGCGACCACTATGCAATTTTCTCTCCAAAATTCTTTTAATTAAAAATGAAAGAGAAATCTTATATTGAGTCCCTTGGCCCTCTACTTATGTATCTGGTGAGCCAAATGTTCAACAAAACTCAAAATATGCCACCAGCTGAGGAATTCACTGCTGACAAAACTACTTTTTGCATGGCATACTGCAAACACCTCCAAACATCTGTATTCAGACTCCTACAAAAAATAACGCTGGGGCATTTTTAATGGTTGATAGAAAACAGAGGGACACACCCAAGTATTAAGTCACTAGTATGTCATATAAAAATATCTGAAGACTATACAAAGCATGAACTGCTATCGATATGCTGAGCACTGACTTGGGACAGGTCCTGGGTCATCACATCACTCGGGAACTGACCAGCTCACTCCTCCTTCGGGCCTGGGCGGACACAAAGGCTCTTGTTCAGGCCAAATGCAACACAGCTCCTGGACTGGCCATCATTTCTCTGCATTCTGGAACATTCTAGCCCCTCAGTCTTTTCACGCTCAGGGCCCACTGAGAAAATGCTAAGTACGGCGCGAGTTCAGGGGTGACTGCATCCAGCAACACGTCCTTTCACGCTCTCTTTCCAGCCCAGGGAATATTCAAAGACACCCTCTGGGAACTCTGCAAGCGGGGGGGGGGGGGGGGGGGGGGGGGAGGAGGAAGGGGAGGGGAGGGCCGTGGGCTCTTCCAGGAGCGGCCTTTGCCATCAAACGCTGGGGCTTGGTTCTGAAAAGGACATTCTCGAGTGACCTCTGTGCAATGTGGCCACGTCAGGGCTGTCCTATAGGCCACTGCAGCCATGGCCACAAGACCCTAAGGAGGAGTGGCAGGGACGCTTGGCCATCCTCTGGGAAGGCACAGCATTTTTTTTTCCTCTTCTTGGGTCACATCTGGGGATATGCAGGGGTTACTTCTGGCTCATGCACTCACGAATTACTCCTGGCGATGCTCGGGGGACCATATGGGATGCTGGGAATCGAACCCGGGCCGGCCGTGTGCAAGATAAAGGTCCAACCCGCTTGTACTATATCGCTCCAGCCCTGGGCCCAGCTTTTCTTCACTCGGAGTGAGAAGACTCACTGGTTATGGGGGTTTATTTTTGTTTAATGGGGGTCCCCTGGGCACCCGCAGTGCAGTTGGGGATGGCAGGCAGGCGGTGCCAGGGATGCGACTCTGGACCCTGCAAGGCAAATGCTGGACCACTGGAGTCACATCCCTGGTCTGAACTGGAAAACCTAATCATTTGGTTCTTTTTCTTTGGGGGGGGGCGAGGAGGGACACCGCCAGTGACAGCCGTGGATGGCACAGTCACAGAGCACGGGGGTTGGGGGGCGAGGGGCTTCGTGTCACAATCACCAGGGCCGCCAAGATTGTTTCTTGATGAGAAGAGGGAAGCTTTTATTGGGGTTTACATTCACCGTGTCATCTGTCTCCTCTACGGGTCCCGGCATTGGGGGGCTTAAGGGGGCGTCTGCTCTCTACCCTGGGCTGAGAGAGAAACCCAACCGGAAAGCAGCACAGACTCCAACATCAGGCTCCACCGGGGGTCCTGCCTGCCCACCGGGCCGAGGTGCCCTTCATCCGCCACCCGGGGCTCGAGCCAAGCCTCCAAGACCATCCTCGTGAGCTCGGCAGCCGCACCTGCAAACACACAGCCCGGACCCCGGGCGCAGAGTGTGGCCCTGAGGGGTCCCGGGCCCCCCACCACCACGGTCCTGCTGCTTTTTGCTCCTGAGGCGTGAGGGCACGGCTGGGGCCTTCCAGGCTTTGAGGACAGCCTGGCTGCCTGCCACAGGCTTGCCAGGAGGCAGATAGGACCGCGGCGGCGGCGGCGGTGGCAGCGGCGGCGGAGGAGGAGGAGGAGGAGGAGGAGGAGGAGGAGGAGGAGGAGGAGGAGGGGGCCCTTCTACGACTCCAATGCTGCTGCCTCGGGCATGATTGGTCCCTTGGATGGTCAGGGGAGAGGACAGGGTGGGAAGGGGGGGGGTCACAGGATCCCCCAGCCGCCCCCGTTGAGGTTGGCTGGGAATCACCGACAGTGGTGGCGTGTCCCGGGGACAAAGGTCCGTTGGCTGTCGTGTTCCTTCTTCCTTTTGCTTTCCTGTCTCCGCAGGGGTGCGGGGTGCGCCTACAGGCCCCCGAAGCACACGTACTTGATCTCCAGGTACTCGTCGATGCCGTACTTGGAGCCCTCGCGCCCGAGGCCCGACTGCTTCACGCCACCGAACGGGCACTCCACCGTGGAGATGAGGCCCTCGTTCACGCCCACCATGCCCACCTCCAGCCGCTCCGACACCCTCCAGATCTGCGCCGGGTCTTGCGAGTAGAAGTACCCTGTGGCCGGGACAAAGCGCACAGTGCCCGGGGCTCGTCACGGGGCTCGTCACGACGCCCCGCACGGACGGTACCACCCGGGCCGGGTCCTGTGTGTCTGTCTGTCCGCCTCCCCTGCTCCCCGGGGCTGGCTCCTGCCTTCAGCCCCTCCACCATCCTCTCGGCTCTTAGATTCTCTGCCCAAACCGCTTTGGCCCAAACCTGTCAGCGACGCTGATGAGCTAGAAAACGGGCTTCAATGCCTCGTGGGCTTCCAAACGCTGCCCCTGAGTGGTTTCCATCGCCACACGCAGCTTTTCCCTCTTCCTTCCTTTCCCTGTTTCCTTCTGTTCTGCGGCGACCCCAAGGGGAGGCCGGGAGGTGAGGGGGTCGCACTCCCCCCGCATGTGGTGTATGGGGGGGGTCATGCCGAGGGGGACTGTGGCATGGAACTGGGTTGTACCCACGCGTGCGAGGCAAAGGGGCTGCCATGTGCCACCTCCCGGCCCCGAACCCTCACCTCTCCTGTGTTCTCCAGACAACCACATTCTCCTCGCCCTCTTGCTGACCCCCATCCCCCCCCTTTTTTTTCCTTTTTGGGTCACACCCGGCGATGCTCAGGGATTAATTACTCCTGGCTCATGCACTCAGGAATTCCTCCTGGCGGTGCTTGGGGGACCATCTGGGATGCTGGGAATCGAACCCGGGTTGGCCACGTTCAAGGCAAATGCCTTCCCTGCTGTGTTATCGCTCCAGCCCCTGGCCGCTGCCCCTTAACCGACTCAGGTCCCTCTGCTCAGCCACCCACCTGGGCCCACTGAGGATCCTGCCCTCCCTGGAGGCTGAGCTTGGGGTGCGGGCCCCCTCATGCCCACCCGCGGCCGGAGCACAGACTGCTCCCTTCCGTGGCCCTTGACGGCAGGTGGGATCGAGCCCGGCAGTGCCAACGCGTGCCTGTCTGCCCCTGTCATGTTTCTGTCGTGACCTGGAGAGACGCTTCTGCCAAGCAGAGACTGTCTCTGTCTGTCTCTGTCCCCTCACTGGGGTGCTCAGTGCTCGAGCGAGCGCGTTCCCAAGTCAGGGAAATGGGCCACATGGTCCCTCACCCCTGAGCATCCCGAAAGTAGGAGAACACGGGGCCGCCTGCCTGCTGCCTCCCTCCCTCCCTCCCTCCCTCCCTCCCTCCTCCCTCCCTCCCTTTCCCACCCCTGCCCATGGGTGCCTCATTTCTCTGCAGGCAGCCAGGAACCGGTGGGAGAAAAGGTCTCTCCCGCCTGAAGCCCCTGGCATGGTCACCAGCGTGCGGGTGACTCTGCCGAGAGCCGTCTGCTCGCATGGAGAAGTCGAGGGGAACAGGGCCCCACGCACACATGCACCTCTGCCACCCTCCCTGCCTCCCACCCCAGGCTCCGGGGCAGGGCTGGAAGGGCAGCTGCAGGGGAGGGGGAGGGTGAGAACTGCTGGGGGGTAGGGGGGGTAGGGGAGAGGCACGTACCTGCCAGCCCCACGTCAGCCGCGTTGGCGATGGCCAAGGCCTCCTCCTCGGTGTTGAACCTGCAAAAGGACGAAGGGCTGTGGGCAGCTCCACGGGGAGGGCGGCAGGAAACAGTTGACAGGTCCCTCGCCCCCCAGCCACCAGGGCCAGCCGGGACCCCAGGGCACAGGACACAGGGGTCAGGTCCCCTCCGCCCCCCTCCACAGCCACCAGCACAGTGCCCGGAGGAGAGCAAGAAAAGCCGGGACACACACACACACACACACACACACACACACACACACACACACACACACCACGGTGCAAACGTGCAGGGTTCCTGTGCAGGCTGAGGTGTCTGCCTGCCTGCACGTGGTAGACCCCGAGCTCCATCAGGTGTAGCCCCCGGGAAATCCCAGAGACAGTGACATCGGAGGGCAGGGTTAGCCCAGCACTGCCCTGGGGGGGTCCCCTGATCAGCCCTTGGGAGATACCCCCTCCCCCCTGCCCCCAGGATCTTTCCGCCCGAGGTCCACCAAGCCCACGCAGTGCTCAGCCTGCTGTAGAAGCAGAGGGACAGATGGATGGACGGACGAACGAACGGGCCGAGGATGCAGCTCTGTTCAGGCCTGGAGGAGGTGGGGTCCCCGCAGGGCTGCACCCGGAGGTGCTGGGGGACCGGGCAGGGTGAGCGCAGATCCCTGTACTCTCTCAGCACCCCACCTCCCGTTCTATCCCCTCTTGGTCCCCCGGGGGGTCTTACTTGATCACGGGGGCCAGAGGCCCGAAGGTCTCCTCCTGGGCGCACAGCATGTCTTGCGTGACGCTACTCAGCAGCGTGGGCTCAAAGAAGTTCTGCCCCAGCGGGTGGCGCTTTCCGCCCGTCACCACGGTGGCCCCCTTGGACACGGCGTCCTTCACGTGGCTCTCCACCTGTGTGCAGAAGGAGAGGTGAGCGCTGGGGATGGGGGAGCCGTGTCCTGAGCAGCTGGAAGCTGCAGGAAACTGCACGCAGGCGTCTCACCTGTCCTTTTTGATCCTGGGGGAGTTTGGGGGCCACACCTGGTGGTGCTCAGGGGTCATGCCTGGCTCTGCACTCAGAGGAGTCCCTCCTGCTGGGCTTGGGGGAAGGGGCCCTAGGAGATGGCCCAGATGGAACACGGGTCGGCTGTGTAAGGCAAATGCCCTCCCGGCTGTGCTACTGCTCGGGCCTGGCTTCCTGCTGTGAGATGAAATTTAAAAACAACAGGCTAAGGCGTCCTCTGGTGGCACACCCCGACTGCAGAGACAGACACTGAAGGGGGGGATGGGTCCAGCCCGGTGCTCACTATCTTTGCCCTGTTCCTTAATCTCCCCATGTTTTCATCTTTTGGGTTATGGAAGGGCACCCCGCACCCTGACACGACCCCCTGGATTCGCTGTTCTTTCAGTCCTGGGTCGGTCCCAGGTTCTGGGTCCACCTTTCCTAGACTGTGCTTTCATTTGCTCTGATCCAACCACACTATGCTTTATTGGGCTTTGCTTCATTGCAATTGGCAGACACTGTTTCACTGTGTTTTTTTCTTTTTTGGGGGGGAAGGGGTTGGGGCTTTCTGGGCCACACCGGTAATACTCAGGGGCTGTTCCTGGTTCTGCACTCAGATATTACTCTTGGTGGGCTGGAGAGATAGCACAGCGGTAGGGCGTTTGCCTTGTACGCAGCCAGCTTGGCCAAGCTGGGTTCAATTCTTTCCGCCCCTCTCGGAGAGCCGGCAAGCTACAAAGAGTATATTCAATATGCCAAACACAGTAACAACAAGTCTCAAAATGGAGACATTACTGGGCCCACTCAAGCAAATCGATGAACAACAGGAGGGCGGTAGCAGTGGCAGTGGTGATCGGGGATCAAACACGAGTACTCCTATGGGATAAGGCAAACACCCTACCCACCTGCTGTACTGTGGCTCTGGCCCGGTTCAGTTTTTTGTTTTTTCTTATTTTTTTTTGGGGGGTCACATCCGGCAATGCACAGGGGTTATTCCTGGCTCTGCACTCAGGAATTACCCCTGGCGGCGCTCAGGGGACCATATGGGATGCTGGGAATCGAACTCAGGTCAGCCGCGTGCAAGGCAAACGCCCTACCCGCTGTGCTATTGCTCCAGTTCCTGGTTCAGTTTTTTTTTTAACACCTCCCATCAGCTGAAAGATTACAACTTGCTTGAAGGCTCAGATTAGGGTTAGTATTTTTAAGGCAATAAAGTATTTATTTATTATTATTATTTGGGGGTTTGCGGTCATATCCAGTGGTGCTCGTGGGCTACTTGTGGCTTTGTGCTTGGGGCCCAGGTGGTGTTGGGATTCAAACAGGCCTCCTACATGCAAAGGCGTCCTTATCCATTGGCTATCCCGGTAGAAGGCTCTGCCCCACGAGGCTTTCCCTGGCACTGCCAGGCTGCCGAGACTTCGGTCCTTAGCATCTGCCACCTCACACGGCTTCATCGGGGTCCTCCCCCTTACCCAGACTCAGTTGAGTGATGGCAGAGCCCACAGCCCATCCTATTCGCCAGGCTGCCTTACTTTCTATGAGCACTGTAGCACTGTCTTCCCATTGTTCATGGATTTGCTCGAGCGGGCCCAGTAACGTCTCCATTGTGAGACTTGTTGCTACTGTGTTTGGCATACTGAATACGCCACGGGGAGCTTGCCAGGCTTTGCTGTGTGGGCAAGATACTCTCGGTAGCTTGCCGGGCTCTCCGAAAGGGGTGGAGGAATCGAACCTGGCTTGGCCAGGCTGGCCGCGCAAAAGGCAAACGCTCTACTGCTGTGCTATCGCTCCAGCCCCACTTTCTATGAATAACGGCTAAATTATTAATTATATTTAACAGCCTGTTTAAAAGACCCACCTCCCTGGCCCTTTCCTTGTCCTAGTAAATATGTCGTGCGATTTTCCTTCCTGAAATTCCCCTTTGGTGGCACAGAGGCTACACAACCCCCTTGTTTACAAAGAGGATGTTTCGCCCTGAAATCTCACCAGGAAATCCTTCAACTGTCCTTGCAGAAAACGCTGGGGAAACAGCGCCCTCTAGGGGACGCCTGCAACTTGGCTTTGGGGATTAAAAGGGAAAAAAAAAAGGACTTTGGTTTTGCAGCCTCTGGGAATGAAAGGCAGGTACTTCAACCATATCTGTGCACGGGTGTCTGTACTTGTCAAAGCCAGGGGTGAGGGGCTGGAGTGATAGCATAGCAGGTAGGGCGTTTGCCTTGCATGCAGCCGACCTGGGTTCGATTCCCAGCATCCCATATGGTGCCCTAAGCACCATCAGGAGTAATCCCTGGGCATTGCCAGGTGTGACCCAAAAAGTAGCGCCCCCCCCCAAAAAAAAATCTGGAGTGAGCTGTGACTAGGAGCAGATCAGGAAACCCCTTGGCAGAAACAAGATTACCCACCCTGACAGAAAGGGACAGATGTCATGGGACTCAATGGCTTCAGCCCGACGAGGGCACCCCCTCATTCGTACCAACTGATGGATGTGAGTTCTTTGTTTCCAAGTAGCCATGCTGGGCAGCTGAGGGGCAAAGCAAGCTCTCTCCTAGCTTGGCTGCCGGGAGCACTAGGAAACGGGCTTCTCTCCCCAAAAGGGACGAAACTCACCTTCTCCACGGCCCTTTTGTTGATGAGTGGCCCCTGCGTGGTCTTTTCCTCGAACCCGTTCCCCACGTGCAGGTGCTGCTTCATGGCCTCGGCCAGCTTCTTCACGAAGGCGTCGTGGATGCCTCGCTGCACCAAGAAGCGGTTGGAGCAAACGCACGTCTGCAGGGAGAGAGGGGATGAGGCCTGGTGTCCAGTGCGTGGCCGTGTCCCCGGGGACCCCTTCTCTCCGCTCTGCCGCAGGAACAAGGGTGGACAGCTGAGCGCAGAGAGCAGGCGACCACGGAAGCTGAGTCTGGTCAAGTGGCTTCAAGAAGCCCCCCAGACAGTGCTCGGTGGCCCAGGGCCAGCAGCCGGGCAATGACCAGTCAACGGCTGACTTAGTGCTTGCAGCTTACATAGCTTCCAAGGACGTGGGAGCATCTGATTCCATGAGAAAACGGACACAAGATCTTTCTTCCAAGTCAGCTCTATTTGGCGGGGGGGGGGGGGGGGGGGGGGGGGGGGGGGCGGAGAAGGTGCAGGGGGTCCCTCAAGGGCGCTTAGGAGGACTGGGGGCCCCCACCAGCAATTCTCATCCAGCTGGGCCCAAGAGTCAAACCAAGAGCCTGCGGACACAATACTGCTTTGCCCTGTGGTGCCAGGGAGGACCAGGGCACCCCAACAGTGCTGGGTGCATTTGAAAAAAAGAGCTTTACTGATTTTTTTTTCTACTGACATTTTTATATCCCCCCCCCCCCCCTTTTTTTGTGATGCTGGGGAATTAGACTCAGGTCTTTACACGAGCTTTACTAATTAGACTTGACACTTTTTTTTTTCTTTTTAGGTCACACCCAGAGATGCACAGAGGTTACCTGGCTCTGCACTCAGGAATCACTCCTGGTGGTGCTCGGGGGACCATATGGGAAGCTGGGAATCAAACCCAGGTTGGTCGCGTACAAGCCCAGCCCTCCCCGCTGTACTATCTCTCCAGCCCCATCATCAGGTACAAATAATCTTACACAAGTACGTTCTAGTACAAATAATCTTACATATGTACATGCACATTTATTATATATTATGTAATACATATGATGTATAAGATATATATTTTTTAATATAATTTTCTGTACTTTGTATTTTGGGGGCAGTTTGATTTTTTTAATGCCTTTTAATCCCTTTAGTTTTTTCATCCCTTTATTTTTAAAAAAAATTAAATTTTTTTAAATTTAAATTTTTAAATTTTTTTAAAAATTGGCTAGAGCAATAGCACAGCGGTAGGGCGTTTGCCTTGCACGCAGCCAACATGGCCGACCCGAGTTCGATTCCTCCGCCCCTCTCGGAGAGCCCGGCAAGCTACCGAGAGTATTCGATATGCCAGACACAGTAACAACAAAGTCTCCAGTGGAGACGTTACTGGGCCCGCTCGAGCAACTCGATGAACAATGGGAGGACAGTGTTTTTTTTTTTTTTAATTTTTTAAAATTATTTTTATTGAATCACTGTGAGACAGACCCTTCCAAAGCTGTTCATGATTAGGCTTAAGTCATACTTTGTTCTAACACCAATCCCTCCACCGGAGTACATTTCCCAGCACCAGTGTCCCCAGTTTCCCTCCCACCACCCCCTGCCTGCCTCTATGGCAGGCACTTTTCTTCTTTCTTTCTGTCTGTCTGTCTGGCTGGCTCTGTCTCTCTCTCTCTCTTTTTTCCTTTTGGTCATTATGGTTGGCAACACAGATGCAGTTTGATTTGTGGGGTAGTCATACCCAGCAGTGTTCAAGGGGCATTATTCCTGGCTCTGTGTTCAAGAGTGACTCTTGGCAGAGGTCGGGGGGCGGTGGGGGGGGGGGGGCTACATGCCATGTCAGGGATTCAAACCGCTGTCAGCTGCAAGTAACGCAATGGTCTCGCCTCTTGGCCTAGCTCTCAGGCGCCCGGGAAACACTATAATGCAACCCTGTCAGCTGCTTGCGACATTCTGGGAAGCCAGAGGTGACACCCGCCCCCCCTCTCTGACCCAGCACAGCCGCCAGGGACAGGAGGCACAAAATACTTGGGAAAGAGTCAGTGAGGTAAGATGGCATGATGGGGCGGGGCAGACAGCACATTTGCCTTGCAAGTGGCCGACCCCAGTTCGATTCCTGGCACTGCATGTTCCCCGAGCACTGCCAGGAGTGACCCCTGAGCACCGAGTACCCCAGAGCACCACTGGGTGTGGCCCCGAGCCAACCAAGAGAATGTAGCACTGTCCTCCCATTGTTCATCGATTTGCTCGAGCGGGCCCAGTAACGTCTCCATTTTGAGACATGTTACTGTGTTTGGCATTCTGAATACGTCACGGGTAGCTTGCCGTGCGGAGGAATCAAACCTGGCTTGGCTGGGCTGGCTGAGCGCAAGGCAACGCCCTACCGCTGTGCTATCGCTCCAGCCCACGCAAGAGAATGAATGGTGGAAAGATCCCAAATTCCCTCCCGGGAGGTGAGGTGAGATTCTGCACACTCACAGCTAGCCCACGCCCCCCCACCACACACACACACACACATCAGCCCTCACCTGCCCGGAGTTCCTGAATTTAGAGGCCATCGCCCCCGCCACAGCCTGCTCCACGTTGGCACTGTCGAAGACGATGAAGGGCGCGTGGCCGCCTAGCTCCATGGACACCCTCTTCACAGAGTTGGCCGCATGGTGCAGTAGGACCTGCAACAGAGGCGGGAGCACGTAAGCACCTGACTCCACCCCCTGGCACCTGAAAGATCCCCCAGACTGGGGGGGTGCTGCTGAGAGGGGGCGTCTGCCAGGCCTGTCCTCGTGGCTCCAAGGACTTCTGGGTGCGGCCTTATAAAAAAAATTAAGCTCCCCAATGGTGCGAAAAGGCTGGGACGCTGGTGGGGATGATGGAAAAGGTGGGGATGATGTGATCCCAGAGTATAATGGGGTGTCACTGTGTCTCAGGGAGTTGAGGGGCTAGCGAGGTAACCAGGTAACTGAGCACCTGCTTTGTCTGTGGCCAACTGCAGTTCAATCCTAGAAGGCCCCATGGTTCCCTGAGCACGTCCAGGAGCAAACCCTGAGCACTACCAAGTAAGGCAAAATCCCCTCCTCCCCCAATTATTTTTTCCCCAGGATCAACTTTATTTTTATTATCCACATAACAAATAAACATATTGTACTATGCATCTAAAGATGTCTTTAACATCCTAATTCTTTCTTTTTTTATGTAGGAGTACTGCTATTTATTCAGTCACTGATTAGCTGGTTAAATTGGCATGAACTCCAAACCCCCAAAATTTTTTGAAAAAAAAGAAAAAAAAGAAAAAAAAGGAGGGGGGGCTGCAGAGATACTACAGCGGGTAAAGTGCTTGCCTTGCATGCAGCTGACCAGGGTTTGATCCCTGGCATCCCGTATGGTCCCCTAAGTCCGCCAGGAGGGATCCCTGAGCACGGAAGTCCTGAGCACCACCAGTATGATCCAAATCAACAACGAAAAAGAAAAAAAAAAAAAAACTTCACCAAGCCCCCAATGGAATGACTAGAATGACAAGTTGCCTTCAGTATGAAGTATTTACCTTTCCAGTAGCCGTGGAGCCCGTAAAGGAGATTTTGGAGACGAGAGGATCGGTGCAAAGCGCTTCCCCCACTTCCTTGGCCTTCTTTTGAGAGCAGGGAACGACGTTGTAGACGCCCGCAGGAATGCCGGCCTGGTTCGCGAGCTACAAGGACACGCAGCCACCAGGGGGCAGCAGACAGTTCGAGAAAACGGAAAAGAGCGTGGTCTTCATCACACGAGGAAGGGCAACAAAACCAGTTAACAAAAACAACCTGGCCGGGTTGCATCCGCTGCTTGTGGGAAGGCCCACTGGTTGGGCCTTTGGGGAAAACAACATGGACACTTTAAAAAGAAAAAAAAAACCCAAGAAGGACAGACATAGAATGACTGCACTCATTCTTGGATGATTGCAGGGCTCGCTCGGAATGGGAGACGCGTGATGAAAGTAGATGGTAGACCGAACATGATGGCCACTTACTACCTGTACTGCAAACCATGACACCCAGAAGGAGAGAGAGTAAAAGGGAACGTGCCTGCCACAGAGGCGGGGGGGGGGGGGGGGTGTATGGATGGCAGGAGGGATACCGGGACCATTGGTGGTGGAGAATGGGCACCGGTGGAGGGATGGGTACTCGACCATGGTATGACTGAAATGTGATCATGAAAGTGTGTAAGTCTATAATTCTATCTCACAGTGTTTCATTTAAAAATTAAAACAGGGGCTGGAGTGATAGCACAGCAGGTAGGGCGTTTGCCTTGCACGCAGCCGACCCGGGTTCGATTCCCAGCATCCCATATGGTCCCCCGGGCACCACTAGGGGTAATTCCTGAGTGCATGAGCCAGGAGTAACCCCTGTGCATTGCCAGGTGTGACCCAAAAAGCAAATAAATAAATAAATAAATAACTGTAGCACTGTCCTCCCGTTGTTCATCGATTTGCTCAAGCGGGCACCAGTAACATCTCACAACAAATTGTGAGACTTGTTACTGTGTTTGGCATATCGAGTACGGCATGGGGAGCTTGCCAGGCTTTGCCGTGCGGGCGAGATACTCTCGGTAGCTTGCATGGCTCTCCAAGAGGGGAGGAGGAATCGAACTCGGGTCGGCCATGCTGGCGGAGTACAAGGCAAACGCCCTACCCGCTGTGCTATAAATAAAAATTTAAAAAAAAAAAAACCCGGAGCTGGAGTGATAGCACAGCGGGGAGGGTGCTTGCCTTGCATGTGGCCGACCCGGGTTCGATTCCCAGCATCCCATATGGTCCCCCAAGCACCGCCAGGAGTAACTCCTGAGTGCAGAGCCAGGAGTAACCTCTGAGCATCGCTGGGTGTGACCCAAAAAGCAAAAAAAAAAAAAAAAAAAAAAAAAAAAAAAAAAACCAAGAACTGAGCTTTCTTAGGAGTCACCAATTCCAGTTCTTGAAAAGACATCTGCTGTGATCAAGACAGCACTATTTGCAGTAGCAAGAATCTAGAAACCATCCAAGAACAGATGACTTCCTCAAGAAACTAGTACACACACATCCACACACATCTACATCTAGATCTATCCATCTGTCTATCGCCACACGCAGTGGAATACTACTTGGCTCTTAAAAAACAAACAAACAGAACTCATGCAATTTGCTGCTATGTAGCCAGATGTGGAGAGCATCGTGCTGAGAGGTTAGTCAGAAGAGGGACCAACACAGAGGAATTTTCCTCCCACGCGGGTCATAAACACAGTAAAGGAATAACAGCCAATGGCCCAAGGCAACAGAACCGGGGGCTGGTCTGCAGAATGGGCCTGCCCTTCAGGCTTGGGGGTCTGAGGGGGCGGCGTGCAGGTTGAGTGGGGCCACATTCTAGCACTGCCTGTGGTGTGGGCACCCTGGACGTGTGAAACCCCATCGTTAACAGGACTGTGAATCGGAGAGCCTTAGATATCAATCGATAAAATCAAAATCATTAATAAAAATTAATAAAATACTTTAGGAGAAGAATATAACTGTTTGGGTTTTTTTTGTTTTGTTTTGGTTTTGGGGGCCACACCCAGCAGTGCTCAGGGCTGACTCTGGGCTCTGCACTCGGGAATCTGCTCATGGCGAGGCTCAGGACCATAGGGGCTGCCGGGGATCGAACCCGGGTTGGCTGCATGCAAGAAGAGTGTTCTCCTCACCACTCTCTCACTCCTCACACTCTCTCACCAGCCCCTAACAGTTTGATTTTCTGCGGGGAGAGAATTTACCAGTGGCCTGTGGGGGATCTGGTGGCCACTCGGCAGGACATCTGGCTGAGTGGGCCAGCGGGTCAGCGTCAATGGTCCGAGGAGGGGATGACGCTCTGGCCCTGTGATGTCAGGGACCACCAGGGCCAAGCCCTGTAGCCACACATGCTTGGGAGGACTTGTGGTGCCGGGGGTCAAACCCTGGTCAGGTGCACGCAGAGCACAAGTCTTACCTCAGTTCTACCTCCCTGCCTCAAGAATGTGTCTGGGGGTCTGGAGAAATAGCACAGCGGGTAGGGCACTTGCCTTGCATGCGGCCAACCCGGGTTCGATTCCCAGCATCCCATATGGTCCCCTAAGCACCTCCAGGAGTGACTCCTGAGTGCAGAGCCAGGAGTAATTTCTGTGCATCGCCGGGTGTGACCCAAAAAACCAAAAAAAGAATAAATAAATAAATAAAATTTTTAAAAAAAGGAATGTACCTGGGAGTTAGACAAGAACTGTGTGGGTGGCCTCTGACCTCTGGAGGGCCAGGGGAAGAAGGGTTCCCTGAATGTGTATCAGGTACTTAATGCCCAGGCTTTGGTCCTATCGCTCTGCTTGGCACAGCTTCACGGTGAGCTGAAATACACACCGCCCTGGGTGTCGGAATGTCCCCAGCCACGGGTTTTTCTAGAAGGAGTAATATTCTTTCTGGAGGCGCCTTTGACTTGTAAAAGAAAATGTCACTGGGGATGAGAGAGATTGCCAAATAAGGCACCCACCTTGCCCACGGCTGGCCCAGGTTAGATCCCCAGCACTGCCTAAGGCCTCCCGACGAGTTCCACCAGGAGTGATCTCTGAGCACAGAGCCAGGAGTCAGCCCTGAGCACAGCAGGGTGTGGCCCCCCCAAACCCAAAAGAAACCAACATGTGTAAGCAATACATAGACGAGACAGACACGAGCAAGTCTAGTTTCTGCCTTGGTGCAGCAGTGGTACAGGCAGAGCTGGTGCCCGGGGACCCCCGTGGGGACAGTGCTCACCTCAGCCAGGGCCAGGGCGGAGTAGGGTGTGTCCTCGGCCGGTTTCACTACCACTGTGCAGCCGGCGGCCAGCGCGGCCCCCACCTTCCGTGTGATCATGGCGCTGGGGAAATTCCACTGGCAAGAGAACAGAGGGAGTACATGAGAGCAGGGGTCGAATCTCACTGCCCCACCAGAGAGAACATCTTCCCTGGAACCCCAGAAACTGGACTTGAGACATGGGGGTTCCCCAAGGCAGGATGCTGACACTCGGAAATAAGGCATGATGGGGACAGACTTTTCCCAGTTGGGTGTGGCAGGATGGAAGGAGGATCTCCAAGTTGGTCTCTCAATGGGCTTGGCCATGTCTTGATAAAACTTTATTTAAAACTTGATTCACAAACACGCGCAGCGGGATTTCATTGGCTTTTGGGGAGGAAGCATTGGCAAAGGTGAGAGTTTGACAGTGGCAGGTGATTTCTTTCTTTTTTTTTTTCTTTTCTTTTTTTTTTTCTTTTTGAGTCATACCCGGTGATGCTCAGCACCTGATGCTTGCTCTGCACTCAGGAATTACTCCTGGTGGTGCTCAGGGGGGACCATATGGGATGCTGGGAATCGAACCCAGTTTGGCTGCATATAAGGCAAATGCCCTATCCGCTGTGCTATCACTTCAGCCCTGATTTCTTTCCATCCACTACTTAAAGGTCCTGTAGACATCGATATATTTCTTTCAAGTTTTGCTTTTTTTTCAGTACTGAGAACAGACAGCGCGAGCAGGCACAACTGGAAACAGTCGTACGTCAGGCCCGACTCAATCCTCATTACAACTCAGAGAGGTTGGCCTCACTGCTCTTACTGCAGAGCTGGAGAAACTGAGGCAGAGAAGTTTAGTAACTTGCCCGTGGTCATGCAGAGGGTCCACGGGGTCAGTCTCAGGGCTGTTTGGGTGACCGTGGTGAGCAGGGAGGGGGCAGTGAGCTTGAGAGCAGCTGGAACAGAGGAGGGACAGTGCAGGACCCACCAGATGACCACTGCCCCCACGGCAAGGCCCTGGTTCCCACTTCAACACTCTCAAACCCCGCACCTGGCCGGGGGCCTGCTGCCACCGCGTGCGGGACTGCTAACAACCATCATGGAAGCACACACTACTGTGACTTCTGTGCCCAGGAAAACCGTGTCCTGTCTCAAGTTCTTTGTGAGGGATGGGTGTGGTCTTCTCTGAGGCGCCAGGCAAAGCCAAGAAGCCCCAAAGCCCGGGGTTTGAGCCCCAGAACCCAGCATCACCAGGCCCTAGGTCAAGTCAGACCTCTGCCACCCCTTGCCCCTGCTCACCCCCTCTCCCGCCACTCCTCATCCCTCTTCATCCTCACTCACTCCTGCCACCCCCACCCCTAGTCAACCCCTCTCACTCCCGCCACTCCTCACCCCTGCTCATTTCCTCTCACTCCCAACACCCCTCGCCTCTGCTCACCCCTTCTCACTCCCACCACCCCTCATCCCTGCTCATCCCCTCACTCCCACCACCGCTCACCCCTGCTCACCCCGTCCCGCCACTCCTCACCCCTGCTCATCCTCATTCACTCCTGCCACCCCCACCCCTGCTCAACCCCTCTCACTCCCGCCACCCCTCACCCCTGCTCATCCCCTCTCACTCCCACCACCCTCACCCCTGCTCAACCCCTCTCACTCCCACCACCCCTCATCCATGCTCATCCCCTCACCCCTGCTCATCCCCTGTCCCACCACTCCTCACCCCTGCTCATCCCCATTCACTCCTGCCACCCCCACCCCTGCTCAACCCCTCTCACTCCCGCCACCCCTCAACCCTGCTCATTCCCTCACTCCTGCTCATCCCCTCTCACTTCCACCAACCCTCACCCCTGCTCAGTCCCTCTCATTCCCACCACCCCTCTTGCCCCTGCACATTCTCTCACTCCCATCACCTCGTCCCTGCTCATCCTCCTCTCACTCCTGCCATGCCTCACCTCTGTTCATCCCTTCTCACTCACTCCCGCCACCCCTCACCCCTGCTCTCCCCATTCACTCCTGCCACCCCTCTCTCATGCTTATCTGCACTCAGTCTTGCCACCCCTCACCCCCATGGATCCCCACTCACCTCCACCACCCCTTGTCCCTGCCACTGGACACCAGAGGCCCAGGAAAGGCACCTCTGCAGCCAGCAATGCAATCAGGGAGCCAGAAAAGGATGAGGGGACTTTACTGAGGGGGCTGAGCTCCTCCCTTCACAGGGAAGATGGAACTGTGTGCGAGTGCCTGCAGGCTCGGTCCCCTGCCCTGGGTGCACCGCCCGCCTACGCCCACCTACCGGGGTGATGATGGCAGCCACCCCCAGCGGCTGCTTGAAGACTAGCGCACGCCGGTCCTTAGCGGGCGGGTAGATGATGTCCCCATACACGCGGCGGGCCTCCTCGGAGAACCACTCCAGGAAGAGGGCCGAGTAGATGATTTCACCTTGAGCCTCCTTCAGGGGCTTCCCCTGCGCAAGCCAGGAAAGAGCAGGGGTGAGTCACTCACAGAGGGTGCAGACCGGGCAGAGCAGCACCCCTCCTCTGCTTGCTGGGCTGTGGCCGCTGTGCCAGGGACCACACCTGGGGTGCTGGGAGTTGAGCCCACACATGAGACACATGTGTCACCCCCAAGGAAAGGCAATATTCACACAGCTCCACTCAAAGTCTATTGCTTTCTTTGAAAGGGGCCACATCTGGTGATGCTCAGGGGTTTACTCCTGGCTCTGCACTCAGGAATTACTCCTGACGATGCCTGGGGGACCATAGGGGATGCTGGGGATTGAACCCGGATCAGTTGCATGCAAGGCAAACGCCCTTCCCACTGTACTATGGCTCCAGCCCCCAAAGTCCATTTCTTGCATCTTATTAAAGACTAAATTCGAGAGCACTTTTTGTCTGGGGGACAGGGAGAACCTGGCCGGAGGAGAAAAACCCTGTGTCTGGCACAGTAACTGAGATCTGACGGCTGGGCAAGGATGGACACTGTCGCTTCAGCACCAAAATCAGAGGATGTTCCAGGATAGTCTAAGAATTCCCGGCCGATTTCTCAGGGTCAGTCACGCTTTTGGGCCCACAACATACGCTTTCTGCCGTGATTATCTTGGCCAGCTCATCCTTATTTTGTATCATTAAGTCGTACCATTTCCGAAGTAAAGAGCTCCTCTCCTGAAAAAAAGCAAAAAAAAAAAAAAAAGGATGGGAAGAATGAAATGCCGAGTCTCTTCGTCTAAAAGAGACATTCTAAAACAATGAAAGAAGCTCATTGTTCCAAAGCCAGAAAGGGATCCGGAATGTGGGTCGGCAGCAAAACAGTACGTGCTTGGCATGGAGGGGCCCTGGGCTTGATCTCCCCCGAGAAAACACAAAAACCAAGGGGATCCAAAGAATCCTGGTCCTAAGAAGGGCCCTCGAGTACGAGGGGCCCCAGAACTCCAGCTCCAGCATCTGTGCAAAAGCAGCTGACGTCTACAAGCATCTTGGTTCTTCCTGGCCACGAGCAAATCGAGTTCACATCGACATGCCAGTGCCTTCCCAGGGCTCCGGGTTTGAATTCTGTTCCCCTGGAGCTGAGAGCCTGAGCTGACCCTTGGACCCGGGTCTGGCCCTGCCCGTCATTTCCGATGGACTCACGCACCCTGTCCCGGCTCTTCTCTCTCGAGGGCATGAGGGAGACCAAGTCTCCCAGGGAAGATGCGCTGTCAGCTCCTACAAGCAACGCTCCCTGCACCTCCCCTTCCTAACCCTCACCCTGTGTGAGACCAGAACGTGATGCCTCCTGGTCACTGGGGCTGTGTGTGTCAAAGATGAAAAGGGAAAATCTCGAGCAGGCTGGCTTGGGGAGAGAAGGAAGATCAAAGGCCCGTGGGCAGGAAGCCCCACACTTACACAGCGCGAGGACCAGAGGAGAATGGGAAACTGCAAGAACTACAAGAGTCGCCTTGTTAATGCCTGTGGCGGAGGAAGGAAAACCCCAAACCAACCTGCGCACCTTTTATTTCTCCTGAGGGCAGTGCTAGAAAATGACCAACCCCCTCACTGCAGGATCAGAGCGCGCCTAGCATGCTCAAGGCCCCGAGTTCCATCCCTGGCACTGCAGACACTGCAGGATGTGGCCCTATGGCCCCTACAAAGCAAACACAGGCAGCAGACTCCTAACACTGGGTCGTGCCCGCCCCCTTGGCCCACACCCCGGAGTCTTGCCACTTGCCCCACTCCATCCCGGACTTGTGACACAGTTGCGCTGTGTCCACTTTAGGGCTTAGTTCTCCCCTCTCACCCCACTCACACCCCCCAGGAATCTGCCCCCAGGCAGGCAAGGCACTGGGGGGTCCCCTCTGGGCAGAAAATGACTCACTGGGCTGGGAAGAAAGTCTCTGGTTTCCCTCTGCCCTCAGAACCCCCAGTCCAGTGCTTCTCCCGCACCTGCAGAGTCTGGGCTTGCACCCTGGATACCCCCCACGGCCCTGTGGACCCCAGGGCAGGTCCATGAGTGTCCTGGTGGATGCCTCCAAGCTTCACCCACCCACACTCACACACTCCTTCACACACTCGCATGCACACACAGACACACACTCCTTAACACACATAGACACACACAGACACACTCACACACTCCTTAACACACACAGACACACTCACACACTCCTTAACACACACAGACACACTCACACACTCCTTAACACACACAGACACACACACACAGACACACACACACACACACACACACCCTCTCCTTGCTCACAAGCGGTCTCCTGGTAAATGTTCTCAAGCTCTACCTACACACACACGGCCTCACAGAGACACACACAGACACACTCTTTAACACTCACACACACACAAAACTCTCTCTCCGTGCTCACAAGCAGGCTCCTGGTAAATGCTCTCAAGCTCCACCCCAACACACACATGCATGCACACTCCTTAACACACACACACACACACACACACACCCTCTCCTTGCTCACAAGCAGGCTCCTGGTAAATGCTCTCAAGCTCCACCTACACACACAGACAGACACACTCCTTAACACACACACACACACACACACACACACTCTTTCCGTGCTCACAAGCAAGCTCCTGGTAAATACTCTCAAGTTCCACCTACACACACACACACACACACACACACATGCACGCACACTCCTTAACACACACAGGCACACACAAACATACAGACACACACTCACACTGTCGCTCACAAGCGGGTTCCTGGTAGATGCTCTCAAGCTCCACCTACACAACACACACACACACACAACACACACACACACATACACACACACTCTTTCCGTGCTCACAAGCAAGCTCCCGGTAAATGCCCTCAAGCTCCACCTACACACACATGCAACACTCCTTAACATTGACACACACAAACACACAGATACACTCCTTAACACACAGACACACACACACACACTCTCTCTCCTTGCTCACGAGCGGGTTCCTGGTAGATAATCTCAAGCTCCACCTGCACACACACACACACACACACACACACACACACACACACGCCCCTTTGCTCACATGCGCTCTTAGCTTGTGCTCTGCCGCCCCCACTCGCCCACTTTCTGCCGCCGGAGGCCCCGGGCAGTGCGCGGGGGGACCCCCGACCCGACGCCCCGTGGCCGCCCGCGGGGAGCGCGCCTGCTTCTGCGTCCCCGCGCGCCGTCCGCCCCCAACCCGGGAGGCGCGCTTCTCCCCGCGGCAGGGTCCGAGCGTGCCCCCGCCACGGCCGGGCGTCGGGGGGGGGCACTCACCTTGGCCGAGACGCCCCTCCAGCTGCCGAAAGCCTCGTAGGCGGCGCGCACGGCGGCGCGGGCCTCGGGCACCCCGCAGTCGGCCACCAGGCCCAGCTCGGCGCCGCTGGCCGGGTCGTGCACGGGGAAGGTGGCGGCGGCCGGCAGCCAGCGGCCGCCCACGAAGCCGTCGGAGCGCAGCAGCGCGGCCGACCGGCCCGGGGGCCCCCCGGAGGCGTAGCCGCGCCGCGGGGCCGGGCCGGGCGCGTGCGGGCGCGGGCGGCGGGCGGGCGGCGCGGGCGGGAGGCGCGGGGCCCCGCAGCGCCGCAGCCGCAAGCAGATCGCCATGGCCCGAGACTCGGCGGCGGCGGCGGCGGCGGCGGGGAGCAGGCAAGGCGCGCGCCCGGGCGCGGGGTCGGGGCGGCGGGAGGAGCGAGCGGGCGCCGGGGACGCGCGGGGACGCTCGGAAACGCTCGGGAACGCTCGGGAACGCGCCGGAAACGCACAGGAACGCTCGCTAACGCTCGGGGACGCGCTGGGAACGCTCGGGCACTCGCGGGGACGCGCCCGGAACGCCCGGGGGCGCGCCAAGAGCGCTCGGGAACTCTCGGGGACGTCCGGAACGCGCCGGGAACGCTCGGGGACGCCCGGGACGCTCTGGGAACGCTCCGGAACGGGCCCTCTCCCGTGCCTGTAGCGCGCTGGGGTCGGCCTCTCTGCCCCTTGCAACGCCACGCCCGGGACAGGGGGGGCACCTAGGAAGCTTGGAGGGGCTCGCGGGGACGGGCACCTGCGCGCCGCGCTACCCTCCCGGCTGCTCTTTCATCGGGGATGATCTCAATCCCGTGGCCTGAGCGCTCTACACAACCGCTCCCCTCCCCCATCAAATCACCCCCGCAGTGGACTCCCGGCTGGGATGCGCGGGTGCCCGGGGCGCCAGCCGCCAAGGGCAAGGTCACATTTGCTCATCGCCGCTGCCCAGCTTTGCGGGAGGGCGTGGGTTCCCTGAGTCGCTGAGCTCCGCCCGGGCGTTTTGCTGCCTGGGTGATTTTGTGGGTGTGTGTGTGTGGGGGGGGGGGGGTTGGGGTAGGGGGATTGGGAGTTTTCTCTGTTAATTGGCCGGAGGGAGGCGCCTTTGGAGGCAAACAAGACTTGGATCCCCGCTCAGAATAAGCTGGGTCGACCTTGGAGGAATTGCTTAACCTCAGCCCACGCGTGTTTGTAAAAGGGTTTTGTAAAATCTACCACCTCGGGGCTCCTCCCCTCGCCCCCATCCCCGTGGTTCTGTTGTGAGATGCTGCTAAAAGCAGGAAATCGCAGCGTTCACAGTGATAGTAAAACGAGCCACCCCAAAAAATGAAAACGAGGCCACCCAGGAGCTGGGTCAAACATCAAACCAACCAGGGCGTCATTAGCATCCGTGGGCGGGTCGCCGCTGGGTCCCATTCTTCACCCCCCCTGGCATTTCGGTCTGAAATTCCAACTTCACAAAAGGCAGCGAGCGTGGCCTTGGTGAAGGTGGACAGTGAATGCGCAGCCCCGTGCCCGGGAGGGGCGGGCTCAGAGACGCGCGGGCCGGTGCATCGACCTTTCTAGATTCTTGCTGAGTCTCTGGCCACAGCTGTTCAGGTACTTGATACTTTGAATTTTGTTTTGGCTGAGCCGAGGCCACTTTGTCTCAGAGTCACTCACCTCTGGCTGAAGTGGAAGTGCAGAACTTAGTCTTTGTGTATGCGTGTGAATCTGGGCGGGAATGGAGACAATGTTTCCTTCTGGGTCTGTTGAAGGAACTTGGGGAGACAGGAAGCCTTGATGGTCTTACCGCAGGACCGAGAAACGGGTGTGTTTCCACCTCCTGCCTGCAGAGAGCGCTCCACACGTGCTAGTCGAGTTCAACTGTCCTGGGCAAAATGGTTCTGTGCAAGAATTTGAGGCCGAGAAAAGTGAAGTCAACGGTGGCTGTTCCTCTTGATCCAAAAAGACACTCTTTATCTTTCTAAGGTTCTGTGTCAAGTGGTCCTCCACGCGCCGCCGTTTTTCTGACTTCACCATTAGACTGTGTAGGCAAAACAGCACCCCGGGACAGCACAAAAAATGTACTTATAGGCATGCACAAAAAATGTTTCATTTTGGGCTGGAGAGCTAGTACAGCAGGTAAAATGTTTGCCTTGTACTGTGGGTTCAATCCCTGGAACCCCATATGGTACCCTGAGCACTGCCAGGAGTAATTCCTGAGCTCAGAGCCGAGAGTAACCCCCTGAGCACTGTTGGGTATGCCACCCTTAAGAAAAAAGTTTCATTTCTAAAACCAGAAGAGGAAAAAAAAGGAATGTTTAGGCCACATGGTTAAGTATTTATTAAATGGAGAAAGTGATTAATTTATATGAAGGATAGTTGTCACCGGGCAGAAACGCTCAGGGCCTGGAAATTTATGCCAGCCTCATTGTCAGGCTGTTGAATGTCCTCTGCAGGGCATTGGCAGTGGGGTCGGTTCCCTCCAAGCTCCTGTCTGCCCTCTCAGTTGTCCTGATGGCTCCAGAGTCCAGCTGGGTACTGATCTCAGAGGTGCAAGGATGAATGGGACCTTTTCTTCCTTTCTCTTAAGCCCACTCTTCTCTGGGCACCTGCTCTGAATTCTAATCCCTTCAGCTACCCCCTCAGGACACTTGGAAGACAGAGATATCACACTCTGAGCTCACATTGTTGTTTTTTATTAATCTTAGAAGCTTATGGACAATAAAACTTGAGCTCACTGAACTCCGCCTTTGCTTCAAAACCCCACCCAAATTTGCTTTATGTACATAGGTTAATGATTATCCAAGATGTCCTGCTGACGAGCTGAGAGAATTTTTTCCTTGATTTTGGGGGGGGGGGTGTTTATTGTTGGGGGCTGCCCAGAGGTATTTTGGGGGGACTATTTCTAGCTCTATGCTTGGGGGTTGCTTCCTGGTGGGGCCGGTGGAAGGATTGAATCCGGGCTTCCTCCAAGCAAAGCGTAAATTGAGCCTGTTACGTTACCTCTGCAGCCTCTCAGGATTATTATTAGGGGGTCCAGTGGTTGGGTCATACCTGGTGGTGATCAGGTGACCAGGGCTTTGTCCTGGCTCTGTGCTCAGGGAGTCACTTGTGGGGGTGCTCAGGGGGCCCTGTGTGGTGCTAGGGATTGAACCAGGCCGGCCCTGTGCAAGGCAAACACCTATCTGCTGTCTGATCTCACCAGCCCTTTCTTTATTTTTCTTGCTTTTTGGGTCACAACTGGCGATGCACAGGGCTCACTCCTGGCTCTGCACTCAGGAATTACTTCCTGGCGGTGCTCAGGGGACCATATGGGATGCTGGGAATCAAACCTGGGTCGGCCGCGTGCAAGGCAAACGCCCTACCCGCTGTGCTATCGCTCCAGCCCCTCCCCAGCCCTTGGTCATCATTAAGTGGATTCCTCGAGGATTCTTCTCTCCGGGGGTTGGCAGCTGACTGTGCTGTGGGTTCCAGAGGAAATCTGGCTTGATGACATCCCATTTCCTGTGCACCTCCTTCCCCCGGAGCTGCAGTTACCACCTCTGCCTGCCCAAGCCCTCTTATCTGGTCATTTCTGCGTCCGTCCCCCCACCCCTGTTCCTGCCTGCACTCCCGCCCTCCCTCCGTGCGCCGCCGGCTGCAGGAACCTGACCCCGTGGGGCCGATAGGTCAGAGGCAGAGAGACGAGAGCAGCTGCTCTTGTGCAACCGCGGCCCGTGCTGGTATCTGTTGCCAAACCCCAGGAGCGGAGCCGGTTCCAGCAGGCCCTCGGCACGGACACAGCCCGTCTGGCTCTCGCGGCTGCGCTGCGGGGCTGAGGGAGCCCCGGGGGGGTTCCTGTGTGCGAAGATGATGATGCGCCCCAGATCAGAGCTTGGAAGGTGAGGTGGCCGGAGACGGTGACTCTGGGCCCCGGCGGGGGCAAGTTTCCTGGGTTTGTTGTTGTTTTGGTTTGGGAGCTACATCTGGCGGTGCTCAGGGCTGACTCCTGGCTCTGTGCTCAGGGCCAACTCCGGGTGGAACTCAGCTGGGACCAAACACGGGTCGGTCAAGTGCAAGCCAAGTGCCTTCCCCACTGTACTGTATATATCTCTGGATCTCTCTCTATCTCTGTCGCTGTCTCTCTCAAGAAAGTTAAAAAAATAAAATTAGAGACAGCTTTGCTCGAATCCTTATCCCTGTTGCCAAAGAAATGCAGAGCAAGTCTGGCTCAGTGTTGGCCTGGAGCCCGGGTCACTCATCCCGGGGCCCTCTGCTCTCCCGGGTAGACGCTGTGTTTGCTATTCTGGGGGAGTTGAACGGTGGGGAGGAGACGCCCGCTGACTCTGTGGGGAAGTGATATTATTTGGGCAGCAGGCCGGGTTTCCTGTCACTCACCCGCCCCCCAGCATCGCTGGGGCTCTGGGTCTGGGTTGCAGGCAGTGCGTGAAGCAGGAGTGATGAGAGCATGTTTGCTTGCAGCTTCTGGGCCAGCCTGCTGCTGGGACTGGGCGCGCTCTGTCCCCGAGGGGCCCCGTGCGGCATCTCCACACACATCGAAATAGGTGAGTGTGCCGTGGGCCGTGGAGATGAGAGAGATGAGAGAGGCTGGCGGGTGTTGGGGCTGGGGTGCTGGGCTTGGGGGTGGGGGGCAGTAGTAGAGGGACAGGAAGCCAGAGAACAGAGGTGTCTGAAGTGTTTCTCTGGGGAAGCAGTTGGAGTTAATGAAGTTAATGAAGCAGAGGTAAATAGTAGAGGGCAGGCAGGGGAGGGGGTTCGGGGTGAACTGTGACAGAAGTGAAGGGTGCATTTCACTTTTTTTCTTTTTTCTTTTTTTTCTTTTTTGGGTCATACCCAGTGATGCACTCCTGGCTCTGCACTCAGGAATTATCCCTGGAAGTGCTCAGGGATATGGGATGCTGGGAATCGAACCCGAATTGGCCATGTGCAAGGCAAATGCCCTACCCGTTGTGCAATCGCGCGCCAGAACTCTCCCCTCTTTTTTTTTTTAATGAACACTGTGAGATACAGTTACAGACTTACAAACTTTCGTGATACTTACAAAGTTTCAGTCATACAATGATCAAAGAGCCATCCCTCTACCAGTGCCCATTCTCCACCACTAATGTTCCCAGTATCCCTCCCCCCTTCCTCCCCCCCCCCGCCCCCCACCTCTGTGGCTGAAACCATTCCCTTTCTCTCTCTCTCTCTCTCTCTCTCTCTCTCTCTCTCCTTTGGAGTGTTATGGTTGGCAATACAGGACATTTCAGTTCTTTAACATTTTCCAATGCTTGGAAATGTACAAGGCCCGCATGTGCGACCCCGGGGCGAAGTAGCTTTGGTGACAGTTGGTTTCTGGGAAGGGGAGTTTGAATCATCACTGGCGTTAGAAGATCCAGAAGGGTGATGGGGTGGGAAACAGGTGTGTGTGTGGGGGGGGGGGCAGAACCAGGCAGTTGCCAGTGAACCCGGGGTGAGGGCAGAGGGATTTGGAGGAAGGTGAGTCGGGGCACAAAGACTTGATTCTTGAATGAGGCGTGTTTGTAGATTTTTTTTTTTTTGACTCATGGAAAATGTGAAGCAAAGTATAAACAGTGCAATGGGATTGCGGTGTGTGGCGGAGGGTGAGGGCTATTGCAGATACGGCCAGCGTACTGGCTTTTCTTTTGTTGGGTGAGAAACCATAACTCTCTAGGAGGTGCAAAGCAGAACCAGCAAGGGGTAAACAAGTCTATTAATACTACTGTAAAAGATAAAAAACAAAGTTTCAAAAGTTCGCATTTTTCCGTTAAGTGATCTTTCGGGAGTGGTTTTCCTTTTAGTTGAACGTGCTAGGTTTCTGCTTTTATTCCTCCAGGACACAGGGCTCTAGAGTTCCTTCAGCTTCACAACGGACGTGTTAACTACAAGGAGGTATGAAATTTGATATTTTAAAAAGTCACTTGTGTGTTGTAACTATCTCCCACAGATCCTAACATATATATTTACCCATTCCTAAATTACTCGGCCCTATTCTGGCCCTTTATATACTCTTCTGGTTCTACAGCTAAATGACTTTGTGAGACAAGGATTTTTTTCTTTTGCTCTTTGGGTTATATTAGCCAATGATGCTCAGAAGTTACTTCTGGCTCTGTGCTCAGGAATCGCTCCTGGTGGTGCTCGGGGGACCATGAGGGATGTTGGGAATTGAAACTGGGTTGGGCATGGGTAAGGCAAATACCCTCCACACTGTACTATCGCTTCAGCCCCAAGGATGGTTCTTAAATATTGATATTTGTAAGAGTGGTTAATGTTCTCTGCTCACCTCAGAATCAGGTCAGATTCACCTCCTGATAATTTAGAATGGAGGCAAGATGGTAAAAGAACTAAAATCGGCTATATTTCCAACCCCCCCCCCCCCCTTTCTTCATTTGTTTTAACTCCCTTGACTGCCAGTTTAACAGACCCTGCTGGGGAAAAAAAAAACAGTATTCATGTTTGATTGCCCCATTTATAATGAAAAATAAACAGCCACCAACCAGGTAGCCACCATTGATGATTTTATGGTGAACACATCGCTTCCTGTTTAACCTTGTGGAAAGAAAGTATCATGGCAATAAGGAGCGTCCATGTGAGCCAGCTTGGTTCTTACCGTCCTTATGAATCAATACACCATTTCCTCCTCAGCTCTTTGTATTATTATTCTTTTTTTTTTTTTTTGCTTTTTGGGTCACACCAGGCAATGCACAGGGGTTACTCCTGGCTCGGCACTCAGGAGTTACTCCTGGCAGTGCTCAGGGGACCATATGGGATGCTGGGAATCGAACCCGGGTCGGCCGCGTGCAAGGCAAACGCCCTACCCGCTGTGCTATCTCTCCAGCCCCATTATTCATTTCTTAAGTCCAAGTCTTTTTTTTTTTTATGTAGGAGTACTACTATTTATTCAGCCATTGATTAAGCTGATTGAAGCAGGCATAAAATCCACGTTACTTTTGTTTAAAATTTTTTTTTAAATTGGATATCCGTGAGATAGACCCTGACAAAGCTATTCATAGTTGAGTTTCAGTCATACAACGATCCAGCACTATCTCTCCGCCAGTGCACATTTCCCACCACCAGTGTCCCCTATTTCCCTCTCACCATCCTTTAACCTTTCACCCTCCCCCCACCCCCAGCCTCCCTCTATGAGAGGCATGTTCCTTCCTGTTCTCTCTCTCCTCCTCTTAAGCCAAAGTCTTATGTACGCTCCGGATGGATTAACAGAGGATCAAGCTAGAAACACAGAACTCTGGCCGGGCTTGCACAGATCATACAAAAACTCTGCCCATCTGTGGGGATCGATGCAGCCAGTCAGCATCTGTCAGGCTGTTTCCTATGCGACCACTTCAGTGGCCAGGCTGACAAGTTCAGAGGTCACCCCAAAGGTGACCAGGTTGTGGTGGGAGCAAAAGAAACTGCAGACACACGGAGATGTAGAAGAGACAAGGGATTTGATGAGCAAAGGCAGGGCAAAGTACCTCCTGTCTTCCTTAGTTAACACAGGAGTTATGTGAACATTTTATTTTATTTTTTTTGTTTTGTTTTTTGGGTCACACCCAGCGATGCACAGGGGTTACTCCTTGCTCTGCACTCAGGAATTACTCCTGGCGGTGCTCAGGGGACCATATGGGATGCTGGGAATAGAACCCCAGGTCGACCGTGTTCAAGGCAAACGCCCTACCCACTGTGTTATCTCTCTAGACCCACGTGAGCATTCTAAGTGTTGGTGGCCTTCTGGGATGACATCAATCTTTCATTATGACAAATGCCAAGGAGAAGCATGTGTGTCCATTTAACATGTTCTAAGTCAAGTTGAAGGGACCAGAAGGATGGCACAGGGATGAACATGCTTGCTTTCATGCCCCCCACCCCATTTCAGTCTCCATACACTCTCATGTGCCCCTCCCCCCAGTACCACCAGGGGTTGTTCTTGAGCACAGAGCTAGGAGTACCTGCTCGCACTGCCAATTATGGCCCCAACCCCCACCATCCAAAATTAAAGTCGAGGATACAAGTTGACCTTTACTAGTAAATCTCTCTGCACATGCTCAGGTTGCCTTTAAATAGGCAGATTCTTATTTCTTTCGAGTGTCTGTCTGTCTTTTTGTCTGTTTTGGGGCCATGTCAGTGGTGCTCAGGCCTTACTCCTGGCTCTGTGCTCAGGGATCACTCTGGTGGGTTTGGGGGACCACGTGTGGTGACGGGGATAGAACCTGGGTTGACTCTGTGCAAGGCAAATACCGTACCCCCTGTACTATCTCTCTGACCCCCTTGGTAAGCCTCAGTTCTGGTGGCAGAGCCCAAAGGTTTGTTTTCACTGGACACTGTCCATTCTCGTGCTTTGTTTCTTCAGATCCCACATGATGAATGAGATCATTCAGTATTTTCCTTTCTTCCCCTGACTTACTTCACTTAACATGACACCACCCGGTTCTAGCCAGATTGTAGGAAAAGGCAAGATCGCATCTTTCCTTAGAGCAAAGCAATAATCCACGGTATAGAAATTACCATCATTTCTTCATTCATCCCTCTGAACTTGGGTATTTGGGGCATTTCCAGATCTTAGCAATTTGTCCTTCGCATGGCAATGAACTAGGCGCGCATGGACCTTTCTGAATAAATGGTTTTGTGTCCTCGAGGGTGATGCCCAGGAGTGGGGTCACTGAGTCATATAGACATTCTGTTTTTAACGTATTGAGAAGTTGTCACACCATTTCTCCATCGTGGCTGAACCCGGGGCCATTCCCACATACAAGATGGTTGTTCCTTTTTCACATCCTCATTAGCTCTGGTTGCTTCAAGGTTTTTGTTGTACAGAGGAAGAAGAATAGGGAAGAGCAGTCAACTGCAAGGTTCCGTGGATGGTACTCTTTAACTCGTGATACAGGAGGTGCCTGCCGCATTTTCACGCTGGAAATTAAGTTTTCAGTTCATAATGAAGTGTGTATGTGTAGGTAGCTCTATTGACACTATGTACTCCTTGTGTGTGGTGCTGAGGATCAAACCTAAATCTCCTGCCTGCAAGCCAGGCCCTTTACTCCTGAACCACATCCCTGGACCCCTCAGACTCGAACCACTAGTTAAACATCCAAGTGGTAGTTCTTGCCTGGGGTAATTATTATGGTAATGTTACCAAATGTGTTGATCTGCTTCTGTCATTCCTTCTATATTTATAAGTTGACATTCTGCTGAAAGGGCATTTCCTTCTTCATTAATGCATTATCTTATCAGAATACATTCATGCCTTTCTATTTTCTTCAGTATTTTATAATACATTACTGTCATTATCTTTTTTATTTTTCTTTTTCGGTCATACCCAGAGATGCTCAGGGGTTACTCTTGGTTCTGCACTCAGGAATTACCCCTGGCAGTGCTTGGGAAACCATATGGGAAGCCGGGGATTGAACCCAGGTTGGCTGCATAAAGGCAAATGCCCTGTCCTCTATACTATCGCTCTGGCCCCTTACTGTCCATTATCTTGATGCTCAAATTGTCTTAACTTTTGTTTCCAGTTGGCACTAACAAAATATATCTGTCTGCCTTCCTGCTTTCCTGCTTTTCTGTTACCTACTTAAAACCACGATTTCACACATACATCTCCAATTACAATCCATCTTCACCGGACTTCACCTAAATTCTCAGAGTCCATTGATTTTCTTCTCTAGGTTTCCTGACTAGGCTTGGCCCATCCCTCCATCCCCATCACTACCAACTAGATCCCTGTGACCCAGAAGCACCTTCCTCCCCCCAACCAGAGAAAACATGGATAGCTAAGTGAGGGCGAATACCCTTAAGAGCTTATATAGTACTGTACTGTCCTCCCGTTGTTCATCGATTTGCTCGAGCCGGCCCAGTAACATCTCCATTGTGAGACTTGTTACTGTGTTTGGCATATTGAATACATCACAGGTAGCTTGCCAGGCTTTGCCGTGCAGGTGAGATACTCTCGGTAGCTTGCTGGGCTCTCCAAGAGGGACAGAGGAATTGAACTGGGTTGGTTGCATGCAAGGCAAACGCCCTACCCGCTGTGCTATCACTCCATCCCAAGAGCTTATATACTTCATTAAAAATTCTTAAGTATTTCAGATTTTGAAACAGATCTGCTTCAGGGTTTAAAAACTATTTCTTTCTTTATTCAGGGGGAGGATTGGGCAATTCCTGGCAATACCAAGGGCTTACTCCCGTGTGCTCAGAGGTCAGTCTTGGAGGGGCTGTGGGGACCATAGGTGGTGCCAGAGATCGAACCCAGCTTGGCAGCATGCAAAGTTAGTACCCTGTCCACTGTACTGTCTCGCCAGGCCCCCAATTTCATCCTTTATTCCTATCACCCATCGAGTTATCAAGAATGCATGCGTCTGTATTTCCTTGTTATCTTACTGTCTTCTTTTGCTATCACACTATTATTTCCTTGCCTCACAATAATGATCACGATCATCTTGTTGTTCGTCGATTGCCTCAAGCAGGCACCCATAACGTCTCCTTCGCCCTAGCCCTGAGATTTTAAAAAGTGCCATATTCAAGGCTCTTTCGGGGTTAGGAGAATGAGACCCATCGTTGTTACTGGTATTTGGCATATTGGGTATGCCACGGGGAGTTTGCCAGACTCTGCCGTGTGGGCAGGTTACATTCGGTAGCCTGCCAAGTTGTCCAAAGGAAGAACGAGATTTTCTTAGCTTAACACATTTTTATATCTGAAGGACATGGCTTTGCTCTGTATTTCTCTCCTTCCCCTACCCACCTTCCCAGGAAGTTTTCTGATTATTTTGGCGACAAGGGCCACCGTCACTGTCACTGTCCCTGTCCGCCTGTTGTTCATCGATTTGCTCGAGCGGGCCCAGTAATGTTTCTATTTTGAGACTTGTTGTTACTGTGTTTGGCATATTGAATACGTCATGGGGAGCTTGTCAGGCTTTGCTGTGCGGGCGAGATACTCTCGGTAGCTTGCCGGGCTCTCTGAAAGGGGCGGAGGAATCGAACCTGGCTCGGCAGGGCTGGCTGCACGCAAGGCAAATGCCCTACCGCTGTGCTATCGCTCCAGCCCACCGACAGGAGTACTTTCCAAAATTTGTTCAGAGTTACTTTTTTTATTTTCCCACTGTTGAAAAATGATGCTTTTTAAATGATGAAATAGAAATGTGACTTATGATACTTTTATATATAATTTCACTAGGAGATGCCTTGGTGAATATTAATTTTTGGTGTGTGTGTGTGTGTGTGTGTGTGTGTGTGTGTGTGTAGGGGGGGGTTGGGCCACACCTGGATGTGATCAGGCATCATTCCTGACTCTGCTCAGGGATCACTCCTGACAGATCCCGCCTCTGTTCATATACCCGGTGGTTCTGGAATCCTACAGTTGGAAGTGGACAGGGTCTGAATTTCTCAGTCTGCTGACCATCTCAGCCCACTAATCTATTTCTCTGCACCCCCCCCCCCCCCCAGCTGTTACATGAACATCAGGATGCGTACCAGGCCGGGACAGTATTTCCGGATTCGTTTTACCCCAGCATTTGTGAAACCGGTAAGACAAGCATTTCAAACCAAATGATGCCATTTTTTACTTGAATAGCTATCACTTAAAAAAAAAATAGTGAATTATTGGGGCCAGAGAGTAGTACAGTGGGAAGGGCATTTGCCTTGCACACGGCCAACCCAGGTTCAATCCCCAGCATTCCTTATGGTAGGAGTAATTTCTGAGTGCAGAGTGAGGAGTAACCCCTGAGCATTCCAGGTATGACACCCCCCCAAACAAAACAAAAAATATGGTGCATTACTTTGCAGGGGAAGGGCTGTGGTTATACTCAGTGATTATATATCTACCTCTGTCTGTGTCAATAATTTACCTGTCATTTATACATCTGTGTATATACGTATGTGTATATATGTATATATGTATATGTGTAGTACAGCACATTACATTTCTACTACCGCTGACCAACGAATTGGTTCATACAGTTGCTCTTTAAATCTAATTAAAATTTTCAAAGTTCTGAAACCTTTTTTTTTTCTTTTTGGGTCACACCCAGAGATGGTCAGGGCTTATTCCTGGCTCTGCACTTAGGAATTACTCCTTGCAGTGCTCGGGGGACCATATGGCATGCTGGAAATTGAACCAGGGTTGGCCGCATGCAAGGCAAATGCCCTACCCATTGTGCTATCATTCCAGTTCCTGAAACCTTTATTCTAAGCACCTTTACTCATTTGACTATTCTGTGGCAAGAGAACACATTTTATTTTATTTATTTATTTATTTTTGGCTTTTTGGGTCACATTCGGCGATGCATAGGGGTTACTCCTGGCTTTGCACTCAGGAATCACTCCTGGCGGTGCTCAGGGGACCATATGGGATGCTGGGAATTGAACCCAGGTTGGCCGCGTGCAAGGCAAACGCTCTACTCGTTGTGCTATCACTTCAGCCCAGGAGAACACATTTTAAAATTAACCCTGAACACAGAGTCAGGAGTCCTGAGCATTGCCAGGTGCGCCCCCCCCCCACTCAAACCCAAAGAAAGTCAACTGACAGGTGTGTTTTGAAAACATACCCTTTATGTTGTCATGTTCATGTGGGAACAGGAAATGTCACTTACATGCTGAGTGTGGTTTCACTTCTTTTTGGGTCACACCAATGACGCTCAGGGGTTAGTCCTGGCTGTGCACTCAGGAATTACTCCTGGCGGTGCTGGGGTGACCACATGGGATGCCAGGGATTGAACCCTGGTTGGCCGTGTGCAAGGCAAACACTCTGCCCGCTGTATACTATGGCTCCTCCACTTCTTTATTGGGCCACTTAACATGCCACTCTGTTGTCAAATGTTGAGCAAGTCTGTGCTGTCGTGTTACTAGTAAACCAGGTTTATGGGACTGTACCATCAGGGCCCCAGGGGGACCCAGAAGGTACACCCAGACTGAATCATTGTGGGGGCAGCTTACACACCTCCTCCAGCGCCAGGACACAGGAAAACTTTGGTCAAGGGATGGGGAGGAGGAAGCTACTGGAATTGCAGTTTGGTGGAGGGAAGGCCTTCGGGTGAGGGCTGGGTTCAGTCTCAGAACATGCTGGCACACTGGCACCCACACAAGCAGAACTGAAACATTAAAACCCCAATCTCTCTTCCTTTGCTCACACTTCCTGTTAGTTTTCCCCATTGGCCAAACTCAACCCAAACAAAGTCAGAAGGCAAAGAAACTGGTGGAGGGGGACCCTCTCCCAGCCCAGCCCAGACACATTGTCCAAGGTGGAGGGCACCCAGAGAGGACCTGGGTGGGGAGTGGGGGTTCAAGGAAAGACCCCAGTACACTGGCGCATCATGGCGCCCCTTTATGGAGTCTTAGAATCATCAGCCATTATTTCCAGAAACATGTAGGGCGGCTCTGGACATTTCAATCATTCCCTGAGATAATCTTATCTTATTTTTATTTATTTATTTATTTTTGCTTTTTGGGTCACACCCAGCGATGCACAGGGGTTACTCCTGGTTCTGCACTCAGGAATCACCCCTGGCGGTGCTCAGGGGACCATATGGGATGCTGGGAATCGAACCCGGGTCTATTTGCAAGGCAAACACCCTACCTGCTGTGCTATTGCTCCAGATCCTAATCTTATCTTAAAAGGGGGATTTTTAAGAAGTCAGGCTTGAGAAACATTGCTTAATATGTGTTATCTTTAAAGACATTAACAAAACAAAAGGTAGACAAAGATTCTGGCAAGAGTAGAGAAGGACTTCAAGCTACAAGCTATCTGACATTTTCTGTTGAATTTAGTTTTCAAATGTTTTGTCATTTCTTGGAGGGTTCTGGGTCCACCCCTCCCCTCCCCCCCCCCCCCCCCCCCCCCCCCCCCGCCCGTGCTTTGAGACCATGCCCACCTCTGTGCTGGGGATTGTTACTCATGGTACTTGAAGAACCACGTGGTGCTGGGGACAGAACTGAGGTCAGCCATGCAGGACAAGAGCCTTAACTCCTGCACTATCATTCTGACCCCTTCTATGTCTTTAATAAAGCAACAAATACCTTCTTTTTGGATATAAAGATTGGCACCAGCTGTCGCTGATAACCCAAAAGTTCAGTCAGAAGAGCTGTAGACATGTGCTGATTGCAAGGTAGCTGGCTGATGTTCTCCTGAGATTTTTATCAGTCTTGGGAATATCTGCTTTTCTCTTTTATACTAACTGGGAGGAGACACAAAACAATCCCACTGTACATGTCTTTCTTTTTTATCCACTCATCCATTGATGGGTCTTAGTTGCTGATGGATAAAGAGATTCAAACACAGGGGCCTGAGTGATAGTACAGCAGATAAGATGTTTGTCCTGCATGTGGCCCATCTGGGTTAGATTCCCAGCATTCCATAGGGTCTCCTGAGCCCTTTCAGGAGTGATTCTTGAGTGCAGAGCCAGGGGTAATCCCTGAGCATGCCAGGTGTGGTCCAAAAAGCAAAATAAAACAAAACACACAGAGAGAGAGATAGAGACAGAGATAGTCAGAGACAGAGATAGAGAGAGAGATTCAAACACAGACAGACACACTGCCCCTTATCCTTGGTTTCTGGATGCAGACATTGAAAACCCTTCAATCCTCTGTCCGGCCCAGAAAACCGGAAGTGTTCTGTGTACACTGCTGTTGCCTTTGCTGTTTCAGGGACTTATTTGAATGTCTGAAGAATCCTGGAGGGAGGGAGGAGAGAGCAGGGACCACTCTGGAAAGGTGCCTCAGGCCTGTTTTTGTTTTGCCAGGGAGATTCCACGATGTGTCGGAGAGCACACACTGGACGCCATTTCTTAATGCCAGTGTTCATTACATCCGTGAAAACTACCCCCTGCCCTGGGACAAGGTAGGCATGACCCTGTGCGCCTACCTGAGAACCCATCTCCAGCCCTTCTTTCATACCTGGACCCCTCACCCAATCCCAGACTCAGAGGGCAGCTCACCTTCATATCCTCTGATTGTAAACTTGGCACATTGATTTTTGAATATGTTATTTTTTTAAAGTTTGGACTAAGTCACTTGGTTAAATAGAAATTAATCTGAAAGCACTTCCCAGGCCCTGAAAAATGTTTGTTTGTTTGTTTGTTTGGGGGTTACACCTGGCAATGCTCAGGGGTTACTCCTGGCTCTGCACTCAGGGATCACACCTGGCAGCCATGGGGAACCATATGGGATACCAGAGATCAAACCCAGGTCTACCATGTGCCAAACAAGTATCCGCTGTACTTTGGTACTGGCCCTAGGCTCTGTGAAACATTTTAAAACTCCTTATGTTGTGTGTGGTGTCTGGGCACCCGTTAAATACCCTCCTGATTCAAATATATATATATATATATTTTTTTTTTCTTTTTGGGTCATGCCCAGAGATGTTCAGGAGTTACTTCCGGCTCTGCACTCAGGAATTATTCCTGGCGGTCCTCAGGGGACCCTACGGGATTGCCGGAGATTGAACCTGGGTTGACTGCATGCAAGGCAAATGCCCTCCTCGCTATACTATCATTCCATCCCCTTTTGTGAAGTCTTAATAACAGAAATGGATCCATAACTGTTAAAAATATTTTTTAACATTTATTTATTTATTAATTTGGGTGTGTGTGTGGGTTGATGCTTAGGGATCCCTTCCAGGGGTGCTTAGGGGACCATACGGGGCCAGGGATCAGACCTGGGCCTCCTGCATATGAAGTCCTCTGAGCTGTCTCTTCAGCTGCTAGGATCACTGGTATAAAGACATGCCAACAAGCGTGAATCTGATTTGTTTTGCTTGGCAGAACACAGAGAAACTGGTGGCGTTCCTGTTCGGCATTACCTCCCACATGGTAGCAGATGTGAGCTGGCACAGCCTGGGCATCGAGCAGGGCTTCCTCCAGACCATGGGTGCTGTGAGTGTCTGCCGTTCGGGTCGCCGCCTTTCAGAGAGCCGGAGGACAGACTCCCTCAAAAAACGAACCCCTGGGAAGGAAATGAAAACATGGGCCTTGCCTGCTGTCGTGTACAAATGAGATTTCTTGTTGCGAAGCGAAATTTGTGGGAGTACCCACTTTTCTTTGTCATTCCCATCAATCTCCTTAGTCCTGGGTAGATTCTGGACCCTAGAAGTCCAACCTCTGGCCTTGTGCATGCAAAACCTCGGCTCAACCTCTGAATGACCTCCTTGAGGTGACTCACTTCTTTGTCTTTGCTAGGTACCTCCCAAGCTATTCCACGGAACATGGTGGACTGGAAGGCGTGTGTGTGTGTGGGGGGGGGGGGGGGCGGGGGGTACTCCCGGCAATAACTTGGCCAACTAGGCCAGATGGTGTCATAATTAGACCTGGTGATGTGGGTGCAGCAGTGTTTGGGGGTCTCCAGGGCTATACCAGGTGGGATTTAGAGGTCGTATGGAGCTGGTGGCTGGCTCACGCAAAACCTGGGCTAAAGCACTTACTTTGTACCATATGGGATGCCGGGGATTGAACCTGGGTCAGCCGCGTGCAAGGCAAACACCCTCCCCGCTGTGCTATCGCTCCAGCCCCGCAGGTTGGAATTAAAGATTTCATTGTTGGGGGAGGGGGGAGTGCAGGTGTGAAGCACTTGCCTTGCATATGGCCAGCCGTGATACTGAACATAGTCCTCACCCCAGCACCAGTGAACATATTAATTTATATTTCTTTAAAAATCAGACGATGCACAGCTGTGGAGCTACCCCACTGCTTAGGAAATAGTTATATTGGCATCTGGAACTCCTGACCTTTCTTCTTCTGCAGCCCTTTCTCTCCCCTGAGTGCTCTCTCTGGCCCCTATTTGGTCATATTTTAATAGGAGTAGTTTCGTGTATTTTGCTTTCCTTTTCCATATGAAAATGCCCGTTTCTCAACATTGAGACCTGTGATTTGGTTCCGGGGGTCTTCTGTGATCACTCAGTAATATTAGGCTGGGAGCCCCATGTGGGTCACTTTGGGGGCAAATGTTTGCCCGTATTAAGGGTACACCTCAGCTGCCAACATATGCAGCTTCCACAAATGAAATGATATCATGATCATATGAAGTGCACCTCTAAATATTGAGTTCATTTGTGAAGGAATCCTCAGCAACGTGGTGGGTTAGTTACTAGCTCAAAGCTTGTTTGATTGTGGGGTTGGAGTTTGGGCTTTGCTGTGAAATATATTTCAGAAGATTTTCTTTCTCAGGCTGACTTTCTTTTATTTGATTTTTTTCTCCTCAGATTGATTTTCACGGCTCCTATTCAGAGGCACATTCAACTGGTGACTTCGGTATTTTTTTATTCTATGTCAGTTTATACTTACCTATCTTCTATTCTAGTATCTATCTTGTTTACAATACAGGTAAACTCATTTGGTCATAAAGATAAAAGATGGTGCATGTGTAGTTTTTGCCAAATATCACATTTTGATATAGCTTGTCATAATGTTACAAATGCTTTCTTTTTCTTTCTTTTTTTTTTCTTTTTTTTTTTTTTTTGCTTTTTGGGTTACACCTGGTGATGCACAGGGGTTACTCCTGGCTCTGCACTCAGGAGTTACTCCTGGTGGTGCTCAGGGGACCATATGGGATGCTGGGAATCGAACCCGGGTCAGCCACTTGCAAAGCAAACGTCCTACCCACTGTGCTATCTCTCCAGCCCCCACAAATGCTTTCTTTTAATATCAGATTAAAATCAGTGCTACCGAGTTTCTCCTAATCCTTTAAATTGGTAATACCTGCCTTTTCCCCCCCTGTAGTAAATGATCTTTAGGGATATAAACTAGATGGCAAGAGACACTTATTTGTAAGATCCTTATTGCCCATCTTTCCTTAAAGTAGGAAATCATTTGTTGGACGGGACCTATAGCTCAGGTGATAGAGGACATGGGTCCCGTGTTGTGCGGCTCCATAAAGACAATAAAAACCACATTTTTGGGGCCAGAGAAATGGCACAAAGGGCTGCAGAAGGACCACTGAGCACTGCTCCACTATAATATCAACTTTAAATGATCATTTTTTTCTTAACGATGTGTCTGTGACTAAAACAATTCAACATACAAAAATATAAAGAATGAGGGTCTGAAGTGATAGTACAGCAGCTAAGATGCTTGTTTTACACACGGCAGACCTGGGCTCTATCCTCAGCACCACATATGGTCCCCTGAGCCCTGCCATGAGTGATCTCTGAGCACAGAGTAAATCAGGAGTAAACCTTGAACACCACTGGATGTAGTCCCCCTCTCCCCCCACCCCAATTTTAAGTATATATATAAAGAACATCTGGAATAAGTAAATTTGTTTTGAAGAACACTTTGTGTGGTCATGAATCCACCTGGTACAAATTTAATTTAATTTTTTTTTTCATATCCTAGGAGGAGATGTGCTGAGTCAGTCTGAATTTAACCATAATTACCTGTCCAGGCACTGGTAAGAGCAAAGTCTATTTAAACCTCTGAGCTGGCCACTTTGTTTCCTTTGGTTTACTTAGAAAATGTCACTTAGGACCATAACCAAAAGTTTAATGCACTTGGAAATTTTGGAAAGTGAGACTTTAAGTTGGAATTCTTGAAAAGATTTCATTGTTGGGGTAAAATGCAGGGGTAAAGCACTTGCCTTGCACATGACCAGTCCTGATTCCATCCCCGGTTCTGCACATGGTCTCTGGCCCAGCACCAGTGAACATCACTGTCACTGTATCACTGTCATTCCATTGTTCATCGATTTGCTTGAGTGGGCACCAGTAGTGTCTTTATTTGTCCCATCCCTGAGATTTTAGCAGCCTCTCCTTACTCATCTTTCCCAATGGCGCCATATTGGAGGCTCTTTCAAGGTCAGCGGAATGAGACCCGTTATTGTTACTGTTTTTGACATATTGAATACCACATGGGGAGCTTGCCAGGCTCTGCCATGGCCAGTGAACATACAAAAGAATATTAATTTATATTTATTTAAAAATCAGGTGATGAACAGCTGTGGAACTACCACATTGCTTAGGAAATAGCTGTATTGGCATCAGAAACTCCTGACTTTTTCTTCTGCAGCCCTTTCTCTCCCCACCGGGGGACAACACGACCTGTATTTCCTGTTACTCATTTTGTTGCTTTTCTCCATAGTCTTATGACACATGGTTGAACCCATATCCAGAATATTATGTTGTTTTCACTCTACATGATAAAATGCAATGGACTTATTTCTTATGAAGAGTCAGAAAAAAAAGCAAGCCATAGTCCAAACTCCCCAACCCTTGTCTTCTTATATATTGAGTCGCACCCCTTGAATCTACCCTACCCCCCAGCTCTTTAGAGATCCTTCCCATACTAGGCTGAGGACATTGGCTGGTGTTTTTTTTTCTTTTTGGGTCACACCTGGCAGTGCACAGGGGTTACTCCTGGCTCTGCACTCAGGAATTACTCCTGGCGATGCTTGGGGGACCATATGGGATGCTGGGAATCGAACCCGGGTCTGCCTCGTGCAAGGCAAATGCCCTACCCACTGTACTATTGCTCCAGCCCCTAGTGTTTGTTCTTATAAAGTCCAATATGTGGGATGGTCCTCTCCACTCATTCTCCTTTATAAATCCAAAGTATGTTTCTGTAAATATGGGTAAAAATTTACTGAAAAAGAGGAAAACATAAGATGGAGTGTAAGAATTTTTTGTTTTGCGAGGTGGGGGGAGGGGATGTCATACCCACCAGTGCACAGGGCTAAGTTTTGGCTCTGTGCTCAGGGATCATTCCTGGTGGTTCTTGGAGGACTGGGGATTCAAATGGGGTCAGCCACATGCAAGATAAGTGCCTTACCAGCTGTACTATCTCTCCAATCCCACGGAGATAAAGATTTATGAGAAAATTATGATCAGTAAAAATTGCAAATAAAAATGTAGACAATAGAATCATACATAAGGTGTTCTGCACATTTCCCTTCTCAAAAAAAAAAAAAAGATTATGTTCCTGCGGGGCTGGAGAGATGGTATAAGCGTTAAGGCACTTCCCTTTCATGTGCTTGACCCAGGTTAGAGCCCCAACATTGCATATGGTCCCCTGAGCACTGCCAGGAGTGACCTTTGAGCATAGCACCAGGAGTAAGCCCTGAGCATAGTCAGATGTGGCCCTAAAACAAAACAAAAACAGTATGATGTCATACAGATATGACTTCATACAGAAATGTAGTCATACAGATGATATATTCACCAGCAGGTCATTCATTTTCATCATTGAATAGAGTAGCAAATAGTCCTTCATTGAAAGGGGATGTCAGAATAAACACGTCTGCCTGTGGTTAATGGACATGTTTGTCGTGATGGTTTAACTTGACACAAAATGTTCCTATGACACAGGCTCTTAACCTCTGTCAGGACAGTTCATCCAGTCTGTCTTCTTTCTCTAAAGGCAGCTTGCCTATTAGATTGCTTTGTCTCCTTCACATAAAATTGTCATGTTCCAGGAAAGACTTTGGGATTTGGATTAGAATTATACGATATCTAGAGAGCAGTTGTACTAGGACTTTTGGCAACATTGTCATATGCAAAATGGAACCCAGGCCCACTAGGTTCTGTTCAACCTGAAGTTTTTCTGACTTGGAGTGATGGCATTATAGCAGAATGGGGCCCACATTTTCTCCTAGGTTCGAAATCACGAAGGGGACAGGGTTTAAGTATGAGCCTTTTGGGGGTCAGAGTGATAGACCAGCAACTGACCGCAACTGACCTGCAACTGACCCGCAACCAACCGGGGTTTGATCCCCGGCATCTCATATGGTCCTCCAGGCACCACTCGTAGTAATTCCTGAGTGCAGAGCCAGGAGTAACCCCTGAGCACTGCTGGGTGTGACCCCCTTTCCCCAAAAGAGAATGAGCCTTTTATTGAAAACTATGCTGGAGCAAAAGGAAGTCAGCCTAAGGAGAGAGTCTAGCTGGTTGGTCCTACAAAGGTGTTAACTGGATTTTCTGATGTTGTTATTGGTTTCTTGTCCATACCTGGCTGTGCTCAGAATTTACTTTTGCTTCTGGGCTCAGGGATAACTCCTGGAGGGAATTGAGAGGTGCTGGGGACCAAAACCAGGTTGTCTGCATGAAAGGTTAGTGCCCTACCCTCTGCACTATCTTTCTGGCCCCTCTCTGGATATTTCATAATAAAAGAATAGAAAAGTCGGGATGAACTAGGTCATAGAGACAGTCTTTCTGCACCTGTAGATGATCATCCAGCTTCTTTGTATATTGCATATTCAAGGGCCAGCTTATCTATGCCCTTGGAGAGGTGGGGATTTTCTTAGGATAATGAAGCAAGGGGTCTGTGAGGGCCCTTTATTTTATTATTTTAAAAAAAAATTTATTTTATTGAACTACCATGAGATAGAGCATCATAAAGCTGTTCATGATTGGATTTCAGTCATCCAATGTTCCAACACCCGTCCCTCCACCAGTGCAATTTCCCAGCACCAATGGCCCCAGTTTCCCTCCCACTTCCCAAAACATCCCCCACCTCTGCTTGCCTCTATAGCAGGCACCTCTCTTCTCTCTCTTTCTCCTTCTCATTTTAGGCACTCTGGTTTGCAATACAGATGCTGAAAGATTATCATGTATATCCCTTCACTAACTATCAACTCTCAGTTCTTGTCCAGAGTGATCATTTCCAACTGATGTTGCCTTACAGGACCCTCCTCTATTTTAACCCTCCACCCCCCACACTCTTGTGGTGCTTTCCAGCCATTGACCAGTCCTTCTGAGTGAGGGCTCTTTATTTATTCATTTATTTTTGTTATTTTTTTATTTTATAAAGTGGTTTACAATATTTGATTATATTTAATATTCGAACACCTATCCCACCACCATTAGAGGAAAGAGTGTGAAGATTGTTGTATTTCATCCAGGTGCCATTAAGCCCTTCTATAAGAGATCATTAACATTTTGTTAAAGGTTAAGCCTTGTGTGCTTAAGTGTGTGTGTGTGTGTGTGTGTGTGTGTGTGTATAATATGTATCTGTAAAAAAAATTTCCCTTTAAGTTTGGTTGCCTGAGTGAGGGCTTTTAGACCTTGAGGGTCCTCACATCTGGAAAGTTCCTCGTGTGAGTTGCTCATAGCTGTCTCTTCCTGGTCTGTGCCACTTTCTGCCTCGCAGTGTAGGTCTTGCTCCTGTGGGTTCTTGTTCACTGGTTGTGCCAGCATGCTCACAAGACAAAATGTTTGGGGGGATGGGTAGTAATGACAAGTTCTAGAGAAAGATGTCTTTTTACGTTTATCAATTGCCAAGAGAATGTACGCAGGTATCTTGGCGGTCCTTGTATGTTGGTTTTATTTCTAAGTCCTACTCAAGCAGAAGGCGTATGTGACCTTTGGTCTGGGGGTCTCTCTGCTGCCATTCCTGTGCCTTCTCTCCTATTTCCTATAAGTCACATGCCATCAAAAAGCAAAATTAAGGGGCTGGAGAGATAATACAGCAAGTAAGGCACCTGCCTTTCACTCAACTGATCCCTGGTATCCCATATGATCCCCCCACGCACGACCAGGAGTATTGCTTGAGTGAAGAGCCAGGAGTAATCCCTGAGCATCGCCTGGTGTGACCCCAAGACAAAAAACAAAAACAGAAACAATCAAAAAAGCAAAATAAAGCTAAACCTCACAGTCCACAGAGTTTGGTAGATTCTGTCAAGGCAAAAATCTCTTTCCCATTTGCTTACCTCACAGAGTTTCCACTCTCAATTTGTTTTTGGTGTTTGGAAAATTTTCACTTTCTGCCTAGCTTGGTGATTCATCTGAAAAAATATTTTTGTCTCTCCTTTTGAGTTATTTTTATTGGGAGACCCATTTTGGTGCTCTCTCTCTCTCTCTCTACTGGGGTATGTGGGCAGTTGGGGGGATCCCAAGTGGTGCTCAGATGTCCTGGAGGCCCCGATGGGGATTCTGCTCATGGCCGCTGAGCAGGGGGTTGGGGTCAACGTAAGGGCCTGCGGATTGTATGGTGGGCCCTTCAGTGCTGGGGATACCTGGGCCCCACAGCATTGCTGGGGACCTCCGAGGCCACTCTCAGTGGTACTGAGGGATTATTGAGTCGATCAGGCCCATGCTAGGCATGTGTCTTTGTTGTGTGTGTGTGTGTGTGTGTGTGTGTGTGTGTCTTTGTTTTTTTTTTTTAATCTACTTTTTGCTATTTGGGTTACACCCAGCGATGCTCAGGAGTTACTCCTGGCTCTGCACTTAGGAATTACTCCTGGTGGTGCTTGGGGGACCTTATGGAATGCTGAGATGCCGAGATGCCAGGGATTGAACCCAGGTTGGCCACGTGCAAGGGAAATGCTGTACCCACTATTGCTCCGGCCCTGCTAGGCATGTGTCTTAACCCTGTAAAATCTCCTGAATTTTTGATGTGTTTATGAAATAAAAAATGGTCTTTTCTATAGATTCTTATAGAGATACTCTAAGAAAAATAAGCTTTTTATTCATAATGGCTCCTAGCTGATGTAGTTTAAGAATTTTGTAATGATTATGTAAGATGATTCAGTATAAAGCAAATGTTTAAGATGTCTTTTTTTTTTTTTTTTTTTTTTGCTTTTTGGGTCACACCCGGCAATGCTCAGGGGTTACTCCTGGCTCATGCACTCAGGAATTACTCCTGGCGGTGCTCGGGGACCATATGGGATGCTGGGAATCGAACCTGGGTCGGCCATGTTGGCTGCGTGCAAGGCAAACGCCCTACCCTCTGTGCTATCGCTCCAGCCCCGTAAGATGTCTTTTTTAAAATCGAGATGATTATTATCTGTGAACTACATGCTTACTGTAGAATTTTTTTCCACTGCCACAGGTGGTGTTTGGTGTTTTATACAGAATGATAACTAGAGAATAGTTCAATGGAAAAGAATAGAATTACTTAAATCTCTCCTTGGACTCTGAATTTTCAATAGAAAATGTCTCCTTTATGCTACATAGTATTCCGTCTTTGGATGTACCTTCATAAATATTTACTCAAGGTGCTGGTTGTTAATCCTGTGTCACTAGACAGAGGAACTTTTCTGTGCTTTGGTTTCTTCTTATATAAAAAGGTAATATGATCGTTTGAACTGCTTGGGGATTTTGATAGGATTAAATAAATAAGAGCTTTTTGCATGGTGTCTGGCACCTAATAATTATCAATTAACTGGCGCTGCCATAATCAAACTTGAAAATCAAAATAATCCATATTTTGCTCAGGTATGTACCTGTGAAAGACCTCCTGGAAATTTATAAGCAACTCTATGGCCGTGAAGTTATCACTCAAAAAGCAATTGTTGACTGTTCTTACCTTCAGTTTCTGGAACTGTAAGTATTACCAAAAAAGGATATGTGACTGATTTAATTTTTAATTTTATTTATTTATTTTTATTTGGGCCATACTCGGCTCTGCTCAGAGGTCACTCCTGGTGGGCTCAGGAGACCCTCTGGGGTGCTGGGGATTGAACCTGGGTCGACTGTTGCAAGGCAAGTGCCTGACTCCCTGTAGTATCTCTTCAGCCCCTGATTCAAATGTGACTTCCTTACCATGCTTCTTTCATGATTTTGTTTTCTGGAAGTAAATTTTGCATTTGTGGACTTTGCATATTCGAAGCAATTTGTGTGGCAGTGATTGTGGGCTGGTGGATATTTTTATTTATTGTTTGCTTCATTTTGGGGGAAGAAACCACACTCACTAATCAAAATTCTCATTTTATATTACAGGTATGGGGAAATATTAGCTATTTCCAAGGTAAAGATTTCACTTTTCAAGATTCAAGATTTCAATGCAAAGGGGTTTACAGAGACACCTTGCGTTTATTTCTTTTCTTTCTCTCAACCGTAGCTTTATCCTACTTATTCAAGAAAATCTCCATTTTTGGTGGAACAATTCCAAGACTATTTCCTTGGAGGACTGGATGACATGGCGTTTTGGTCTACTAATATTTATCGTCTCACCGGCTTCATGTTAGAAAATGGAACCAGGTGAATTATTTCCTTCTTCTATCCATCACTTCTGCCTTGCTTGCCCTTTCCCAACACAGCTTTCATGTCTTAAAACTGCTTATAGGGGCGGGCTGGAGCGATAGCACAGCGGACAGGCCATTTGCCTTACATGCGGCTGACCCAGGTTCGATTCCCAGCATCCCATATGGTCCCCCAAGCACTGCCAGGAGTAATTCCCGAGCACGGCCAGGAGTAATTCCTGAGTGCATGAGCCAGGAGTAACCCTTGTGCATTGCCGGTGTGACCCAAAAAGAAAAAAAAAACTGCTTATAGGGGCTGGAGCGATTGCATAGGGGTGAGGCACTTGCCTTGCTTGCGGCCAACCCAGGTTGAATCTCTGGTCCCATATGGTCCCCCCAGGACTGCTAGGAGTGATTCTTTAGTGCAGAGCCAGGAGAAACCCCTGAGTATTGCTGAATGTGGCTCCAAACCGAAAAACAAAATAAACAAACAAAAGCCTGGTTATCTGTAGGGAGGAAAAAAGCCCCGTGAAGTGCTGGCGGATCAAAATCAGGAGGCAAAGAACAGAAACACAGCCAGCTCCCACCTAGGAGACTGGCTGCAGTTCATGCAGTTCACTGGCTGTGCTCCATCTGAGTGTCCATGCCCTGCACTGGGGTGGTACCAGTTTCATGCACACTCCAAGAATGGATGGGGGGCGCCTCCTCCCCACCCCCAACCACCTTCCAGGCTTCTCGGGCTTCAAAGTGTTTACCTAGAACCCTTGCTGCCGTGCCAAAATGAAATGGCAACTGAGTAGACACGTAAAGAGTTGAGATTCCAGGCATGAATTGAATGTCGTCTTGCACCGGTTAACCTCTTACCTTTCCTGCCCTCTCCCTGTTCCCCCCTCCCCCTGGCACGCCGGGGACCAGCATTTGTCATAGACTAGGATGGCACGTAGACTAGCCCATTTTTAGCTGTACATGATCTTTCCAGTTCTCGGAGAATCCGCCCAGAATCTGAGGGAACCAGGGTTCCTATGAGAGTGATTTTTCAGCCTTGCCACTGAGCACAGAGCCCCTGCCTCACGGCTGAGCGGAGCACCTCAGGATGGGGTCTGGAGAGGGACGTTGACACAGCTGGAACAGCAGGGAAGAGGGTGCCAGAGACGTGGTATGGGGCTGAGGGCCCAGGTCTTGCTGGTGGTGACACTTGTTTGATCCCTGGCGCACCTGATTCTCCAGCATCAGTGCCCCAGGTGTAGTCCTGGAGGCCCCTGGCTCTGCTGGTTGTGGCCCTGGGATGCCGGATAATCCCCAGCTCCCCCGGCGCTGAGCCCCACTTCTTCCTTGGGTCCTGCATCAAACTCGCTGACCCTGGTGATGTCGGTGGACCCCACGGGTGGCTTCTGTGAGGCAGGAAGGAGAGAGATGGATCACTCTCTTCTGATCACACAGGGGACCCAAGGTTTCAAGGTTCTTGACTCACCTCATAGAAAAGAATTTCAGGAGTAGACAGCAGTGAAGTCAAGCTGATTTTATTTGGAGGTTTTTTAGGAAGGGGAAGGAGGGAGAGAAAGCGAGAGTAATGCTTTCAAGAGAGAATGGGAGGGTTGGAGCAATAGCATAGCAGGTAGGGTGTTTGCCTTGCATGCGGCCAACCTGGGTTCGATTCCCAGCATCCCATATGGTCCCCCCAGAGCACTGCCAGGAGTTATTCCTGAGTGCATGAGCCAGGAGTAACCTCTGTGCATCGCTGCGTATAACCCAAAAAGAAAAAAAAAAAGAGAGAGAGAGAAAAAAGAATCTCTAAGAGTCCCTACAAACATCCCAGCATCCCAGAAAGTCCCCATCTCAAAAGGGGAGAAGTGGGCAACACTTGCTGTGTAATCTCATACAAAAGGAGGCACAGCACACTGCTGCAGTGGCTCTATCTCTCCCGCCGCCCGCATTTGGTAGTCTCATCCTTCTCCCACCCCGGGGAGGTCGATGACGATGGGCAGGCAAAGGAAGAAACGAGGCCAGACTGGTTGGTCTTAGTTGCAGTTTATTCCAATCCTCTCTCCATCCACACCAGTCTCCCTTCTCTGCCTCTGCTCCCCTTCTTCCTCCCCCATGCTACTTCATCCTCCTTCTCTTCCTTCTGATCCCCTTCTCCTTCCTTCTGACCTCTGCTTCTTCCTTCTGAACCCCTAGCCCACTCATATATATATATATATATATATATATATATATATATATATATAGTCTAGTTAAATCCCAAAGCATGAGGGGTTGGGGTAATAATTACACATAGGTGTGGTCACAATCAATAGGGGTAGAACTCTTAGCCTCAGGGAAAGCCATTCCTAGGACAGATCCTTTCACAGCAGGACAACCCATCCTAGGGAGGGATCCCATGGGTGTGTCTCTCCTCTCCTTGTCCGACAAGCATATAAGCATATATAACATAAATCATTTTGTATGGATACAGTAAGAAATATCTTAAACTTATAGAATTGCTCTCCTAGGGCCATCTCGATCTCAGACTACAGTGGTCAGGCCAGATAGTCTTTCCCACCCCTAGCAGGATCCTAGTCTCGTCATTACCTTTGGATCATGACAGCATTTATCTATGATCAAACTCTTAACTTATAGTTAAGAATCGTGGCACTTTGGCCTGGCCCATTTCGATGCCAGGGTAGCTCACCGCTTGCTCTGGGTCCATTCAGTCCCTCATCGGGACCCTGCTTTTGGGGTGTTAGGAACTAAGGGCAACTGAGGCTTAAGTCGAGAAAGCAGATGCCTGGGAGTGAATAATATTCAAAGCCAATCAAATCCTAAGTTACAAAGCATAATGTTAACGGTCTTCCTGTATCTGTACAAAAGGATATTGCTTTAAGGTAAACTGTTCATAAGGCATAGGGAGAGGAGGAAGGCAATATTTCACTCATACATATAAAATCATAGATTTCTGAGAAATCTAACCTTACAAATTAACAGAGTCTGATTAGGGGGAAAGCTGATTAACTGGGTGGGGAGGTGAGCATAGGGAAGACTGTTTACAGATAAACACAATGGAATGGAAGTGCCTCAGGAGCACTGTGGTGGGTGTAACCAGATAAACCTAAGCTCCTTGTACTCCAACACTTGTGATGGGGCAATACATGTGCTTAGGCAGTACATGTGCTAGGCCACGTGGGCACAAGCAGCACATGGGCTTGGGCAGCATATACACGCCCTTCCTTTGTTTAAGGTGGCCTTTATGGAGTTTTTTAACCTTTCCCACATGGGGCTTCTACCTAGGTGAAAGTCCTTGCTAGGGACTTCAGGCTAGGAGGAGTCAATGGTCTTCTTTGAAATTCCTTTTCTGGCCTTTTGTTTGTGCTGGAGCTTCTGTCGGAGGCGGGTCCAGCCTTCTCTGGATCTGCTGATGGTCCCAGGTAAAAGTCTCTTCGAACCTTAGTTCCTGATTTCTGCAAAGTTGGCTTTTTGCAACTTCTGGGCTATTGATATTATTATTATTATTATTATTATTATTATTTTGCTTTTTGGGTCACACCTGGCGATGCTCAGGGGTTACTCCTGGCTCTGCGCTCAGGAATTACTCCTGGCGGTGCTCGGGGGACCACATGGGATGCTTGGGGATCAAACTTGGGTTGGCCGTGTGCAAGGCAAACACCCTACCCACTGTACTATTTCTCTAGCTGCTATTGATATTATTTCCCAGGAAATTCATTGCCATTGCCATGAGGGAGGGACCTTCCCTATCTGTCTGCCTGCCTACATCACGAGCACTGCTTAGAAGATCTCTCCCTCAAAACAAACAAATAAACAAACCAAAAGAACAGAATGGGGAAAAAGAATTCTCTGGCGTTGCATGCTCAGGTGGTTTTTCTAGGAAATAATCCGAGCAGGGTTGGTTCAGTGGCTAGATAGGTGCTCTCTGAAACACCCCACATTGGCTAATCCTTTGCCCTTCGAAACACTTCCTGATACTGCAATCCTATTGGCCACAATTACTTGTTGTGTTGGTTCAAAACAAAGTTCCCTTTGATGACGAAGTTTACCTGAGCTCAGTAAATGCGACACTGGTGACACTGGTTTGCAAGCCGCAGTAGGGAACAATTTGGTTTACAAAGCCTGCAGCAAAATCTCTAAGCTGTGACAGGAGGATTTCCTGTGCAGAGGAGTTGTGGAGCAAAACAGCTTTGGAATGAGGAGACCCAGCGCTCCTGAGTCATTGCAAGCAAGTCACTAAACCCCCTTCAGGCCTTGTTTCCCATCTGTAAAATGGAGACAACACTAATTTTTTTTTACAATGCTAATTTTTATCGTGATTATTGGGTTGTTGTGAGAAATAAATATTGCTCACTCATAAGTAGAGACCAACAATAATTTTTATCTTTACCATCGGGTGGTTGTGAGGAAAAGAGATCACTCACTTCAGAGGTTGTGTCTGTCTGTAGTCAGCACTTACTAAATACTAGAATTTATTATTAGAAAGACATTAGGCTTAGATTGGAGTCATTACTCATGGCATTGTTAGAGTGGATGATCTGCATTTATCTGTTTTATAAAGTCTGCGTAATTAATCCTTAAGCTGGAAAAAAAAAGTCCTGACTTATTGTTCCTGTTTTGGGGCCACACCTGGCTGTGCTCGGTTTACTCCTGGCTCTGCACTCAGGGATTACTCCTGGCATGGGATGCCAGGAATTGAACCTGGGTTGGCGACATGCAAGGCGAGTGCCCTACCCACTTTACTATCTCTCTGGCCCATTGAACTTTATTTTAATCAGGTTATCCAAATAGGTAAGGCAAGATATGTAGCTGGGCCTCATTCTTTCACTGGGAAGAGCAATTAGGAAGCATTAGGTGGCCTGTTTCTTGATCTCTGTCTTAATTGATCAAGGCAGAAAATTCCATGAGCTGATTGCATCTTTGTATACGTACTCCAAGAAAGACTCATCAGAATGTATGAAAATTTATGGGAGCTTCGGAGAATGCCCTAAAGAAAGATGACAACTTTATGACACAGAGAAAAATAGAAATATATTTGCATCATGGGCATTTCCCAACTCACTCATAGTAGGTCATTATCCAAGGAAATTTTGTAGTACTTGAAACCTAAGGTATTTTTGTCTTTTTTGGGGCCACGTCACGTGGTGTTCAGCTTTTATCCTTGGCTGAATGCAAACTCCATTATCTCTCAGACCTACTTTTTAAAATTTTTTAATTTTTTAAAAATATTTTTGGGTTATACCTGGCAATGCGCAGGGGCTACTCCTGGCTCTGCACTCAGGAATTACCCCTGGCGGTGCTCAGGAGATCATATGGGATACTGGGAATCAAACTTGGGTCGGCCGTGTGCAAGGCAAACTCCCTACCCGCTGTGCTATTGCTCCAGCCCCTCAGACCTACTTTTAAAGTTTTCTTTTGGGTGCTAAGCTACACAGCCTTGAGCTAAACCCCAGCCTGAGAGTTGCATTTTTTTTTTCTAAAACCAGATGGTGTTCAGAGGTGCTCTCTGCTCAGTGCTCAGGGTTTTCTCCAGTCTTGCTCTGTGATACTGAGGATGCAGCCGAGACCTCCAGCACGCAAAGCCTGAGCTATCTCTCTGGCCGGCTAATTAAGTTCCTAACCCCTGAAGTATTTCTTTGTGTTATACTAATGCTGTAAAGATGCCTGTGAGTCTGCTGGTGGAGAACAGAAAAATCCTTTCCTTGACTTCACGCTGGCCTGAGGAAAGGCTTTGATAGAAAATATTGGCACTGGAAAAATAGGACAGGGGTAAGGTACTTGCCTTGCACGTAGCCCACCTCAGTTCCATCGTGGGCACCCAGTAAGGCCCCACAGACATCGCTAGAAGTGATTCCTGAGCACAGAGCCAGGAGTAAACTCTGTGTACTCTGCACTGAGGAATTACTGGTTCTGCACTCAGGAATTACTCCTGGCGGTGCTCAGGGAACATGCGGTCCCAAAACAACAAAAACTAATTTAAAAAATTGCTGTTAAAGTTGGTCCCCAGCAAGGCAAACGCCCTACCCGCTGTGCTATTGCTCCAGCTCCTGATTTCCTTTTTTTTTAAAAAAAAAAAAAAAAGAAGTCTTGTTTTCTTTTTTTGGGCCACACCTCATGATGCTCAGAGATTCCTCCTGGCTCTGCACTCAGGAATCACTCCTGGCTGTTCTCAGAGCACTACATTGGGTGCTGGGGATTGAGCCCGGGTTGGCCATGTACAAGACAAATGCTCTACCCGCTGTGCTCTCTCCAGCTGTTTTGAATTCCTTTTCTGGCCACGGTTTCTCCTTGCCATAGACTCCCATTTCCCCACCTGCCCTCGCACCTTTCCTTTTTTTTCTTTTTTCTTTATTTATCTTTTGCTTTTTGGGTCACACCAGCAATGCACAGGGCTTACTCCTGGCTCTGCACTCAGAAATTACTCCTGGCGGTGCTCAGGGAACCATATGGGATGCTGGGAATCGAACTTGGGTCAACCACGTGCAAGGCAAATGCCCTACCCACTATGCTACCACTCCAGCCCCGTTGCACCTTTCTTGCTCACCGTGATTGTCTCCTGATAAGATTCTCCGAGGCATCTTGGACCAGCAGTGGCTGGTGGGTGTGCGTGGTAGCACTACCTGCCCAGCACCTATACATTAATAGCATCATCAATCGTTCTCCCTCCACAGGAAAGCGTGACTCTGCCTCTGAGATCAGTTTTTTTTTCTTTTTGGGTCACACCTGGCGATGCACAGGGGTTACTCCTGGCTCTTCACTCAGGAGTTACTCCTGGCGGTGCTCAGGGGACCATATGGGATGCTGGGAATTGAACCTGGGTCAGCTGCGTGCAAGGCAAACGCCCTACTTGCTGTGCTATCTCTCCAACCCCTGAGATCAGTTTTTTATTTTTGTTTTTTCTTTTGTAATGGGGTGCCCAGTCCTTGAATGCTTCTGTCCAGTTACGGGGAAAGCGCAGGTCTGCCATTCTATCAACTGCCCTCCCCTTTGGTAAATACTCCACTATCCATTTCATGATTGAGTTGAGGCACTTCTCCTTCTGAAAGTACACGACTGAGAATTTGAGACAGAATCTAGCATTAGAGTGTGGACAGGACTGAAGGAAGCAGAGTCAGAAACCAACTTCCTTTGCGTCTCAGACGCTGAGATGGTCGCGTTAGCAAGTGGAGTTTGGAGGGAAAAGGAAAGCTGATGCCCTTCCTGTGACTTCCTGGGGCTCCCGGGGATGTGTCTGTAGTCATTCATTTTCCCCTCTCCAGGGACTCACACCTTCTACTCAGTCCGTCTGGCTAAGTGCCGAACATTTCAAGGCTACGACTTTGGGAAGTGCTTAAGGCATGTTACTGTGTCTTTATGAAATTTCTGTTGGAAAAGATGGTCAAAAGATGCCTCCCTCATTTCACTGTTTCTCTAGTGGCTGCAGTCTCCCTGAGAACCCCCTGTTCATTGCATGTGACACCAAGCAAGCCACTCCCCCAAGGTAAGTGGATCCTGGAATTAGAAGCACATTTCAGAAGGACTTCTCAGCCGCAGCAGATTCAGCAATTTCAGTCATACGGGATGGATTGCCAGACAGTTTGGAGTCTGTCTCTGCCGTTCATGGCAGGTGGTATGATTTAATTTTTTTTTCACTGTGTCACTCTATCACTGTCATTCCATTGTTCATTGATTTGTTCTAGTGGGCTCCAGTAATGTCTACATTCATCCCAGCCCTGAGATTTTAGCAGCCTCTCTTTACTTGTCCTTCCCAACAGTGCCGTATTGAAGGCTTTTTCAGTATCAGAGGAATGAGACCCATTATCGTTACTGTTTTTGGCATATCGAATATGCCACCGGGAGCTTGCCAGGCTCTCCAAGAGGGAAGGAAAATGTATATAAGAGAATAAAAGCACTGTCCACTGTCTACTGTCCTCCCGTTGTTCATTGATTTGCTTGAGCGGGCCCAGTAACATCTCCATTTTTGAGACTTGTTTGGCATATTGAATACGTCATGGGTAGCTTGCCAGGCTTTGCCATGCGGGCGAGATACTCTCGGTAGCTTGCCGGGCTCTCCAAGAGGGGCAGAGGAATCAAACCCAGCTCGACTGGGCTGGCTGTGCGCAAGGCAAACGCCCTACCTCTGTGCTATCGTTCCAGCCCTGAATACAAGCAAGTATGTTAAATTTTTTTTTAATTAAAAAAATTAGGGGGCAGAGCAGAGAGATAGTACAGCAGGTAGGGCATTTGCCTTGCATATCATCAACCTGGGTTTGATCCCCAGCATCTCACATGGTCCTCTGAGCACCAGGAGTAATTCCTGAGTGCAGAGCGAGGAGTAACCCCTGAGCATCACTGGGTGTGACCTAAAAAGCCAAAAAAAAAAAATTGGTCTTGGTGACAACAATGCTCAGGAATTACTCCTGACTCAGGGGTCATTCCTGCAGTGCTCGACTAGAATTGTGCAGTGCACAAACTAGAATTGTCCTTGTGCAGGGCCAGTACCTTCGCTTCAGTACTGTCTCTCCAGCCTCAGACATAAGATTTTTTTTTTAAACAAGTTGCTTGATTTTGTTGTACTTCCTCCTTTGACAAAATGAGGTGAAAAACACATGTCTGCACTCGAAATTGTGGCCTGGATTATGTGTGAATCAGGCAGCACCTTAGTGAACTGCTCACCAAATGGGAAATGCTGGAGGGTAGGATTATGGTCGTTATTATTGTTATTTCCCATAAACTTTACCCTAATTTCACCCCGAGAGTATGCTTATCAGCGGGACTGTGGGGGAGTGAAGACTTCCCTGGTCATTTCTGGAGATGGGGGACAGAGGTCTCATGTGTATGGTAAGACGTGATCAGGCACAAACCATTGATGACTAAGTTAATATTTCAGTACTAATTATTCATACAGTAGCACATGTAATAAAATAGTTACCCCCCTTTTTTTTTTTTTGCTTTTTGGGTCACACCTGGCGATGCACAGTGGTTACTCCTGGCTCATGCACTCAGGAATTACTCCTGGAGGTGCTCGGGGGAACCATATGGGATGCTGGGAATCGAACCCAGGTTGGCTATGTGCACGGAAAACGCCCTACCCACTGTGCTATCACTTCGGTCCCGGTTTTTTCCCTTTCTTAGGTGCATTGGAGACGTTGGGGTGAACAAAGTAGTTTCTGTGTTTGTGGAGGGGGCGGCGGGCAGTTCATTGAACTCAAACAGGTACTTGGGGGGCGGAGGGGGGGGAAACATTGATCACAGGCCTGGGCGGCGAGTAAGATGAGGCTCCAAAAGAGAACACAGCCAGGAAATACCCCAGGCAAGAGAGAATTGAATTATCCAAAGAATTGTTTTTAAATGCTGTTCCTTCAATTTTCAGATATTAAAATTGAATGGACTTTTTATTCTTCAGCTCAGTTGTTCAGGATCATCACTGTTTTCCTTCCTTCCTTCCTTCCTTCCTTCCTTCCTTCCTTCCTTCCTTCCTTCCTTCTTCCTTCCTTCCTTCCTCTCTCTTCTCTTTTCAGCAGCCTCAAAGAACAGAAAAACGGTTTCCACAGGAACGTGACAGCATCCAGATCAAAAGACCTCGGGAACCTGATCAAGCACACGGAACGAGGCGTGGTCTTCAGTGTGGACTCCTGGGACACGGTGAGCGCGGCGCTGACGGGACACGCAGCTGCGGCTCCTTATGCTCTTGCCCTGAACACCCACTGGCTGCTGCCTTATCCGTGCCAAGTGCTCTGGGCCTCGGCCAGGCCTGCTGTGAGCCTTGTCCTCTAATTTTGTTTTGTTCAGACGCTTCCTGAAACTTCAGTCTGGACCTCAGTTGCCTTTGACAAGACCCGAGGGCCGGGAGATGGGTCGGGTGTTGGGCACATGACGTGCATGCTCAAGTCCCCGAGTTCTAACCCCGGCATTGCATGGCCCCCTGTGCATTGCTCGGTGTGGTCCTGGTGGTCCCCAATACTGCTGGGCCTGAATGGTGCCATGTTGCCGAGTCCTATCATTGAACTATCCATCCCTGTTGACCCAAGTGCCACCGGAGAGCAGTCTGTGGCCCCTCTTTTTTTTTTCTTTTTGGGTCACATGTGGCGATGCTCAGGGGTTACTCCTGGCTTTGCACTCAGGGATCAATCCTGGTGGTGCTCTGGAGGACCATATGGGATGCTGGGGATCGAACCCAGGTTGGCTGCATGCAAGGCAAATGCCCTATCTGCTGTATTATCGCTCCAGTCACCATGGTACTTCTGGGCATTGCTTGAGACACCCTCTCCCTGCCCTCCCCTTCCCAACTGGGAGAAACTCAGTGGCCCTGGGGGCAGTCTCCCCCAGGGCAGTCCTTGGCCAAAGCATAGACAAGATTGGGTTCACATGTGGCTCCGGCCAAGGGTCCACCGTGCAGATGAAATTCATCCATAACATCCTTCAGGTGTCAGGTGCTTTATTGATAGACATCATACGAATCTTTAGAAAATTCCCATCTTGCAGGGATGAGAAACACAAAGATAACCACGTTGCAGTAGAAATCAAACACTCTGGCAGCAGAGGGGAATAATTTGACAGCAGGGTTCATTTTTTATTTTTTTGTAATGGGTAGGGCATTTGCCTTGTATGCAGCTGACCAGGCCAACCAGAGTTCAATTCCTCCGCCCCACTCAGAGAGCCCAGCAAGCTACCAAGAGTATCTCGCCCACACAGCAAGGCCTGGCAAGGTCCCCGTGACATATTCGATATGCCAAACACAGTAACAACAAGTCTCACAATGAAGACGTTACTGGGCCCACTCAAGCAAATCAATGAACAATGGAGGACAGTGCTTTGTAATTTATTTATTTTTTCATTTTCATTTCATTTCATCATCCTGTTATTCGTCGATTGCCTCGAGCAGGCCCCAGTAACGTCTCTTTCATCCTAGCCCTGAGATTATATTCAAGGCTCTTTAGGAGAATGAGACCCATCATTGTTACTGGTATTTGGCATATTTGGTACGCCACGGGGAGTTTGCCAGACTCTGCCCTGTGGGCAGGCTACATTTGATAGCCTGCAAGTTTGTCCAAAGTAGGAAAATTTATTTTTAAAATATTTTTTATTTTTATTTTTAAATGAATCACCGTGAGGTATAGTTACAGACTTACAAACTTTTGTGCTTACATTTTAGTCATACAATGATCGAGTACCCATCCCTCCACCAGTGCCCATTCTCCACCACCAATGATCCCAGTATCCCTTCCACCACCCTCACCCTGCCTCTGTGGCAGGGCATTCCCTTTTGCTCTCTCTCTCTCTCTCTCCTTTTGGCTGTTGTGGTTTGCAATATAGGTATTGAGTGGCCATCATGTTTGGTCTACAGTCTACTTTCAGCTCGCATCTCCCATCCCGAGCAAGCCCTTCAAGCTAGCAGGGTTAATTTTGACCGTGAAGGCCCTCAGGGAAGGCTGCCTGGAGGAGGGGGTGTTGGAGTGGGGCCTTCCGTGGTCAGCGTTTCTGCTGTATGAGCATGCACTTCTGCTAGTGGGTGGGGACAGCTTGGGGGTGAGAAGGCACTAGGGGAGATGACAGAAGAGGACATTGGGCTGTGGGGGTTTCTTACCCCACGAGGGGGATGGGCAGCCTGTTTCCTGGGGGTGGCCCTGAGCTGCCTGTGGGGCACAGCTGCAAGGGCTCATGGGTAGGCTGTGTGTGATGGAGACTTGGCTTCCATGCCCCTTTCACCGCCTGGTCCCCGTGCACTACCAGAGGGTGGCCCTGAGCATGAACTTGGAGGAGCCTCTCATCACTGGGCATCACCCCCCCCCCCCCAGGTCCCGTGCACACCTGGGCAAGGGTCCCACACGTGACTTCATGTTTAGTTGCCTTGCCTTCACACCACATAACTCTTTCACAAGAGCCTCCACATTTTTGTTTGGCTTCAGCCCCTGCAAATTGGTTTTGTAACTGGCCTTGCCCTGGAACCTGCCTCAGGGCAGATGTCCATCAGCGGGTCTGTCTCCTTGGTGCGTCTGCCTGCTTCACAGTGGATGAGGCTTGTGGACGAGTCTTGTTGGAGGAGTTGACCAATAGCCCCAAGCCTGTGGCAGCTGATGAAATGCCTCCTGGACCAGAGAGCTGGCGGGACTAGGCCCTGGGGGAGGGGGGACACGGGGGAGAGTGTGGGCACATGGCCCCATTCGTCTGCACGAGCAGTTTATAGAACTGGTGCTTTTCTGGAGTCCAAGGGGCCAGGTGAGACCATCTCCTTCTCCCTGGACTCTGGGGCCATTTTACTCTGTTCTGGGACTGCCCTGGGCTCTCTTGTGGGGTCCCACATCAGCTGGGTGCCTTTAGAGTTGTGCCTCCCTCGATCTGGAGGTCTCTGGTGCCAGGATCGAGTGGGGTTAGTTGGCATTGGGCTTCACGGCCCAAGTGTTTCTGCCCACAACTTCTCACATTGCGGCTTCCTTGAACTCAGGATCGCCAGCTGTCTCTGGTCAGGCGGGTATCTGGAGCTATCTTATTTGTTTGAAAAATAAAGTTGAGGGACTGGAGAGATAGTACAGTGGGGGAGGGCTCTGGCCTCAAACAGGGCTCACCTGGGTTTAGTCCCTGTCACTACTACGGTCCTCCGAGCCCCTCTAGAAGTGATTCCCGAGCACAGAGCCAGGAGTAAACCCCAAGCATGGCCGGCTGTGGCCTAAAAGTCACACATGCACATAGAAAAGCATACTTAACGTCAAAACAAAGGTATAGTCCTAGATTGAATGAGTTTAGCTTTCTCCCTACCTAGCCCATAGAAATCCCTTTGCTGCGTTACATTCTGAAGGTGGAGATGAGATATTTTGACTTGGGTTTGAGCTGAGTTCTAGTTCATTCTCTTTCCAAGTTGGCCCGACCCCTGGGCATCCCTAGCACCTGATGAGAGGTGACTAACTTCTCATTGCCATCCTCAGGGTGTATCCGTAATAGGCACTGTGCTGGTATGCCTCATTCCTGAGAAAAACTTTCTTTCCCTGATGAAGTGTTTTGCCTTGGCTGGTCTATAATGGTTTTCCTATTCCAGGATTCTCTCGCCTTTGTGTATCAAGCCTTGGAAAGGAATTTCTACTCGGTGTTCACAGGCAGCCCCCAGAAGTCGCTGAAGCACATTTCCAGCCCCTCAGCCTCTTACTTCCTGTCAAGTCCCTATGCCAGGCTGGGTTGGTAGGTATCTACTCATTCGTTGCCTTCTCTGTTCATGCATTGCCTTCTCTCTCCATCTGTCTATCCATCCATCTGTCCATCCGTCCGTCCATCCATCCACCCATCCGTCCTTCATCCATCCATCCATCCATCCATCCATCCATCCATTGCCCTCTGTATCCATTCATCCCCTTCTCTATCCGTCATTAGCTTATCTCTCCATTCATTGCTTTCTCTATCCATTCATCTTCTTCTCTATGCATCATTGACTTCCCTCTCCACTCATCGGCTTCTTTATCCATTTATTCCCTTCTCTATTCATCCATTGCCTTCTCTATCCCTTCATCCCCTTGTCTATCCATCATTGACTTGTCTCTCCATCTATTGCCTTCTCTATCCATCCATCACCTTCTCTCTACGTTCATCAACACTCTCCTCAGCCTTATTTCAGTCCTTCTCAAGATGTCACCTGCTGGAAGCGGGCAGTGATAAACATACTAAGTCCTTCTCAAATGAATAGAGTAGCAGCCCATGGCACCTCATTTTTCTGTCAGCTTCTCATCAGTTCAGTGGTCTGCATAATTGTAAAGAAAAAACTCTCTCTTTAAAATGGATCCAAACATCTTTGTTGGAACACAAGGAGTTTCAACCTTTCTAAGTAACCCCACCGAAGCATTACAGCCGTGGGTGTTGGGAAAGGGCAAGTCTTGAGGCTGGCATGTGTGCTGTGCTTGCTGGAGGCCTGGGTTCTATCCCTGCCACCACATGGTCCTCGAAGCACCAGGACTGACACTCTGGCTAGGTCCCTAGAGCAGTACTTTCCCATGACAGAAGCCTAGCGCAGCATGGGGACTTAGCAAGGCAATGCTGAGCACTCTTATGCTTTTACTAATTTATTTTAAATTTTGTTTTTATAAAGTCGTTCACAATAATTTATTACATTCAATATTCCAACACTGATCCGACCCCCCCACGACACCTTCCCACCTCTATAATTTTGAATTTTCCACCCAAGCCTGTCCAAAAGGCAGATCCTAAATAATTTATTTTGTATGGCTTGTTATGACTAAGTCACTAAAAATGACCCCAAAAAGTTCTCCTTAGAGGAAAGTGTGTGAAAATTGTTGTATCTCACCTTGGAGCCATTAAGTATGAGAGATTGCTAACATGTTGTTACAGGTTAAGCCTTGTGTGCTAATATCTTACCTATCTATCTATAGTATGCTAAGTATTTGGTCAAGATTGGTTGCCTTTTGCTTTACACCCCCTCAGATGTGGTGTGCTCCTCTTGGTATATCAGTGACGTAGAGCATGAGGTGTCATGTGACTGCAAATGCGGCTACTCTCCAGGAATTCTAATTTTTTTTTTCTTTTTGGGTCACACCCAGCAATGCTCAGGGGTTACTCCTGGCTTTGCACTCAGGAATCACTCCTGGCGGTGCTCAGGAGACCATATGGGATGCTGGGAATCAAACCTGGGTTGGCTGCATGCAAGGCAAACTTCCCACGTGCTGTGCTATCAGACCTGCAAACTTCCCACGTGCTGTGCTATCAGACCTGGAATTCTAAAAATTTTAATAGGGTGATAGTGCTGCTCCACAATTAACATCGAGCCCAAGGAATAGGTTGACTTTTAGTCCACCAATGACTAATTTCTGGGGGTTTTGGTGAAATGTCTATTATTTTTTCCGGTTTTCTCTTCTGCCTCTGCCTCTGCCTCTGCCTCTGCCTCTGCCTCTGCCTCTGCCTCCTCCTCTGCCTCCTCCTCCGCCTCCTCCTCCGTCTCCGCCTCCGCCTCCTCCTCCGCCTCCGCCTCCGCGTCCTCCTCCTCCTCCTCCTCCTCCTCCTCCTCCTCCTCCTCCTCCTCCTCCTCCTCCTCCTCCTCCTCCTTCCTCTTCCTCCTTCCTCTTCCTCCTCCTCCTCCTTCTTCTTTCTTCTTCTTTTTTTTCTTTTTGTGTCACACCTGGGGATGCACAGGGTTTACTCCTGGCTCATGCACTCAGGAATTACTCCTGGGGACCATATGGGATGCTGGGAATCGAACCTGGGTCGACCATGTGCAAGGCAAATGCCCTACCTGCTGTGCTATTGCACTACCCACTTTGCTACTTCTTGGATGGTTGATCGGCCTGTAAATATTCATCATGAACAGCTTGCTGGGGTGGGAAATCCGTGCACCCTAGGAGTCCATCGTCCCAGTGGGGTCATGTGGCCATTGCCTCCTGATATCTCTTCACACCCCCTTGAGTCGGTGTTGTCATCTGCTGTGTATGTTGATAGCTGCCCTCTTGGGGTGCGTCAAGTGCAGAATGAAGTCGGGTTAGCTGCTAGCGTCGAGCCGTCTAGAGTAGGTCTCCAGTTCTCTTAACTGTCACTTCCCTTGGCCTCCGCAACTGTTAGTCTCTTCTCTGCTACTTATTGTTGAGCTACTCACGATTCCACATGTTGGTGAGATCATTCCAGATCTGTCTGTCCAAGCCTGGCTTATCTCACTCTGTCTAATCTCTCCTGAACCACCCTTGTTGCTACAGATGGTAGGATCTCTCTTTTTAAAGACTGAATAATATTCCGTTGCATATATAGACAATTTTCAAATGCATTCTTCCGCGGGTGTTCATTTTCCCTATATTGGCTAATGTCAGTAATACTGAATGAGTGTGAGCTTCTTTTCAACATCCGTTCCTTTGCTGAGATACTAGAGATGAACTTGCTGGGTTATTGGATAGTCCTGTTTTTTGATTCTCTGAGGTATTTCTATGCTGTTTTCGGTAGTGGTTACTCCAATTTGCGTTTCTGCTCACTCAAAGGCTTTCTTTTTCCTTCATCCTCACCAACTTGTCTTATCTTTTTTTGGAGGGGGTTTTGGGGCTCACTCAGAGGTGTTCATGGCTCTGTGCTCAGGAGGGACCCCTGGTGGTCTTGATGATATCTTGTTGTGGTTCTAATTGACATTTCCCCTTATGATTAACGACCTTTAGTAGCTTTTCGTGTCCCTCTTGGCCATTCGTATGTTTCCTTTAGGGAATTATCCATTTGGGCCCTTTGGCTAGTTTTTAATTGGGTTATCGTCCTTGATTTCTTGAGCTCCATGAGTTGCTGTGTATTTTCAACATTAACTCCATACCAGACACATGGTTTGCAAATGTTTTCTTCCCTGAAAAATATTTTTGTCTTTTTCATTTTTGATATTTTCTTTGCTATACAGAAGCTTTCTAGAAGGAGCAAATCCTGTTTTTTTTTCACAAATTGAGATATAATTTATAGAAAATATTATATTAGTTTCAGTCATATAATACCTTCTATGAGGTTATTTTAAATTTATTTGTTATTAACTTTTTAATATCTTTTGTAGTTAAGGTAACATATTTACAGTAGGGATAATGTTTAGGATCTTGTGACAGTGAAAATCAAGTTTATGATCTTGATGTATAGTTCCCACACCTCATCACCACCAAAAGGCCCACGACCCTCCACCACTGCCTCTGTGTCCCCTCTAATGAAGAAATCTGCCTCTTCCATTCCCCCACCCTCCCCCACTGTTTGGTAATCTGAGTTTTGCGATCCAAGGCAAAACTGTTGATCTGTCACCGTTCAGTTCTATCTCCTTGTTTTATTTCTCTGTGGTCCATAGATGAATGAGATCATCCAGCATTCGTTCTTCTCTTTCTGTCTTTATTCGCTTAACATGAAACCCTATCTAGATTTGTTTTGAAAGGATCAATTTATGTCTAGCTAACATCCTTTCATACTGAGTGACATTTTTGTGTTTCCATTTGATGAGGACATTTAAGATCTGACGTCTTGGCCGTTTTCCACTAGGCAACACAGGATTATTTACGACAGTCCCAGGCTGGGCATTCTGACTTCTAAATGGATGTTCAGACATGGTGACCTTGACCAGCTTTGGCTCTGCCAGTGTTCAGTCTCTTCTCTGCATTACCAGTATAGTGTTGTTTCAGTTTTTCAGACTTGACATCTAGGTGAAGTCATAAGGGATTGATTTTTCCTTTGACTTATTTCATTCATTCCCATGCTCTCGGGTTCCACCCGTGTTGCTGGAACTGGCAGGGTTTTCCTTTCTCTGTAAATGAGGTGTGCTGAGAGCTGTGTGATGCTGTTACACAGCTGTGTGGGTGCCGTGGAGCTGAACTGCACAGAGCTGAAGGGGTCGCATGCTGGACCAAGGCTGGAGGCTCTGGCTCCTAGGACTGCCACTGTGTGCCTGACATTGATGGGCACATTGTCCAGTGACCCATGGCCGTGTGCAGATCCCAGATTTTCTTTATCCATTCACCATCCATCAGTGGGCTCTAAGTTACTTCCCTGTCTTGGGAAACAATGCTGTATCACAAACAATGCTATATTGAACAGGGATGCAGTTGTCTTTGGGGGCTGGTGTTTCTGTGGATTAATACCCAGAAGCAAATTGCTGAGATGTATAGAAGTTCTGCTTCTTTTTATTTTTTTGGCGGGGAGGGTCACACCAGGCGATGCACAAGGGTTACTCCTGGCTCTGCACTTAGGAATTGCTCCTGGCGGTGCTCAGGGGACCCTATGGGATGTTGGGAATTCAACCCGGGTTGGCTGCGTGCAAGGCAAGCGCCCTCCCTGCTATGCTATTGCTTCAGCCTCAGAAGTGCTGCTTTTAGCATTTTGAGGTGCCTCCTTAGCAGTGTGGTTGTACCGACTTCTATTCCCACCAACAGGGCAGAAAGCTTCTCTCTTCTCCACATCCTCACCCACATGTTATTTCTCGTCTCTTTCATAATCGCTGTTAGAACAGGCGGAAGGTGTGTGACGGCTTGGCTTGGTGCTCCCCTGGTGATGAGTGAGGTGGAATGCATCTGTCTTGTATCTCTTCTCTTCTGCCTGCTTCAATCATCATTGTTCTGAGCTAAAGGGTTTTTTTAAATTTAATTTTTTAATTGAAGCACTGTGAGATAGTTACAAAGCTTTCCTGATTGAGTTTCAATCATACGATGAATCATTCAACACTCATCCCTCTGTGATTTCCAACCACCAATATCCTCAATATCCCTCCTGCCACCAGCTCCCCATCCTACCTCCCGCCCCTGTGGCAGGCACTTTCCTGTTGAAGGATTTATTATTATTATCATCATCATCATCATCATCATTATTTGCTTTTTGGGTCACATCAGTGATGCACAGGGGTTACTCCTGGCTCTGCACGCTCCTGGCAGTGCTCGGGGGACCATATGGGATGCTGGGAATTGAACCCAGGTTGGCTGCGTGCAGACAACTGCCCTCCCCACTGTGCTATGGCTCCAGCCCCATTGAAGGATTTTTAAAAATGTATATTGGATCCTTACCTCTCATCAGATATAGGATTTGCAGCTATTAGCTCCCGTTCGGCAGGAATGTGTGCAGAAGTGTTTTTGGGCCAAGATAGAAGCTTTTCCATTTGTTTTTTGTGCTTTGCATTTTGGTGCTGATATCTGTAATTTTTAAAAATTTTTATTAGTGAAACACCATGAGGTGCATTTGTAGACTTACAAATTTTTGTGCTTGGATTTCAGTTATACAATGATAGAGTACCCACCAGTGCCCATTTCCCACCACCACGGATCCCAGTATCCCTCCCACCCCCCCATCCCACCCTGCCCCTCTGTGGCCGGGCATTCCCTTTTGTTCTCTCTCTCTTATTGGGTGTTGTGGTTTGCAAAAGAGGCAATGGGTGACAATCATGTTTGGTCTATAGTCTACTTTCAGCATGCATCTCCCATCCCGGGCGGATCTTCCCAACACCCTTTATTTGGTGCTCCCTTCTCTATCTGAGCTGCCTTTTCCCCTAGCATGTGTGGCTGGCCTCCAGGCCACGGAGCAAAACTCCTGGTTCTAATCTCGGCCATTCTTGGGTGTTAGTCTCCTATTTTGTTACTTTATGTTCCCCAGATGAATGCAATCTTTCTATGTCTATCCCTCTCTTTCTGATTCATTTCAGATGAATCAGATACATGATACTTAACATGATACTTTCCATGTAGTACCACTTGTATGTAAATTTCATGACTTCATCTTTTCTAACCACTACATAATACTCCATTGTGTAAATGTACCCAAGTTTCTTTAACCAGTCATCTGTTCTCGGGCACTCAGTTTTTTTCCAGATTCTGGCTATTGTAAAGAGTGCTGCAATGAACAAACAACTGCAGATGTCACTTTGACTATATTTTTTTGCTTCTTTGGGATATATTCCCAGGAGTGGTATTGCTGGGTCAAATGGGAGCTCAATTTCTAATTCTTTGAGAATCATCCATACTGTTTTCCAAAAGGGCTGAACCAGCCGGCATTCCCACCAGCAGTGAAGGAGGGTCCCTTTCTCACCACATCCGCGCCAGCACTGGTTGCTTTTGTTCTTTTGGATGTGGGCCAGTCTCTGTGGTGTGAAATGATATCTCATTGTTGTTTTGATCTGCATCTCCCTGGATATCTGTAACTTTGGTGTGAATCTCTCTGCTTCTGAAGAGCCACCTACTGCTCGGAGGTAGCGGGACCGTCTTTCTTGGAACCAGGAAGCAGAGAGACTGAGGGACTGACCGGAGGCCATCACCAGCCTGGATGCTCCAAAAACTCTTTTTCCAACTGTATTTCCGAAATCTGGAGATGTGCTCTCTCCCCGCAGGGCACTCGCCTCAGCGGACCTCAACCTGGATGGCTACGGGGACCTGGTGGTGGGCGCCCCCGGGTACAGCCGCCCCGGCCACCTCCAGATTGGGCGCGTGTATGTCATCTATGGGAACAGCCTGGGCCTGCCGCCCGTTGACCTGGACCTAGACAAGGAGGCCCACACCATCCTGGAGGGCTCCCAGGTGAGGCACCCCTAGGGGCCCAAGAGGTAGGACAGCGGGGAGGGCGTTTGCCTGGCGTGTGGCCCACCCAGTTTGATCCCCAGCATCCCCTGTGTTCCCCCGAACAACACCAGGAGTGGTTCCTGAGTGTGGGGTGGGGATGGGGGTTTAGGGGTGTGGGGGGGCCAGGAGTAACCCCTGAGCATCACTGCCAGGTATGACTCAAAATCCAACAAACAACAAAAAAGGAGACACCATCTAATCACTAACTCTGTGTCCTTGTGTTATGCAAATTCTCCACCACAAAGAACTATGAGCAAGAATCTTGACAGTGAATTTTTTTGTGGCATTCACAGTGACCTTTTTTTGTGGCATTCTTTTCTTGCATTCACAGTGACATTTTTTGTGGCATTTGCTTGTTCCTTTGAAGGAATAGGCCAGGCCCAGCATTAGTCTCATTTAAGTCATTCTGTTATTACCTTTTGAGGGTTGAACCTGGCAGTTACTTAAAGCACTTTAGGTAATGAATGAGGGCGTTGCTGGACCCCCCCCCCCCCCACCAGTGGACCCCCAAGGCTGCCCCCAGCTCTGTGCTCAAGGGTCACTCCCCATGGTGTTTGAAGGTGTGAGTGGAGCAGATTGTTCCTCCCTGGGAATTGAACTTGGGTCTTCTGCCTGCAAAGTGTGCATCAGCCCTTTGAAGGGTCTCTCTGACCTGACACTTATTATTCAGAACAGCGTCGAGTCGCCAGTGTGGAGGTGATTTCTTTTCTTTTCTTTTTTATTTATTTATTTATTTTTATTTTTTATTGAGCCACCGTGAGATACAGTTACAAAGCTTTCATGTTTGATATTCAGCCATACAATGATCGATCACCCGTCCCTCCCCGGTACAAACTTTCCACCACCAAGTATCCCCTCCACTTCCATCCCAGTCCTTACCCTGCCTCTATGGCAGACAGTTGCTCAGATACTCTCTAGTTTTGCGGATTATATTTTGTTCAGATATTCCCACCACCACTCGAGCCTGCCTTCCAAGGGCAGATGCTAGACCATTTATTTTCTATTGCTCACTTTGCATATCAGGAAAGGTCGTGCCACTGAATAAGTGACCGCGTCCTTCAGAGGAATAGCCCTGATAGCCACATATCGGGGTCATGCTTGTAGAAGCTCATGGTCTCCTGGATTCGATCTGGAGAAGGCCCGGAGACTGTACCTGCCCCATCTGGGACTTCCATATTGGCTTGATATGGGGCCCAGAGAATTCTCCAGTGTTGTGGTGCCCCCTGGGACGCTTCACTGCTGTGTGGTGATTTCTTAATAATACAAAAGCTCCCTTTAAACTGTTTGTTTAGGGTGCACGTAGCAATAGTACAGCAGGTAGGATACCTGGGTTTGATCCCTGGCAGGCCATATGGTCCCCTAAGCTATGCGTATGGCACATATATAAACAATTTTTTTTTTAAATTTAGGGATTGGAGAAATAGCTGAATGGGCCGAATGCCTACTTTGCATGCGGGAGGCCTGGGTTCAATCCCTAAGGCCTCTAGGAGTGACCCCTGCTCCCTGTCCCCCAGACCATAAGGCGTGGCCCTCAGTAGAAAGAAAACAAAAAATTTTAACTATCCAAATGGAACTTTCCTTTTACCATTGGCTTACTGTACTCTATAATTTTCAGGAGAATGTGCACAGACTTATAAATCTTTCACTGGGTAAGAAATTTGGACTTGTCCCAGTGGTTCCTGTCTGCGGGATCCAGGACAGCATAGCACCCTTGGACTTTGTGTTGGCCCCAAGGCTCAGGGGTTGAGGTTCCAGCATAGGGAACGTGGTCTGTGAGCTCCAGTTACACGTGACTAGGGGACAGAGTTCTGGCCTTGCAGTTGGGTGGCCGTGTCTGCCCTGGGCAAGCCACTGAAGCTTTGATTATAGAGCAAAGACTCTGAAGACAAGAGAAAAGGTCTGCCTGGGGCCTGAGGGGTAGTCCTGTGGTAGAGCACTGGCCGGGCATGTGGCACATTCCTGGTTCAATCCTGGCACCGCCTATGGTCTCCGAGCACCTCCAGGAGAGGTCCTGGGTGCAGAGCCAGGAGTCAGTAAGCCCTGAGCACAGGCCCATGAGCAAGCCCTGAGCACTGCCACCAGGAAAGGCTCCCAACTCCCGCCTTCTGAAAGAGGTAGCTTAAAATGTACTTAAAAATGGAAAGGATGAGGGGCCTCACACTGGGTTTGATCTCTGGCATCCCATATGGTTTCCTGAGTCCACCAGGAGTGATTCCTGAGTGCGGAGCCAGGAGTGACCCCTGAGCAGAGCAGGGTGTGGCCTCCAAACAAAAACAAAAATAAAAATAATAAAAGAGAGGAAAGTATGTAGTACATGAAAAATGGAAAGTTCGTATCTTCAATTTGATCCCCGTCTGAACCTCAGAGGGAAAACAAGTTATGGGCCTGTCCATGAGGCCATGGGTTCTAGAGGAAGTGTTTTCTAGATCCTCTGGAAAGTACCAGATCATCCTCCTCCCCCATCTCTGCTCCTTCCTTGTTCCTTCTTCCCAAAGTCATTGCCCTGTTAGACAACATTTGGGGTCATGCAGGTGATCTAAGAGAGGCAGCTGCTTCCTGTGGACAATAAAAACTCTCAAAGTCCCTTGGCATGAAGAAGGTGGTGGTTCCACACTCCCCCAAGCCTCCTTGCAGTGACTCTTTTCATTTTTATTAATTTATTTTTTGAGGGCTGAAGCGATAGCACAGCGGTAGGGCGTTTGCCTTGCACGCAGCCAACATGGCCGACCCGAGTTCGATTCCTCCGCCCCTCTCGGAGAGCCAGGCAAGCTACCGAGAGCATCTCGCCCGCACGGCAGAGCCTGGCAAACTACCTGTGACGTATTTGATATGCCAAACACAGTAACAACAAGTCTCACAATTTGTTGTGAGATGTTACTGGTGCCCGCTCGAGCAAATCGATGAAAAATGGGAGGGCAGTGCTACAGTGCTACCATTTTTAATTTACACACTAATAGGTGATTGAGATGATTACTCCACATGGTCACCAAAACTGGGGTAAATCATTGTGATTTTCTTTTCTTTTCTTCTTTTCTTTTTTCTTTTTTCTTCCTTCTTTCCTTCCTTCCCTCCCTCCCTCCCACCTTTCTTCTTCTGTTTCTTTTTTTTCTTTTATTTTATTGAGTCACTGTGAGATAGACTATTACAAAGTTGTTCATGATTGGGTTTCAGTCAGACAGTGTTCCAACACCCATCTCTCTACCAGTGTAATTGCCTAGCATCGATATCCCCAGTTCCCCTCCAACAATCCCTAGTTCCCCCCAACTCCATCCTGCCTCTGTGGCAGGCAACTCTCTCTCTCTCTCTCTCTCTCTCTCTCTCTCTCTCTCTCTCTGTCTCTCTCTCCCCACACACACACCCCTCTCCTTTTAGGCATTATGGTTTTGGTACAGATGCAGAAGGGTTATCATTTATAGCCCTTTCCCTACTTTCAACACTCAATTCATGTCCAGAGTGATCATTTCCAGCTATTGTGCAGTGACTCTTTTGAGAGGGTTAGATTTGGGGGGCACTCTCAATGTTGCTCAGGGGGCTACTCTTGGCTCTGTGCTTGGTGCCCCTTGGGATGGTGCTGTGGCCTCTGGTGAAGCCAGGGATCAAACTGGGCTCAGCCGCATGCAGGATGAGCCCCTTCACCTCTGGGCTACCTCTCTGTCCCCTGCAGTGGCTTTCGATCATGTGGAAGAGGACAAATTAAACAGGCCTCTGTGTGCTGTATCCTCTGGAAGGCCATGAACCTTTCTTGTCTGCAAACTACGGGGCAAGGGCATGGCTCGCTCAGGCATTTGCTGCTTTAGATTCGGTGCTTTGCCTGGAACGACCGGTTCACCTGCCAGAGGCGCGACCCGACCGTGTAGTTGGTTGGTGGTGATGAAATAAACCATTGGCAGCATTTTCCCTGCAGCTGGACCCCTCCCTGCTGGTGTTCCCCAGCATGTTCTCTCGCCGATCAAGTTCCTGCCTGGGAGAAAGGGGCAGAGTCCAGAGATGCCATTGCTCAGAGGTGGAGCAAGAAATGGTTGGCGTGGGATGTGTGCCGTGCAGCCAAAGATCCCCTTGTGCAAGACTCTTCACTTCCTACGGGTTGTGAAAGAATAAGAGCACCCAAAGTGTGACTTTTAGGTCAGGGCTGACTCTAGAAGGTGGAACATGAACCCCCACTTGGGACGAAGAAAATTGGCCCCTGAATGGCTTTGTTTTTTTCCACGTGTGGAATCTGAAATGGGGCCCACAGTGTCCATGGCAGTGTGGACCAGAGGAGCTTTCTGTGGGTGTGCAAATGGTCTGGGGCCAGTATGGGCTATAAGCACGTTGGCTTTCCGGAGGCCGTGTGGGGGAAGAGTTGGGGCCACATCTGGCGCTACTCAGGGGCTGCTCCTGGTTCTCTGCTCAGGGGTGACCCCTGAGGGGGGCTGAGGAGGACCATAAGGGGCTTGCTTTTTGTTTGTTTATTTTGGTACCACGTGCGCTGATGCTCAGGGGTACTCCTGGATCTTCCCTCAGGAATTACTCCTGGAAGTGCTCAGGGGGCCTCCTGGGATGCCGGGGGGCTCAAATAAGGGTCGGCTGCATGCAACCTCCCTCCCTGCTCTGGTGCCCAGTACTGGGATTGAATGAGGTCCACGAGGTGTGAGGCACGGACCTTATCCACTACACGCTGGCTTAGGGGTATTTGAAACATGCTCCCAAGCATGGAGTTTCGGAATTTGTTTTGTTTGCTTGATGTGATTTACCGTCTATAGAAAGTAGCCACATTTAGCTAGTGGCCACTCCCTCTGGTAGGCTGGTTCTAGAACCTTCTGAGTCCACAGAGGTAAGCTGTGGTGGCTACTGTTATTTGATAATGATTTGGGGTCTTCTGCGAAGAGGAGTTTTGTCTTTGATGTGGGGAGTCATTGGCACCAGACTCTTTCAAAAACCCAGACCTTGTGAGAACCGAGCAACTTCTCTGCCCCCAGACAGACAGACAGACAGACATAGACACACACACACACACACACACACACACACACACACACACACACTGACTTGTCCAAAAATGGATAGCCCCAATCCCGGCATCTCGGCTGTGTTCCAGTATTGCTGTACTTTTGTTCCTCAGTTCTCATGCCCCTGCTGGGGATACTGGGCCTGTCCATCCTTGGAAGTCAGGAGGGCTTCCAGAGGGAGGCGGCTCAGACTAGGGAAAGTAACTGGCATCTCCTCAGCCCTCAGGTCGGTTTGGCTCAGCCGTGGCCGTGGTGGACTTCAACGTGGATGGCGTGCCTGACCTGGCCGTGGGGGCCCCCTCAGTGGGCTCCGAGAAGCTCACGTATAACGTAAGATTGTGGGGGTGGGGCCGGGAGGGCATTTGTCAGTGGATGATGCTGGGCCCCGTTCAAGCCCCTGACGTTTCCTGGGGCTGCTGGGCAGTGCCTGCTCCTGTCTCTTGGACCCTTGCTATGCCTCAGTTTCCCTACTTCATCAGGGAGACTCAACTGCTGCGTTCCCGGCTGTGGTGCTTGCTGTCCGGGGGGAGTCAGTGAGGCCCGTGCACCCGGGCAGTGTGGTCCTCACAGCAGGGGGAAATTGTCTGGCCCCCCGGTCTACTTCCCACCTGAAGCAGGACCCTTCCTGTGGCCCCTATGGTCCCCGGGGACTTCTGGCAACAGTGAAGGGCTTTAGGGCCTTAACCCCATCTACCGTCCCTCCCTGGTCTCCTCTAGAAACTCTCCCGGCAGAACCTTCTAGAGGGTTCTAGAGGGCATTGTGGTCTGCACAGGGCAGCCTTTCTTCTTTCTTCTTTTTTTTTTTGATTTTTTTGGGTCACACCCAGCAATGCACAGGGGTTACTCCTGGCTCTGCACTCAGAAATTACCCCTGGCGGTACTCAGGGGACCATATGAGATGCTGGGAATTGAACCTGGGTCTGCCGCCTGCAAGGCAAATGCCCTACCCGCTCCCTACCCGCTGTGCTATCTCTCCAGCCCTGGGCAGCCTTTCCTTGGCACCTCGTGCACCCTGGTGTCACCACGTGGCCTCACCAGCTCTGTACGAGGGGGGACAGGGGGATGTCTGCTGGGACACGATGGTGTGCGAGTGTGACACTCGGGAGAGGGCTGGAGTCAGGCGGGTCCTGAGACAGGAACCGGGCCAGCATCCAGGAGGGCTTGACCGCCCCTGGGGTGCTCGGGTGGGCCACAGAACAATCAATCACGGCTTCCTAGAAGAGCCAGAAACACACCGGACGGGACCTGATATCCCGGCCACCGTGGCCAGCGGGTCCCAGAGCGAGACACAGCAGTGAAGTGAGGGGCAGGCGGGGCATCTGGAGGCCCACGGGGGTGGCACCACCTGCTCCGCTGTCCGCTGTCCCATCCTGCTTGCTGACCGTGGGTGCCTCCCGCCTTCCCGTCTCGCCCAGGGTGCCGTCTATGTGTACCTGGGGTCCAGGAAGCAGGGGCTGCCCTCCACGCCCGACATCACCATCTCCTGTCAGGTAGGGTGCCACCTTCAGTGGGCGGGGGCTCAGGGACCCCGGCTGGCCGCCCCCCAGGAGCAAACCCCAGTCCCTGCTGCTCCCCTCCCAGGACGTCTACTGCAACCTGGGCTGGACGCTCCTGGCAGCCGACGTGAGTGGAGATGGCCGGCCCGACCTGGTGATGGGCTCCCCGTTTGCACCTGCCGGGGGCAAGCAGCGGGGCCTCGTGGCCGCCTTCCACTCTGCGCCCCGTCGCCGCCACGGAGGTAAGGCTCCCCGGGCCTGTGCAGGGACCTGTCCCCTGCCCGGGACACCTCTCTCTGCCATCTGCCCTTTGAACCTTGTTGCATCTAAAATTGCTTTCTGGGGGCTGGAATGTTAGCACAATGGAGGAGAGCGTTTACCTTGCACGCAGCCAACCCGGGATCGATTCCCAGCATCCCATATGGTCCCTTGAGCACCGCCAGGAGTAACTCCTGAGTGCGTGAGCCAGGAGTAATCCCTGTGCATCCCTGGGTGTGACCCCAAAAAAGCAAAAGAAAAAAAAGATTTCTTTCTGCTTTTTTTCTTTTTTCTTTTTTTCTGTTTTTGGAGCGGGCACCCCGAGGTGTATTCAGGATATCTCTGTGGTTGTGTGTGTGTGTGTGTGTGTGTGTGTTTGTGTGTGTGTGGTGGGTTTGTTCCTGGCTGTGCTTGGGGGACCCTGTGGTTCTGGTGATAATGTCCCACAAGCAAAGCATGCAGTCAGCCGCTTGAGCCAGCTGTCTGTCCCCACTGGCAATCTTTAATAGTCTCTTGTATGTGCATAAGTCCTGGCCAGTGTTACGGACAGTCCCTGAACATCCAGGACAAAGGAGCCAAGTTCTCGTGGAGAAATCAGGGGGTCCATGGGCTATTCTTCTTGGGGCCACATTCCAAAGACATCCCTGAGGCGTCCCAGCTCTCCTGGGCTGGGCTCACTAAGATTTAGGAAATTTTCCTATTGATAAGACATTTCTTTTGCGGGGGACTCTGAAGGGGGCACTGGGGGGGGGGGAGCTGCTCCCCACAAAACTCCCCCAACCCAGTCTGAAGGTTTGGTGCTCTGGCCGGGCTGCTCAGGCAGGGCTAGGTCACTGAGATGACCTTGGCAGTGCTTGGTGAGGACATACAAGGCTGGGGTCAAACCCGGGGCCTCGTGTGTGGAGGGCGTGCTCGCAAGCTCTTGATGCTTTCTTCCCAACCCTTCGGAACAGTGAACAATCCGATGCCACTGCATCAGGCCTGTGGCTAGCCTTGTGTGTGAGAGGCCAGGGTCCAGTTCCCAGCACTGCACACACACACACACACACACACACACACACACACACACACACATCAACTCCCCTTTGGTCAACTTTTTTTTTTTTTTTTTTGCTTTTTGGGTCACACCCAGAGATGCTCAGGGGTTACTCCTGGCTCTGCACTCAGGAATTATTCCTGTCAGTGCTCGGGGGACCATATGGGATGCTGGGAATCAAACCTGGGTCGGCTGCATGCAAGGCAAACACCCTACCCGCTGTGCTATTGCCCAAGCCCCTCCCCCTTTGGTAAGCTTTTAAAAATAAATCGAAATTATTATTATCATTTGGCTTGTTGGTCATACCCAGCAGTGCTCAGCACTTACTCCTGGCGGGGCTCAGGACCACATGGGGTGCCAGGGATCTTAGCCAGGTTGTCCTAGCGACTGACTGTGCTGTTGCTCTGCCCTCCTCCCACTACCCCAATTAATTTTATAGTTTGGGTCTTGTGTTCACTGTAGTGTTGCAGCCTTTGGTTTTGAGGTACACAGCTCCTTCACCCCACCATCGCCAAAGTGCCCAGAACCCTTCACCCACCTTCTGTTACCTCCACTCCCCCCCCACCCCCTCCCTCGGCCTCCTCACTTCATTTGCCCCCCTCCGGGCCTATTGCTTGCCTTGTGTGTGACGCCCTGGGTTCTGTCTCCTGCACCTCACCCTGTTTCTCTGAGTCACAGAGGCGTCCCCAGGGGCTCTTTCTCCGCTGGCCCTTCAGCATCTTCTTGCAAGCTTTGGAAATGAGCTTCCTAACTGAAGAGGAGGGTCCGAGGCCCAGGGGGTACCGGGGGCACCCCACAAGGTGCAGGAGTTCTGCAGAAGCTGAGCACCGTGCGCCCATTTCCGGTGGGCCCCAGAGCGGGGCTGACCTGGGTCCCTCAGCGTCCCCATGACAGGCTGTGGCCTCCCACAGACAAGCTGGCGGTGGAGGAGGCCGACTGGATGGCTCGGGGCGAGGAGGACTTCGCCTGGCACGGCTACTCCCTGCACGGGACCCGCGTGGGCAACGCCACGCTGCTGCTGGTCGGGAGCCCCACCTGGAAGAACGCCAGTAGGTGAGCGCGGGTCGGGGGTCCCAGAGAAGGGGATGGGGAGGGTCGCAGCCGCCAGCAAAGCTCAGGCAGCTGTCTGCTGTGGCTCAGGCTGGCGAGAAAGACCACAAGGCTGTAGATTAGTGTGTGTGTGTGTGTGTGTGTGTGTGTTTGAGAGAGAGAGAGAGAGAGAGAGTGTGCATGTGTGTGAGCTGTATGCTGCATGTCAGGACGGCAGGAAAGATCACAGCTGCAGACTGGACGAGGTGTGAGTGTGCATGTGTGCATTGTGTGTGTGTGTGTGTGTGTGTGTGTGTGTGTGTGTGGCCAGCAGGAAAGATCACAGAGCTGCAGACTGGACGAGGTGTGAGTGTGCATGTGTGCAGTGTGTGTGTGTGTGTGTGTGTGTGTGTGTGTGTGTGTGTGTGCTGTATGCTGCACCTCAGACTGGGAGGTAAGACCTCAAAGCTGCAGACTGGACTAGGTGTGTGTGTGTGTGTGTGTGTGTGTGTGTGTGTGTGTGTGTGTGTGCTGTATGCTGCACCTCAGACTGGGAGGTAAGACCTCAAAGCTGCAGACTGGACTAGGTGTGTGTGTGTGTGTGTGTGTGTGTGTGTGTGTGTGTGTGTGTGTGTGTGTGTGTGTTGGGGGGAGGGGGGCAGCACAGGGGGAGGGAATGTCCCCATGTTTCCTGACTCTGCAGGCGGGAAATCAGAGCCCAGGTACTGCCACCTGCGTCCCTCCCCTTCCCTCTCCTCCTCCCTCCTCCTTTCCCTTCCCCTCTCCTCTCCTCCTCCCTTCTCTTTTCCCCCTCCCTTCCTCTCCCCCTCTTCCTCCCCCCTTCCCACTCCTCTCTTCCTCCCTCCCACCCCCTTCTTCTCTCCTTTCCTCTCTTCTTCCCCACCCCCTCCCCTCCCCTCCCCTCTCCTCTTCCCTTTCCCTCCCATCCTCTCTCCCCTCTTCCCCCCCCCCCCTTCCTGTCCTGTCCCCTGGCTCGGACCCGCGGGTCTTTCCTGGGCCCAGGCCTGGCCAGCTCTGCCCTGCCTGTGTCCCCGCAGCCTGGGCATGCTGTTCCGTCCTCGCGATGAGAAGCAGAGCGTGGGCCGGGTGGACGGCTACCTCCTGCCCGGTGGCCAAAGCCGCTTCACCATTTCCGGAGACAAGGTAGGACCATCCCGACACCCCCACCGGCCCCCGGGGCTCTCGCGGCCTCCACACCACGCTCCAGCCTCCACTGGGCTTCTGCGTCCCACAGGCAATGGGGAAGCTGGGGACCGCGCTGTCCAGCGGCCACGTGATGCTGAACGGCACCCGGAGACAAGTGCTGCTGGTCGGGGCCCCCACCAATGGTCAGTCCACGGGGCTGGGGCTTAGGATCTTTCTGGCCTCCTTATGGCAAGTTGGGAGGCCTGGGGGGGCAGTTCCTGCACCTCCTGGAACCTGTCACCTGCATGACGATGACAAGATCTGCCCCCACCCACAGCGGTCCTACCCCCTGGGGAGGGTCCTTGTTTCTGAACCAGCTGGGATCTAACATTGCTCAGGGGCACAAATCCGGGGTTGCTTTGAGTTGGTGCAAAATCTCTTCAGCTAAGGTGACCTCACGCTGGGCCCTCATGCAGGGCTCTGCACCAGTTCACCAGCCCGTAGGGAGCAGGAAGAGCGTGCTGTGGCGGGTAGGGGGTGAGTACCCACCACAGCAGTAGGGAACAGCTTCCCTGCCGCATGGGGGACCCCAGGACACCTTTTACCCGAGGAGCCCCGGAGAGCTGTCGCGGGGTGGTGGAGGGACAGAGAATTCAGGCCGGCACTGTGATTCGCAAAGAACTGGGCTTGGGAATCTAATGGGCAGGGCTGAGGTTAGAGATGAAGTGTGGGGTGAAGAGGGGGAAGCCCTCCCCCGCCCCCAAGAACACAGAACCCAGGGCTGGAGTGATAGTACAGCAAGTAGGGAGGGCGTTTGCCTTGCATAAGGCCGACCTGGGTTCAATCCTCAGCATCCCATATGGTTCCCCCAAGCACTGCCAGGAGTAATTCCTGAGTGCAGAGCCAGGAGTAACCCCTGAGCATTGCTGGGTGTGACCCAAAAAACAAACAAACAAACAACAACAACAACACACACACACATATATAATGTAAAAAAATTAAGTGTCTTTCTTAAAACACACACACACACACACACACACACACACACACAATCATAGAACTGTAAGTAGGAGTCAGAATCTGTTAGGTCCTGTGACGTCTTTGCTTTGTGATGGGGCGGTGCTCAGGGCTTTCCTCCTGGCTCTGCACTCAGGTGTCACTCCTAGAGGTGATTTGGGACCCTTTGGGATGCGGGAGATTGAACTGGGGTTGGCTGTTTCAGCCTTACCCTGCTGTATGTCTCTCTGAGCCTAACATCGCATTTTTTATGGATTAAAATTGCTGTCAGATGAAGGATTTAGATCCTACTGAGACAGCTTTTACTTTTGGCTTTTTTGGGGGACTCATACCTGGTGATGCTCAAAGGTTACTCCCGGTTACATCCTCAGGAGTCACTCCTGGTGGTGCTCCAGGGACTGTATGGGATGCCGGGAATTAAACTTGGGTTGGCCTTGTTCAAGGCAAACTGTACCATCTCACTGTACTATCGCTCTGGACCCTGACAGCCTTTTTTTTTTGGGGGGGGGGGTCACACCTGGCAATGCACAGGGGCTACTCCTGGTTCTGCACTCAGGAATTACCCCTGGTGGTGCTCAGGGGACCATATGGGATGCTGGGAATTGAACCCGGGTCGGCCATGTGCAAGGCAAATGCCCTACCCACTGTGCTATTGCTCCAGCCCCCTGACAGCCTTTTTTTTGAGGGGCGTGTATGTTGGGGGCAGGAGGTGTTGGGTCATTCCTGACTCTGATCAGGAATCCGCCCTGGCGGTCATCAGGGAGCTATATGTGGTGTTGGGGAAGCCACTGGGGTGGGCTGCGTCCACCGTACCCCTGTACCATCTCTCAACCCACTTGGTGAAGACTTTGAACTGTGCTGGAAAGGGCTCTGAGTGCAGAGACTGGGGCGGCTTGATGGGAAGGAAGTGAAGGTGTGTAGAGAAGTGGCCCGGGAGGGCGAGTCTGAAGTCCGATTCTGAAGTCCGGGGGGCACCTGAGACACATGCCTGCATCTCAGTCTCTTCCTCCCAGAGTTGACTACACTAAACAAAACGCCCCCAGATGACTCAGCCAGGGGTGCTGCTGTGTAGACACATGAAGTAAGAGTATGATTCTAGGGGCCAGAGAGATAGTCCAGTGGGTAAGGTGCGCACCTTGCATATGGCTTGTTCCGGGTTCGATCCCCAGCACTGCACATGGTTCTCTGAGCCCTGCCGGGAGCCATCTCTGACAGCACACAGAGCCCTGAGCACCTCTGGGTGCTCCCTCTGCAAAGATAAGATAGAAGGATAGGATTCTATTACTTTTCTTTTTTTTTTTTTGGCTTTTTGGGTCACATCCGGCAGTGCTCAGGGGTTCCTCCTGGCTTTGCACTCAGGAATTACTCCTGGCGGTGCTCGAGGGACCATATGGGATGCCAGGGACTGAACCCGGGTCAGCCACATGCAAGGCAATTGCCCCATCCACTGTACTATCGCTCCAGCCCCTAGGAGTCTATTTCAAACCCGAGTATCCTACAGGACGCTGGCTGACACGGTGCGGTTGCTTTCAGATGACGTGTCTAAAGTGGTCTTCCTGACCATGACCTTGCATCAAGGGGGCACCACTCGGATGTACGCCCTGAGCCCGGACTCTCAGCCCGCTCTGCTCAGCACCTTCAGCGGGGACCGCCGCTTCTGCCGCTTCGGGGGCGTCCTGCACCTGAGTGACCTGGATAATGACGGCTTAGGTGAGGAAGAAGCGGGGACCTCTGTGCAACCCACCAGTCCCCTAAGTGGATCCTAGGCCAGCCCTTGGGGGCGGGGGGCGGATGGAGGCAGATAAGGCCCATGACCAGGAGTGAGTGGTGTTTCTCCAAGGTGTTAACATGAGTCACCATGTCCGTCTGTTGTTATTGCTGAGGCGGGAAATCAGCCTGGGAAAACAGTCAGATGAGTCCCAGGTGGCTGTGAACTGGGGGAGGACCCAGGAGTGGGATGAGGGAAGGAGAACAGCTGGGCCACTTCCTCCTGGTGCGTTTCCCTGTTGACAGATGAAATCATCCTGGGCGCCCCGCTGAGGATAGCAGATGTGACCACTGGCCTGATGGGCGGAGAAGACGGCCGGGTCTACATCTACAATGGCAGACAGACCACCTTAGGGGACATGACGGGCAAATGCAAGTCCTGGACCTCCCCATGTCCCGAAGAGAAGGTAAAGCATTCACGGACAAAACGCTGGACTTGGGGGGCCGGAGTGATAGTATTGTCGGTTAGGGTGCTTGCTGGGCATGAGGTTCACCCAGGTTGGATCCCCAGCACCTCAGATGGTCTGTCAGGAGGATACCGGCACTGCCAGGAGGATACTCTGAGTGCAGACCCAGGAGCAAGCTGGGGATGGCCCCAGTCACGATCACAATCATCCCATTGTTCGTCGATTGCCTCGAGCAGGCACCAGTATTGTCTCCTTCGTCCTAGCCCTAAGATTTTAAAAAGTGCCATGTTCAAGGCTCTTTCAGGGTTAGGAGAATGAGACCCATCATTGTTACTGGTATTTGGCATATTGAATACGCCACGGGCAGTTTGCCAGACTCTGCCATGTGGGCAGGTAACATTCGGTAAATTGCCAGGTTGTCCAAAGTAAGAATGAGATAATAAGATGTCGCGCGCTTCTGGGAACTGAGTTTTATAGTCTCTGGGTTTTGGCCATTGATGGGATTCACGGCGCAGGGGGCCAGTTGGTGGGTGTGACCCTGGCCTACTGGAAGATGAAGGATCTGGGTGGAGGATGCTCAGCCCCGATCTGAGCAGGCTTGGAGATCTCAGCCCCGGGACCCGCATGCCTTTGTTCCTCTGCCGGTACCTTCATGCATGTGGAGAGTGGTCTCAGCATGGTGATGGCTGGTTCTGGAGGTCTTCGGCTGCCGGAGCTCTGTTCGGGGTGGGGAGGGAAACTCAACCCGCCCCCCTTCAAGGCCCTGGCGAGGACAGCCAGGCGTGGGGGCAGGAGACTCTGCGCTGTTCTCTTCCGGGAGCTGGGTTTTATAGTCTCTGGGTCTTGGATTACACGACCGTTGATGGGATGGCCCCAAACAAACAAAAAAACGAAGAAACTACTTGGGGCAGGAGTGATAGCACAGTGGGGAGGGCGCTTGCCTCGCACATGGCCGACCCAGGTTCAATTCCCAGTATCCCATATGGTCCCCCTGAGTCCAGGAGTAAACTCTAAGCACTGCCGGGTGTGGCCCCCCCAAACCCTCCTCCCCCCAAAAATGCTGGACTGTTCAGAGAAAGAATGGCCACTTCCTGAGTCTGTGTTCCAGCACGTCCATGGTTAAACTTAGACTGTTTGGTCTCAGTGCAAAGGCCCAGGATTAGGAGGCCAAGAATTGTGCAGGCAGCGTTACCGCATTTGACCCTGGAGCTAAAGTCCAGGTGAATTCGATGTCACCTTGGTCTCTGCCCACATCAGCAGACAGGCCACAGCTGCTGGCCTTTCAGCTTTAATTTCCGTTTTTCTGGCTCCATTTTATTCATGTTTTTGAAAGGAGAGTTGTGGTTAAAAAAAAAAATTATAAAAGAGCCCTGATTTACAAAGTCCCTGATTTACAAAGCTGAGGTTTAGACATACAATGTTCCGATCCCTCCAGCTGCGTCCCCAGAGTCCCTTCTGCGCCCCAGCCGCTGCCTCAGAAGGCCCGTCTTTAGGTTTGCAGGTTGTGGTCTGCAGCTCAGGTCTTCAGTGTTGTGGACTCCGTGGTTTGGAGATAGAGCGACACCTCTTCTCTACACCACCTGCCCACTCAAGGGCCGTGGCCCCTGCCCCTGTTTTCTTTCTTTTGTTCAGGCTGTTTCCTTGGACCACACGGCCCCTAAAAAAATTCTTTTGAAAATTTCAAAATGAATTCGCTCATTGAAAACAAGTTACGTGAGAAATTGAAAAAAAAATCATGATTCAACTGAGATAATTCCTGTTGTTTTTGTTATGTATCATCAAACACTTTTTTCCTTTTTCTTTTTGGGTAGCGCCCAGCGATGCTCAGGGGTTATTCCTGGTTCTGCATTCAAAAATCACTCCTGGCAGGCAGGCTTGGGGGACCATATGGGATGCGGGAGATGGAACCTGAGTCGACAGCATGCAAGACAAGCGCCCTCCCTGCTGTACTATCTCTCCAGCCCAGGAACATGCATAGTTTAGAGATTACTCTAGACACATAGAAATGTGAATGTGGGCAGGAGTGGTAGCACAGCGGGTTGGGCGCTTGTCTTCACGTGGTCCACTCAGGTTCGATCCCTGGTATCCCATAAGGGCCCCGAGCACCGCCAGGAGTAATTCCTGAGTGCAGAGTCAGAAGTAACCCCTGAGCATTGCTGGGTGTGACCCAAAAAGGAAAAAAAGAAAACAAATGTGAATGCAAGTCTAATTAAGCTTCACTTCAAACCCACCATAAAATACATAACATTAATCAATTCTCTTTCTTGTCATTTTGTTTTTCAGGCCCAGTATGTCCTGATTTCTCCTGAAGTAAGTGCCTCCTAAAACAATGAAGAAAAACGACAGATGTCCTCCCCCCTCCTTTTTTTTTTTTTTTTTTAAATTTTTGGGTCACACCCGGCAATGCACAAGGGCTACTCCTGGCTCTGCACTCAGGAATTACTCCCGGCGGTGCTTGGGGGACCATAAGGGATGTTGGGAATCGAACCCGGGTCAGCCACATGCAAGGCAAACACCCTACCCGCTGTGCTATCACTCCAGCAGCTTTCCCCTTATTTCAAACCGAAAACAATCACTGAGTGTTCTAAGAGGCCCGTAACAGAATGTATTTTACAGGCCAGCTCCAGATTCGGGAGCTCCCTGATCACGGTACGCTCCAAAGGCAAGGTGAGTACCAGCATCCTGTATCCCGGATATATCTGTGATGAGGCGGGGGCTTGGCAATGATCTCATTGTGTCTCTAGTTTGAGGGAAACACAAAAGAGCAGAGGGACGTTCCCAAGGAATTTCATCAATTTCCTTATCTTCATCCTCAGATTTTGGCCTACAGCCCAGCTCTACCTGGTCACCTTTTTACATCCCATCTGGGAACTAAAAATGATTATTACAGCTTGAAGTGTTTGCAAAGGGACAGGGATGTAGCTCAGTGTTTGAAAACTTCTCATTTTTTTTTTTTTTTGGCTTGTTTTGGGTCACACCCAGCAATGCACAGGAGTGACTCCTGGTTCATACACTCAGGTATCACTCCTGGCGGTGCTTGGGGGACCATATGGGATGCTGGGAATCAAGCCTGGGTCAGCTGTGTGCAAGACAAATGCCCTACGCGCTGCGCTATTGCTCCAGCCCCAGAAAACTTCTCTTGTATGTGTGAGGCCCGGGGATCAATTCCTGACACTGTTTAAAAACAAAATTGGGGCAGTAGAGATGAAAAAAAAAAGAAATTATATATATATATATATATAAGTTTTGGGGCCATACCCAGAAATGGTCAGGGGTCACTCCTGGCTCTGTGCTCAGGAATCACTTCTGGTGGTATACTTGGGGGACCATATGGGATCCTGAGGATCGAACCCAGGTCTGCTGGGTGCAAGGCAAATGCTCTCCCCTCTGTGCTATTGCTCCGGCCCCAGAAATAATAACTTGTAAAGAGCTCTGCTTATTCATTTATGGTTGCTGTTATGTTACAGTGGTAGAGCGGCCAGCTGCTTAAGAGACTTATGTCCTTCGAAGTCTAAAGTATCTTCCTAGTACAGTGGGAAGGGATCTTGCCTTACACATGGTCTAGCCAGGATTGATCCCTGGTATCCCTGGGCACTGCCAGGAGGAAGCCCTGAGTACCTTCAGGTGTGCCCGCCCTACCACCAAAAACAAAAAATGCAATCAGTATAGATTTAAATGCCTGAAAGGGTAATTTAATCCCCAGCTTCCTGCTGGGTGTGACCCCAAAACAAACAACATCATCAGGGGTGGTGAGTGTATTGACTTGTGGGAGAAGGAGATGGGAAACCCTCACAGATTCCAGACTGCAAACTGCTTTTACCCCGAGCAGCTGTTGGCTTGGTTTAAGAAAACTGGGGTGACACTGTCCTCTAGTGGCCAAAATTCTAGTCGCGTGTGCTTTAACATGTTTACTTAGAGGTAAGGCTGATAGCAACAAATTTAGGCTTAACCTTAAAAAAAAAAGGACAGGTTTTAACTTTATGGGACAGTCTCAAAAGGTCTGATCATAGGAAGACTCTATACTTTGAATTTTATTCATTTTACCTACTATTAGACTTTTATCAAGAACCTATGTAATACAGAAAAACTTACACCAACTGAAATGACAAAGATCATCCACAAAATTATGATTCCTTTAGTTATGATTCTGTAAATTCACTTTCTTCATTATCATTCACGAGTTAATGTTAAAGTCAGTTCTCTATCTCAACACACACACGAGGTTGGGCTCATTGAAACACCAACTAGATATAAGTCAAAGATCGTTGTGCAGACCTGGGCCTGGGCACCAAGAGGAAGTTCCCTGGAAAAGATTCCCAGGAGGCGGCCTGAGAGCATCACACACACTGGAGTGAGTCTGAAGCCATTGTGCCAAATAGCAAAAGCCAGATAATGCAAGCAGCCAGCGAGGCGTGATATTGCTGGCCCAAGGTGCGGGTTCTTAAGATACTTGGCCATTATTATATCCGAATTCCATTTGTTCTTTGAAAAATTAAATTTATGAAAAACTGTTCCTATGGAAGGTTTGGTCACACCCTGTTTGGACCAAAAGACTCAGCCAGTCAGATCCCTTGCACCTCACTTCCTAGCCTTGGGTTCAAGGAACAAATCCAACTTCAAAATAAGTATCTTGGCCACCAGTACAGACCGTGGTAGGCTCCGAAAGGAGTTTCTGAGTGTCTTGGAACATGTTTTAGAGGCAGGAGGAGCTACAATGTCAGATCATTTGGAAGGTTGTTTTCATCTCTAATTTGCCACCTAAATCATAGCACAACTAAATTCGGGATTAACATACACTATGTACAGAGAGGGAGTGAACTTCCTCAGCTGTGGTTTCCAAACTGACCTATGGGAAAGTGGCCTTAATTTGGGGTTTTGGGCTACACTCAGCGAAGCTCAGGAGTGAGCTCTGGGGGCACTCGGAGGACCCTGTTTTGTGTCAGGGTCAATGGGATGCAAAGCCTTGTCTCCAGTACTAGCTCTCTGTACTTCTTCCAGGGTAAAATGATGTAATTACAAAGGCCACGGGACGTGGTCAGTGTCTTATCATCCTCTGTGCCTGGACTCTTAACACTGACCTCACAGATGCTTTTGAATGAATAACTTGCTCTTTTCTGTCGTCTACAGAATCAGATTGTCATTGCTTCGGGAAGGAGTTCGTTTGGAGCGCGGCTCTCTGGAGCACTTCACGTCTACAGCCTCGCTTAGATGGGGAGATTCCACTCTCTGCTTTCCTCATCTGGTTTTCCCCTCTCTCATGCCAGTCACCTCCTGGGTGAGGGTGTTCTGGTGGACAAAGTGGAACATTGAGTGATGAGTAGGTTCTCCTAGACAGAGAGGCAGGGGTCCTGGGACAAGACAGCCAGGTCATCTGGAATGTGATACAGGAAATGGTGATTTTATCGCCATTACTCACGTTCCCTTTCAGGGTTTACCTTGCTGCCCTTCCAAGTAAACCTTTCCTAACTTACAGCCCATGTTTCCATCTATTGTATAACCTGCCTGAGATCTCTGTAAATGTATGTCTAGGTCTGATAGCTTGAGCAGGCCTTCCCGTGGTTAAGATCTTTGTATAGAAATCTTTCTCCTAAAGTTCTTTTTAAAAAATTGACCCATTCTGATGAAAGGGAAATAGCATCATGTATAGAGAGGAAAACTGGAAGAGGAACAGAAATGGTAGCGCCAGGAGAAAAACCTGGTGATCGCAGAATCACTGAACTCGCTGTTTCTTAATGCTTTTTACTGTGTTATCAGCATTTCCTGAGGTGAAGGGGAAGTGGCAGAACTGAAACCTTGCCACCTGCCCGCGCTCACATGCGTTCATAGAGACCCTGCTCTAGCAGCTGATGGACCTAGAGACTTGTTGCTTGTTGTTTTCAGCACCCCGAGAGGGTTCTTCCTCTGCTAAGGAGACGCAGACCTTGGCTTCACTTCTGCCCAGACTGGTTTCAGTGAGAAGTTTTGTCTGCCGGTCTGGCATATTAAAAGGAAAGAAATGCACGGACCACAGGGTCTCCTGTGCAGAAAATTTATGGGCATCACCTGTACATGTAGTAATGAGTTGATTCTGCATCAAGGAAGAACCTGTTTCTTCTGATGCTTAGGGGAAACAACACAGGCAGAGAGTCCTTGGCTCGGCTTCTCCAGGGGTAGATAGACACGGTCAAGGAAGGCAGGAGTCCAGCTGGAGGGTCAAGTTCAGTTAGAAATCACAGAAAAGCTACTAGATGTAAATTGAGTCTGCGCTGGAAAGCTGAACAGGCACAAACCTGGAAAGGTCTGGATCCCACAGCTGCCTCCATTTAAAGAGCTTTGCTAGGGCCTGAGAATAAGCAAATAAGACACTTGCTTTGCATGTGGCTCACCCTGGTTCTCCCCCGCCCCCCCCCCCCCCCCCACCAGCATTACCAGGAGTGACCCTGGAGCACAGAGACAGGCATAGCCCCCAGGCACCAGGAAGGCAAAGAGTTCTGCTAGCCACAGGGTTTCTTATGGAACTACAAAAAGCACCCAGCTAAGAACCTATGATAAACTGTGTATAGGAAATGCAGCAGATGAAGAATGGCTTTAATAAAAGGAAACGTGCTTTTAGAAGGGCAGGAATTATTAGTTGTGTTCACTTACCAGATGAGATGTCTAAGTGAAGCACAAACTGATGACAGTGCACTCAGTGGAAGTGTTTCTCATCTGAGTCTTGCACTAGAAGGCTGCACTTTGTAAACCTTCATTTTGGAAACGACCGCTAAAGGACAGGCCTGTTTTTATCAGAGAATCTATATTTCTCTCAATGCCTAAGAAGACTGGGTATTAAGCACCATGTTGGAAAAGGTTAACTCTTTGAAACTTCACATTGGATTTTATATTGGATATTTAATCATGCTTGTTCCATAGTTAGAAATGATGTAAGGGCCTGCTAAGGATCAACCTGCTATGGCAGATATATAAAATATGTAAAAACCTGGCATATAGAAAAATACCTAATATACTAATGCAATGTTTCTCTAACCTTTTCTGATCGTGGTTTCCTTCTGGTGACCCTGTGTTCTTCCTGCAGTCCTCTCTTACCAGCTGGACTCCCAATGTCCTGCCAAATCTCTCCTTTTAAGCAATTTTCACCTTGAAATATTCTGGATGTCCCAAGAGGGTAATATGGACCTTGGATGGGAATCACTAGTATGATGGTTTGTATGATCACGATCATCCTGTTGTTCGTTGATTGCCTTGAGCAGGCACCAGTAACGTCTCCTTCGTCCTAGCCCTGAGATTCTAAAAAGTGCCACATTCAAGGCTCTTTCAGGGTTAGGAGAATGAGACCCATCATTGTTACTGGTATTTGGCATACTGGGTACGCTATGGGGAGTTTGCCAGACTCTGCCGTGTGGGCAGGTTACATTCAGTAGCCTGCCAGGTTGTCCAAAGCAAGAATGAGATAATAAGATGTCACACGGCCGCATCCGCGTGCTTCCAGGAGCTGGGTTTTATTTAAACTTTTTAGTACAAACCATTAAAAAATGATTTGTACTAAAAAGTAAATTTTCACAGCTCTAAAACATTATTTATAATTCTAAAACATTGAATGAGAAATGAAATACTTTGTAGGGTTCTAATCTCAACACAAATCAAATGCATACAACAGTGTAACTCAAAATTAGCTTTATTCCAAGAACTCAGAAGACATTAAAACATTTGAAGTTTTTCTTGTCTCTATGTAACAACTTTCTTCAAGGTTTGAAGACCAGAACTGTTTTCTGCCTTTGTCTCAATGATGGAAGAGACTATGAAATAAACTCAGGTCTCTGAATTCCACTGTCCGTACACCCCCCGTAGATATTACTAAGTAATTGTAAAGTGTGAGTTGAACATTGTAATTCCAAGTAAAGCTGTGAACAATACTGGAGTAACTCACCAAGAATAAATAGCTTTTAAATATGAGAGTGTACAATGGTTAATTATCACAGTTTATTTATCGAGAATGAAATGAGTGTTAATAGCATCCTAAAAAAGATCTGTTCTGCCACATTCATTTAGTGGCCTACAGACAAAGGAGTGTTACAAAAGAGCATCAGACCTTGCTCTGGGAAGACAGTGCTGGGGATGGAGACGCAGCCCAGCTCCACAGCACCCTGGGCACCACTGCCAGTGGCTTGAATGGCAACCAAAGCATTCTGGGCCTTTGCGGAACCACATCCTGCATGCTTCACAGATAATGACCCCTGAGCACTGCAGGGAAAAGTAGCTACATTATATTTGGCAGTTGTGCATGTTAAACAGGTGATACGATTATTTGCTTGCTTGCATAACTGGGAATTTAATATTCTGTTGACTGTGAGTCAGAGAGTTTATGTGCTCAGCCTAATATCTTAACTCAAACTTTAAAACTAATGAACTTTGTAAAATATTTTGGTATAAGCTGTGTTACTAAAAGAACTTTAAGAAGCTTCCCTGAAACCATCAAAGCAGAACTGCCACTTAAAAATCACACTGGATCCAACCACCTGCAAAGATTTTATGAATCATTGGTAATTTCCCTTTATCTGACTTAATGAGGTAGCTGAATTTCTTTTAGTGATGAGCCATGACATTTAAACAAAAATTTATTTCACCCAAGCTCATAAACTAAGTAGAAACAGTACAAGGAAAAATGAGCCTGTTCTATGCTAGGCCTGATTAGCTTGGCAAAGATTATCTTGCTAGGCTCCCAAGGCCTAGCAAGATCACAGATAACACCTAGTTTATAATCATAATGTAAGATCAAAAACAGCAAAGTCGCTTGGAGCATGGCAGAGTGCCCTGTGAAATCTCAGTATTATCAGAGTATTTAGAAAACCATCACAATAATTAAAAAAAAAATGGATGAAGTGAGAGTCCCATCAACCTTGCAGGCTCAGTGAGGGCCCCAGAGTGCTGGGAGGGCCATACCTTCCCCTGCTCTTCTGGCACTAGGCAGAAAGGACTCTACATTCTACTGCCCGGCTGCATTCAGCTCCAAAATACACATATTAAAAAGGTAGGAGTGGGTATGTCATGGAGAACAGTCATGATGTGTCTCAGAAATAGCATCTGTCTTAGGCCCAAATCTGACAATGAAAACAAAAAGGCACCCACGGCCGAAAGCTTGTCTTGTACCCCCAATCTGGAATCCATCTGTTTCCTCTGAGGTGTGAGTACACAGAGCAGCGAGGTGCTGAACAGCTTTTCCTTGTGTGTGGGCGGTTGGGGCGACACAAAACCAGGAATGACTGAGATGCTATAAACAGAGACAAAATGGAAAGACTTCCTTTCTGCTTTGCTTCCAATGGCCTTCACTACAGCGGAGCAAAGAATCAGGGATGAAAAAAATGCCATCTTGATTAACCAGAAGCCTTATCAAGTTGGGAGTGGAGTGGTCATTTTTTTTTCACCATAAAAGGAGGGTGGGGACATACAATACAATACAACTTTGCTAAGAATTAATTTCAAACACAAACCTCCGGGGTTTAAGTTTCATGTTTTGCTAGCTTTTCAGTAACCTGAGTTATTTGCAAGAAAAAGAGCTGAAGAACATCATCTCAAAACTGTGGGCTCATCAAGTTTCCAGGATTTTAGACAGGAAATTGCACTTTTCTTTATATGCACAAATTATATAAAATATATAAAACTATTCTTGCATCAATCTCTCCATGGCTCACATCACATTTATAAAAATTCTTATGTTTGTACATCCGTAGGATATAGAATCTTGGCCTTTTAGAGAGCAAGAACTTTGCGATGAAGTTCTGTGACTCAAAATATTTTTTAGCAGACATCATAATTTAAATAACCCGACTTTTCTCAAGTCTCCATCTATATGAGAAAACCGTAAGAGAGCACTGAACTTCCCTGCAAATACCACAAAAAAACATAAAAGAGTTTCGCTAGGCTGTTCCTAACGGTTTGTTAGGACATTCCTGTTTGATCCAAGTCCATCTGGCCTTAAACTGTGTTTCAGTTCCGTCCTTCGATCTGCCTGCCGGGGTCTTTTAGGTAAAGAGGCCATCTAGATAAAGCAGGGAAATGAACTTTAGTTTACGTCTTTCCTAAAAGAACTAGCAAAATGATGACTCATATTCTAAATGACAGAAGGACTGAGGTGAAATAAAGTGTCCTAAGTACTTATTCCAGTGGTGCAAACTACCAATAGAATGGTAAAGAAAAGGAGGTAAGCTTTTATCATGGTCAAAACATTATACTCTTTTTTTCTCTATTTCAATTTCAGTTATGAAAAATCCTGCATCTGAATTATATCTGTTTAGGGGCTGGTGCAATAGTACAGCAGGTAGGGTGTTGTCTTGCATGTGGAGAACCTGGGTACAATCCCCGATACCCCACGTGGTCCTCTAGTCCCTCAGGAGTAATTCCTGAGTGCAGGGCCAGGAGTAAACCTGCAGCAGCAGACCCAGGTTCGATTTTGCTGGTGCCAGGCAAAAACAAAAAAAAAAGTCTCCCCAAAATGCATTTCTCTCTTTGCCAGTCACCTGAACATGTACTGTCTAATTTTCCCATTACCACCAAGACTCACATGATACTAAGTTGACAGGAAACTAAGGAAGATTTACAGAAATCAAACAGTTTGCTCAGGGCAACAAAGCCTGTGACAAATAGACCCCAGGACCTCTACTACTGATCGGCTGTGAACGGAGCCCTTCTTACCATGGGGGGCAGAGGAGCTTCCAGCTGGCGCCCAAGAAAGGACAGCAAACGCCTCCAGATGAGGCCACTACCCATGAACATGATCCCTGTAATCAGCCAAAACACTCGGTGGTCCTGGAAGAAAAAGTAACACAGATTTCTTTAGAAAAAAACAAAACAAAACATGTAATTCAGATGCAGGATTTTTCATAACTGGGACAATCATAGTATGGGAATTGTGTGTTCAAGAAACCTGACCTTTATAAAAGGAAGTTGAAAGGTGGTAAGTAAATGACCAAATTCATCATATTGAATAGGACAGACCAACATCCTATCTCCAATGGGGTTTGATGCTAAGAAGGGACAGGGGCTAGAGATGTATCTCAGGGCAGAGCATCTGCAGCCCCTCACTGCCAAGTGTGATTTATGGGGGTGCTGCAGGTACAGATTTCAGCAATGCAAAGAGGTACCCACAGCCATGTCTGCACTCATCACACACTGGCTACTTCAAGTCCTTCCTCCATTGTAACAGATCTGAAAGGGCACAGATCACCTAGAAGCAGTGCTCAGTATATATGGTAGCCCAGAACATGTCCGTGGGCTTGAGACAAGACAGGGGCTGAGGCACCTGCTTCGCCCGCAGCCAACCCAGCTCTATCTCAAGCTCGGCCAGGGACTGAACTTGGGTCAGCTGAATGCAAGGCAAGCACCCGATCTGCTGTATTACTGCTCTGCCTGCTCCCCCCCCCTCCACTTAAGTTTAAAAAAGGACAATTTTTACAATTTTTCCTAGGGAAACCATAGATCATTATAGATCCTCTTTGACCTATGACTTTTTGAATTTTTTTTTTTTTCTTTTTGGGTCACACTTGGCAATGCTCAGGGGTTAATCCTGGCTTTGCAGTCAGGAATCAATCCTGGCAGTGCTTAGGGAACTGATAAAGGATGCTGGGGATCGAACATAGGTCTGCTGCGTGCAAGGCAAATGTCCACTGCACTATTGCTCTGGCCCAAGAAAATAAATGTTGACAGACCTCCCCATCGGGGTATCAAACCCCGGTCTACCATGTGGCAGGCAGGGATACTTACAACTATACTAATGAGGAGTGAGCTTCTTTGACCTATGATGAATAAATTTACTGGCTTGGGAAAATTACTACCTCGAATATGGGAATACAACAAAAAACATGTGCAGCCATGTAGGTGTCTCTGGTCAGCAGCCAGTACAATGCACAAAGCAGGGTTGAAGGTTCCCATCCCAGTGACAGATTCCTGCTGACAGAGGCACACTCAAAAGAAGTAGCACTCAGAGGGGGAGACAAGAGACTTTAAGGAGAAAGGGGAAGAGCAGGAGGGAAATACGGATGGAACCACTGACAGGGTGGGCACAGAGGCTGGAGGAGGGACAGGGAAGGGGCAACATACCAGGACAGCCAGGAAGGCCAAGGCCCTTGGGGTCTTATCTTAGGGCAGTGAGCAGTGACCCCGGATTGGCTTGTTTTAAAATCTGCTTTTCAAAAGCTGAGCACCTTGTGGGCATGCTTGTTTAACAGGCTGAGCGTATGCTCTGCAGGTAGGAGGCCAGGGTTTGATCGCTAGCACCACCTGGTGTCCTGAGAAGAGCTGGGAGTAGCCCAAGCATCACTGGACATAGTTAAAAATTAGAGCAGTACAGAGTGGTGTGGATCAGAGATGATGTGGAAAAGACGAAGGTGACAGCCAGAGACAGACCAGATCTGTTGGGTGAACTGGGACACAGCATGGAGGCCACTGGAACTGAACATATATTCAGCTGCATTTCTAGAAGCTTACAGTAAGAAATGCAGGGCCAGAATGATGAGACAATCTCTGAGACATCAGTGTTAACAGAGACAAACAGTATGGTAAAATGCAAAGTCTAAGTTGGTAGGTCTGCATCCTAACTTTTTTCCTAGCCCTAGGTCCTTGGGTGTTATTTAAAACTTTTAGGGGTCTATTTTTTCTTTCTTTTTTAAAATTTTTACAAAGTAGTTCACAATATTTGATTACATTTAATTCTCGAACACTAATCCCACCACCATCATACCTTTCCACCACCGTATTTTTGATATTTCCATCAGAACCCTAATGCCTGCTCCAAAGCAGAGGGGTCTATTTTCTTACGCATAGAGTAAGTATAATAGACCCATTTTCAGAGTTGAGCCCAAAACGAGGCCAACTGCCAGAAACACTGCTTGCCACATTACAAACAAGCAAACTTCAGTAAGACCATCTCAGAGCGTGTGACTGCTCATCGCACCCTTACCATGTCAGTCACAGGTTTGGAAAACCTGTGGGACCCCAGGCTACACTCATGGCTATTTTATAAGGGTAAACCGTGCCTATTTTGATACACAGATCTAACTTCCTTGTGTGAGTGTGTATGTTAAGACTTTTTAAATGCCACTGAAAAACGGATCTTCAAAACAGTAAGGTGATTCCAAGATAGCTGAAATCATACATTCTTACCTCTTCAAGGGATGATTGCAAATTCATTCCAAAAGCAACTCCCATGAGTCCGAAGAGTGAAAGTGAGAAGGTGCCCATGGTCAACTGCAGGTTCAACCTCATCATCACATTCCGGTGGCTGGAGAGAAGAGCATATGCTTAGATCCCAAGGGCCCTCTAATCACACCCCACACACAAGAGTAAATGCTCTAAGGAAGGCCACGTATATACCTTACAATAAAAAGGGCACACTGCATGACAAATGCTAAGAATAGTATAATTCCTTTACCTCTACAGTGAGGTTTTTTTTTTTTTGTAGTTAAAAATACGCATATGTGTATGTGCATTTGTGTATTGGGGATCTGCGCCATCCCAGAGATACTCAGCTGAATAGGCGGAGTGACTCAAAGCTAGGGCCTCGGGATGTGGGGCTGCCTGGGCTCTGTGGTGCTGGGGACTGCCAGGGCCAGTTGTTTAGGGGGTCAGGGTATGCTGAGGTTCAAATGTGGGTCAAAGTTCATGATCAGCATGTACCCCTAACTGCTAAACTATCTTCCCAGTCCCCCACAATACTTCCTTAGAAACTTTGTTATTTTGTAATTCCTTTGCAAAGGAAATACTTGTTTAATACAGTTCTTTCTCACCTGTCCAGGTTGATGAATATAATGCTTTGTGAATCATCAATGAGTGCCCTAAGTTCCCGAGTTGCATTGGAAAGATCCTCAGCTAATCGGTAGTAGTTTTCCAAAAGCAATTCCATCTCCTCAGCATGGTCAATTCCAGCGCTACTCTTTTCACTGCAATGAGAGTCACTAAAATAATTAATCTGGGGTTGGAGAGGTAACTCAATGGGCTGGGTGCACACTTTGCATGGTGGAGGGCTGGGTTTGATCCAAGAATTACATGGGTTCCTGAGCACTGCTGTGAATGACCCCTGAGCAGAGCCAGTTGAAGCTCCTGAGCAGGGCCACGCATGACCCAAAAATCAAGACAAAATTAACATGTCCCCAGTATGTACATCTTCTTTTTAGTACCAACAATGTCCTCAATTAGTCCTTAACAAGCATCTATTCTTTAGTTAGTTAGGGACTAACTGAGGACATTGTTGATACTAAAAAGAAGATGTAAGCAAGGCAAAAAACCCAGTTTAGTGTGTTTAATTTTCTGTTTCTATATCTATCATAGTTTTATTTTTGTGCTTATTTGAATACAGATAACTGCACTGCACTGTAGCACTGTTCTCCTATTGTTCATCGATTTGCTCGAGTGGGCACCAGTAACGTCTCTATTGTGAGACTTGTTGTTAATGTTTTTGGCATATTGAATATGTCATGGGCAGCTTGTCAGGCTTTGCCATGTGGGCGGGATACTCTCAGTAGCTTGCCGGGCTCTCCGAGAGGGGCAGAGGAGTCAAACTCGGGTTGGCCACGTGCAAGGCAGATGCCCTACCCGCTATGCTATGGCTCTGGCCCACAGATAACTAATGTTTGAAAAATGCTTAAAAAATCTATATAGACTAAAACTATAAACACAACAAAGTGTCTATAAATTTCTGATACTGTGTACCAATTAGAAAAATGGAACGTTTTCAATAAACATACAACTTGAGTGTGGACAACAGTAAATGTCTCAACAATTTGTTGTTTTGGGGCCACGCCTGGCAGTGCTCGGGTTATTCCTGGGTCTATGCCGGGAAGCAGACTGAAGCCCCCCATGTGATTTACTCGGTCAGCCTACAGAGCTCTCTCTATCCCTGAATACTGAAACTCTGAAGAAACAAAATATTTGTATGATGAGCATTTTTATGTTAGCCAAAACTTTCAGATCTTATGGTGACCTGTTTCTCATGTACTTTCACCCCTTTTCCTCATCCATGAGAACTCCTGTTCCACCCTCCCCTGCCCCCCCCCCCCCCCCCCCCCCCACATACCATATTCCCAGTGATCTGTGTGCATATGTGACATCTGGGCAGTTGGTTTTTTGCAAAGACAGATAATGGAATGTTGCTAGACTCATCACAGTTCAGCTGTATTGTGTGCAAAATATGACCTCAATATGGCCTCATTAATCCGAGTTACATCAACACAGCCCAGGAAAATAGTGAAGCCACTAGGAATATAAAATGTCAATCTTTTTATTATAGAATCTATGAGAATTCTGGTGATGTCAGGAGACTGATACCCAGGGAATAACAAAGCATCATCCACTCACAAGACTTGCGGATCGCTCCACTTCGTCAGACAGAGTTCTTCCAGCAACTCTTCTTCATCTAAGATCTCCAAGATGGATTCTTTAAAAATCTTAATATCTGTTTCTAATTCTGATAAGCTGCAATAATATTTTATATAAACATGATTAATATAAATAGAAAATTAAAAAAAATAAGAACAGTGTTGTTGATAAAACACTAACCCGTGAAAACATACTTCCAAATTTACCACGCACACAAAGGATCAATTCTTGGAGAAAATACCCATGCTTACCTTTTCCCATTTTGTAGTAAGATGTGCAGTTTGCTTCTGTCTACAGAAGAATGTTTGGGATCCACTAAAGCTTCCAATGTCTCAAGGATCAGTGGCTGCAGAGTGTTAAGTTTCCCCTGAAGGGTGTTGATCTAGACAACAACATGACCTTTCATAAGAATCAAAACAATCTTTTTAGAATACTCAGGGTCATTGAATCCTCTGATTAAACACAGAAACCTGTAACAGCTACGAGTACTTTCAGAACAGGCACTGTTGAGATGCCTAGTCCATATGAGTCTCAAACTAGAGCTCTGGGTTCCACCATAATCATGTCGACAGTTATTACTAATCTTACCGGCTCTACAGCAAATGAGCTCTTTCCTAGGAGTCTTCCCCTAAAAACATCATACAAGTGAGGATTACAGTGGGGGAATGACACAACCTTTTTGGTTCCCAGTGAACATGAAGTTATATTTGGGCTTGACTATAGTTAAATATGTGTGCAAAAATCACAAAAACCAATTGACTAATATAACATCTTATTAAAAAAGTCACTGTTGAGAAGGTTAACTATCAGTTGAGCCTTTAACTCTTTGCAAATCTTTTGCTGGTGGAGGGTTTTATAAAAACGCAATTATCCAAAATGATCATTTCCAACTATTATGGTTATACCGGTCCCTTCTTGATCCTAAGTGCCCTTCACCCGCCCCCTGACGTCCCCCACCCCCCACCCTCTGTGGCAAATACTGACCAGTCCTCCTGGCCCAGGATCACTTTGGACAGGAACTGAACATTCAAAGTAGGTAAAGAGATATACCTGATAACCTTTCAGTAACTGTATTGCAAACTAAAGGCAGAAAGAAAGGGGGGTGGGAGAGTGCCTGTCATAGAGGGAGGTGGGGGGGGGGGGATGGAGAGGAGGGGAAGGAAACTGGGAACATTGGTGTTGGGAAATATACACTGGGGAGGGGACAGGTGTGAAACATTTTATGACTGAAACCTAATCATGAACAACTCTGGAAATGTGTATCTCATTAAAAAAGTAATTACCTGTGTAGCACGGTAAGCTGTCTAAGGTTCGCATAAGCATGGCAGGCAGTCAGCTATTATGCACTAGGATCGCTATTCCAGTAGCTAGAATGCTGAAATGCTTCTACACTAGCTGGTAAAAAGCACTAACTAATCAGCAAAATTAATTACTGATATCAAGCCCAACGTTTATTTCGGCATATGTCCCCTTTGGTCCCGAGAACCTACCCAGTCAGTGCAACTTGCTCCTGACAGTTGATGACTTTCCTTTCTCTCCCTCTCTTGCTTCCCCCCAGACAGTGATGATGCTCCTACTAGTCACTGGTTAGTCTAAACTGTGCCATCAGGGGAGGGATCTTGTGCTGCCACTGCAGTAGTGCAAGATGGGAAGGGAGCGGGACTGCAGGCCCTCAGGTTCCCTTCACCCCCCCTCTTCTCCTCCCACTCAGCATTGTATGCCTTAGTCTCAACCAGTTCCTGAATGGGCCTATCCTGACTCACAGGATTAAGAGAAAATAATAAAGTATTTGCAGCACCAAGAAGCAACAGCTATTCTTGCAAAGGGCCTGAGAGGATCTGCAGAGACTCATGAAAGGTTTTAATGTTACGGGAAGTCCTTAGAAGAATCCCTATGTCCCCTTTGGTCTCAAACAGAGGCAGCATTTATCTGCCTCACTGTAAGGCCTGTATGCAGAGGATTAGAAACTAGAAAGATGTGTGTTATTTTTATCACATGCAAGTAGCTTAACTATACATATACACATATAATTTAATTTAGAAACAAATGTGGTAAACATTTAAGACTTTTTAAGGAAAAATATTCCGCTGGATCATATTTAGGATATTGAATCACCACCCATAAACATTTAAGACTTGTGCAAAAAAAAACAAACACAAAGAGTGCTTCCTTGGATGTCTTTACAACTTCTTGATACTGTCCCAAGGAACTTCGGGACTACTTGATTTGGTTTAAAATCAAGTACTTTTTCCATATAAAACTCTAAAAGGTCTGTGTGTGGGTAGTGTGTGTGGCTTGAGATATGGCAACAAACTCATCTTTCTACTTAGCAGCATTTGGACAGCAGGGCAGATTCTAGCAGAGTTAATGGCAGAGGCTTACCCGGTACTGCAGGAGCGCTTCTATAGCTCTAAACTCAAAGGGCAAAGGGTATGTGACGAGCTGGCCCTCTCCAGCCAGCTGTGAGGGTAGTTCTCGGAATAGCCACTGCTCTAAATTTAAATTCCGATAATCTAACACCAGAAGACACTCTGGAGTTATCACAGCTTTCAAATACTGTAAGAAACAAACATATTGTCAGTGCATGTCCGTGCACATGTATACATGCATGCAAGCTGTAGGGCTGTAGAAAAAAATAACACTCATCATATGGTTTAATACTCTTACTAGTTTTGGGTTACTCCCTTACCAAGTCACGGTTTTTCAAAAACAAAGACTTTATTAAAAGAAGACTGAAATGTCTGTAAGTCTTGACACTTCTTCCTCATTCTCACAGAGTAAGAAACTGAAAACTGATTCCTTAAGGTTTCCAGGGTGAGGCCAGAGACACAGCACAGGGATTAAGGTGCAAGTCTGGCACGTGCCTGACCCTGGCTTGATCCCTTCAGTTTCCTTGTCCTGAGTAATCCCAAAGTACAGAGCCAGGAGTAAGCCCTGAGCACAGACAGGTATAGCCCAAATACCACCCCTGCCCTCCAAGACTTCCAGGGTGAAGGAGACACCTCACACTTACACACAAAGGGCCCTGGGTTTGATCCTGACACTGCAAAGCACCCTGAGCACCTCTGGTGCAGCCCCAGTGGACCCCTACCCCACTGTAGGACCAACCTCCCCCCAAAAAACCCCCAACAACCCACAAAGAACTTCCAGGGTGATCAAAGGAAAAGAGCATAAAATAAACGGGACAAAGAAAGTAAGCCTTGAAAGTCCTTGGATAAACTTTCAGGAAACAATTTTAGTTTTAATCACAACTAGTTTGGCTCAAATAGGACAGTTTTCTTTTTAAAGTATCACCAACATGTATTAAACTAATTTGAGATTATGAAGCTAAAAATAGCCTAGGGCTGTACTTAACACCACTAAGAAATCGTCAGCATTCTAAAGCCTTGCATCTTTTGTCACTATTGTTTTTCTCTGTGCTGGGGACTGAACCTGCAGCTTTCCTTTCTTAAGTCCAGTGCTGTGTCACTAAACTTCACCCATAGTCCCAGACTAGCATCACTTATGTTAACAGTAACAGGGAGGAGTGGCCAGGAGACGACTCCTAAGCACATGCTTTGCATGCTGGAGGCCCTGGGCTCAATGCCCAGCACCATAAGGTCGCTGGAGCACTGCCAGGAGTAGCTCCTGAGCACCACCAGGCTAGCTGATCTAGACACTGACCAAGGTGGCTACTGAGTCATGTGCTACTGAGACTGCAGTGGAGAAATGTAGCTGGAATAAAATACTTTACCTCCATTCTCATGATAATTCTATTGTTCCTTGTCGTAATGCTCATTAAATGCTGAAATCTCAAATCTCTGGCTTGAAGCCCTAACTCTTGATATAAATCAGTTTTCTTCCTTTCTAGAAAGAAACAGAGTCAATTACAATTGGATTGAATGGTCAAGAAACTTGTACTTTTGTCCTGGAGTGATAGTATAGTGGGCATATCTTGCTTGTCTTGCATGTGCAGACCTGCTTCTATCCCTGGCATCCCATTGGGGTCCCTGAGCCCCCCAAGGAGTGATCCCTAAGCTCAGGGCAAGGAGTAAGCCTGGAGCACTGCTGGGTGAGGCCGCTCCCCCACCCCACAATAAAATAAACTTGTACTTTTAGTGAACCTCGACTACCACCATCAAGATAATTTTCTATTACTATCAAAAACAAGCTTTTGGGTTTTTTTGGGAGCCACACTGCAGTACCCTACCTGCTTTACGACCTCTTCAGCCCCTTGATTCTTTTCTAGTCTTATTCATATTTCATAAAATTCCTTTGGGCTAAGAAGGCTGTTGGGACCTATATGAAAACCACAGCTTTTCATCATTTAAAATTGTGGTAGCTTTAGAGACAGGTCGTCTTTTTTAAAAAAGACAAACTGAATACAGTTCTGGGGGAATATGTCTAGTTCAGACAACGTCTATTCAATTAGGATAGATGAGCAAATGTGAAGCTTTCCTTTTGCACACCCAACTATGCAAAAAATATTGCACAAAGAAATTCACAAAACACCATCACTCAACTTTCATCAGATCCACTCACTCAACAATTCAGGAAGATGGGATTTTGGAGAAAATGAGATACTCACCAAAAGAAGTAACGTTTCCCGCTTCGTCAAATTTTGTCTGAAGTAAGATAATAAAAACAAAATATTAATTGTCCCCAAATTAGCATACAAAATTGATGGCACTGGTATAAGGTCTTCCTTAGACTGAATTCAGTTTGAGTTAAAATAAAAATCCCTTTCCTGTTGCTTGGGCAAAACTGAGAAAAATGAACATTTTCTTTTGTTCCCCTGGAAATCTGACAGAGGTATAAGTCTTGTGAGTGAGCAACACTCTGATGGTACAAGTGCTCCTCATGGTGGGCAAGGGACTGAGAAGAGTGAATGAGATGAATGAGATACTCAATTCAAACTGCAGCTCTGCATTTTCCTAAATGTGGTAGCTCTCACTAACTGGGAGCCTGGCATCCAGAGGATTTGCTGATGCTGGAGGGGGCTGGAAATTCTAAGTCAAATGGAATGTTAAGTCTTTACTTGATCCTAAGAAGTCTCTCTGGTGGGCGCAGAGGAAAATAATGCTGAAATCGCAAATCTCTGGCTTGAAGCCAGAGAAAAGGTCTTTTATGACAGTTTCAAGTGAAGATTTGATGCTTTATATATTTCTTTAAGCAGAGGGAACATTTTTCTGTAGTATTTGTTCACAGCTAAGCATGAAGATGATCAAGTAATATTTAATGAATCATTTAGTTGGGCTATACTAGTTACAATAGATTATGCATTCGCAGAAAGAGTAAGACAATTATAGATGAAAATTTATGTTAATAACATGACAACCCCAATAATATACATTTTGGCTTGCTTCTCATAAGCTCAAGATGATTATATAAAATATTCCATAAAACATCACTGTTAAAGGGAAATTTTTATCAATACCAGCTTTATTCCACACATTAAAGAAAATTTGCAGTAAATTTCAAAGAAAACAAATTTTAGAGAAAATCATGCCAATATTTTACAGAACACATACTTACTACTCATACTACATATATTTCTTTGTAGATGCTCCTCTACTTTCTACAACATACACTGATTCTTTGGGGGTGGGGTTAGTATTTATCTGAATCACTTTTGATTTACTGAAATTTTCTATTTAAAAAAATAAGATCAGGGCTGGAGAGAGTGCAATGGCTGGAGTGTCTATTCTGCATTCAGGATGCTTGGATTTGATTCCAGCACTGCTTGGTGACCCCCAAGCACCAAGCTAAGAGTAGCTCCTAGCACTGCCAGGCACGGCCCTGAATAAACAAAAAAGATCATATAAACTATGATTTTAGGGGTGTGTGTGGCCACACCGAGGGCTACTCCTAGCTCTCAGTACTCAGAAGACAGAACTGGGTTTGGCTGCACACAGGTAATACAGATATGATGTGTAAGTATGATTTTTTGTAAAAAACAAAAAAACCCAAGTAATATCATGGTCTATGGTGCGATTCAGTCGACATAATAGATACTATTAGTTATAAATATACCACACACACTCACCACGGTAAACACTGGGGACACACTGGCTAAAGTGGCTTGAGAGACATCAGCAGTTCTAAACCGGTACACTTCACCTGGAGAAGAAATTAAGAGAATTACCAGCCAAGCCATTTTCATGCAAAGGTCAAAGACAACTCTCTTAGCAAATGGTCATTCAGCTGTTTTATTATTTTTGAACTTTATTCCTAAAGGAAAAAGAAACAACTCTTTTATTTTTTGAGGAGGGCACACCCTATGGTGCTGAGGGTCACTCTTCGCATTGGAGACCATATGATGCACTGGACTGATTTGAATCTAGGCCTTCCCCAAACAAAACATGTATACCAGCTCTTTAAACCATCTCTTTGGTCCCAAGAACTAAAATTTCTATTGTTAGTAGTAGATGATTGTTAGGTTTGGCAGGAAATGATTTCTTTAAAAAAGGTCGTGAGGCATTCAAATAATTTAAAAATTCCAATCACTTATATTCTGATCAATTTTTATCTCAGAGTTGCAAAGAATAGGTTTGGCAGGAGAAGATTTCTTTAAAAGAAGGTGACGAGGTATTCGAATAAAGATTCCAATCACCCTTTTTCCGATCAACTTTTGTATCTCAGAGTTACAATTAATGTACAACACAATCTGGGGCTAGAGTGATAGTACAGTGGATAGGGCATTTGCCTGCACGCGGCCCGACCCGGGTTCGATTCCCAGCATCCCATATGATCCCCTGAGCATGGCCGGGAGTAATTCCTGAGTGCATGAACCAGGAGTAACCCCTGTGCATCGCTGGGTGTGACCCAAAAAGAAAAAAGTACAACACAATGTTCTGAGATTTAAGGAAAATGTCCATTTTCCAGGCATCATTTAAAAAGGCTCCTCAGGGATGGAGCAATAGTATAGTGGGTGGAGTGCTTGCCTTGCACAAGGTCAACCTGGGTTGGGTTCCTGGTACCAGATATGGTCCTTGAGCCTGCTAGGAGTGACCTCTGAGTGCAGGGCCAGGAGAAAGCCTTGGGCACTGCTGGGTATGGCCCCAAAAGAAAATAAACACAAGGCTTTTATGCAAATGATACTGGTGGGCACATTTTAGAAGCCAGATTCCAGGTACCACTTGACCTTCAAGCATTTCAATATGATCTGACCGAACCATAAATTGTGAAGCTACAGATTTTACTTTTCTATGTATTAGCATCTCTTCCAGATAACACTTTATAGTGATGACTGATTCAAAAAGCCCACGACACTGGGATGCAGCACACAATGACCTGGAATAAAGATTTTCAAATCCTTCTCTGAAAATAACTGCTGAAAACAACAGATGGGGTTGAAGAGACCTCTGAGGAAGTATAAGCAAGTAGATTTCGGGACCGATGAAGGACGCTGTCCAAAATACAAGCAACATTGGCTAAGGGCATGGCAAAGAAAGGGGGGAAAAAAAACTCAGCAATTCCCGTCTGCTTCCAAAGCAAACCACCCCAATCCACAGACGTGTAGATCTATCTCATTTCTGATCTTTTTCTTGGGGGGAGAGGGGGCATACACACTCATTTTAATGATTCTTTTTATCAGCCTCTGAAGTTGGGCACACACACGTGTCAACGCTGAACAGAAAATATCTAGAGCCACGGAAGCCAGCACACACACAAATACACACACACGTGTCAATGCTGAAAGGAAAACATCTAGAGCCACGGAAGCCAGCACACACACAAATATACACACACACACACACACACGTGTCAATGTTGAAAGGAAAACATCTAGAGCCAGGAAGCCAGCACACACACATACATACACACACGTATCAATGCTGAACAGAAAACATCTAGAGACACAGAAGCCAGCGCACACACAAATACACACGTGTCAATGCTGAAAGAAAAACATCCAGAGCCACGGAAGCCAGCGCGCACACACACACACACACACAAATACACACACGTGTCAACACTGAAAGGAAAACATCTTGAGCCACGGAAGCCAGCACACACACAAATACACACACACACAGGTGTCAACGCTGAAAGGAAAACATCTAGAGCCACGGAAGCCAGTACACACACATGTCAACGCTGAACAGAAAACATCTAGAGCCACAGAAGCCAGCGCACACACACAAATACACACGTGTCAATGCTGAAAGAAAAACATCCAGAGCCACGGAAGACAGCACACACACACACACACACACACACACACACACACAAATACACACACACGTGTCAACGCTGAAAGAAAAACATTTAGAGCCACGGAAGCCAGCGCGCACACACAAATACACGCACACACTCGTGTCAACGGTGGAAAAAAAACAAACCATCTAGAGTCAGGGAAGGCAGCGCCTTTCCCAGCCGGCGACAAGCCCAGGCGCCACTCGGGGGAGAGATTGTGACCCTCCACATGGGTCCTCCAGCCGGGAGTGGGACAAGCAGGCGCTGACGGACAGGGTCGGGCTCGGGGCCGCTCGCGCGAGGACGACAGCGCGGCGCCAGTGAGGCGCCAGGGTGGGGGCCCTGCTCGTCCCGACGCGGTCGCCTGGGTGCCCAGGCCACGCGTTCACCCTCCTTACCCCTTGGGACGGGAGTGGAGGTGGGATACAAACCCACACGCCCCGGTGACGGACCCCCAGTCCCCACTCGCCGCCCACTGGGTGCACCTCGGGGGGGTCCCCAGCGTCTCGACCCCGGTGAGGCGCGAGGCGAGAGACGAGCACTCTGGAGAGAGCACGCGCGCGAGGGGATCCAATGTGGGGCCGGGGAGTCCCCCCATCAGGGCCAGGGTTCGACATGGTTCGGTTCGGGGCGACGGGGCGCCCGGGCGTCCGGGACGTACCTGCCGCGCGCAGGCTGAGGGGCCCGCGCCTGAGGAGCTCGGCCGCGCGGCCGCCGGCGACCGGAAGGCGAGCCCCGGAGGTCAGGGACAGGGCAAAGAGAGTGCGGCGGGAGAGCGCCGCGGCGCGGGGCAGAGGGCGGCTGAGGCGCCGCAGGCACTCCATGGCGCTCGGGTGAGGCAGCAGCGCGGGCCCGGCGCCTCATGCCGGACGGTGACAGGGCGACCGGCGCTACGCGAGCCGGCGCGGAGGCACTAGGGGCGGGGGGCGGGGCGCTCGCGGCGGACTGCGCAGGCGCGAGCGCGGACCGCGCAGGCGCGGTGCCGCCGGCGCATGCGCGGACGCCGCCTCTCGCCGGGGCGCGCTGTTCTCGCACTCTGCCAGTCGCAGCCGGTGGCCGGCGTAGGTGCCCGGCGGTCGCTCGGGTAGCGGGTGGTGCCCGTGCGTGGGGTGGGTGTGTTCACTCGAGACTCGACTCTTGGGAGCTTGCAGTAGGCGAGCCGCCAAGGGCCCAGTGAACCAACCAGTTCAATGTCAAAAAAAAAAAAAAAAGAGGCCCAACCTACGAGTCTGTCGTTCTGCAGTTTCTGGAAACGTTTTCCTAAAACGATCTCTTGGAAGATGAGGATAGTTGTGCCCCTTCCTTACCTCAGTTTGTGTTCAAGCCCAAGGATGCAAAGATAGACTCAGGAAGAATGATGTACTTTTTTGCTAGTGACGAATGCCTAGTTTATCCTTCGCAGTGCTCAAATGTAAGTGCGTGTTTCGAGGTACCGTTATTTTTCGTGTCAAGAAAAAAAATGTGGACAAAATGTGCTTTCTGATTATATCGGAAGATTCATCCCAGTTTCAGTGTTTTTTTTTTTTTATTATTTTGCTTTATGTTTTGGGGCCACCCTAGCAGAGCTCAAGGTTGTCTCCTGCCCCTGTGTTCAGGCATCACAGCTCAGGGGACCATATGGGGTTTTCCCGAGATTGAACCCAAGTGTCCTACCTGCTGTACTCTCTCTCTCTCTCTCTCTCTCTCTCTCTCTCTCTCTCTCTCTCTCTTAATCACTTCTGGTGGTGATCCAATTATTTATTGGATCACTGTGAGAACAGTCACAAAGCCTTTCAGTTTAAGTCTCGGTTGGTCATACAATGATCAAGCACCCATCCCTTCACCAGTGCACATTTTCCACCACCAAGAACCCCAGTATACCCGACTCCAACCCCCCACCCCCCGCCTGTATGGCCTATTTCCACTTCACTCTCTCTACGTTGATCACATTCAATATTTTGACCAAAAAACCAACATTATTATTTGGAATTTTCCCCAACATTCAGACCTGCCAAAAAGACATCATTAGATAATTTGTTTTCTATTGCTGACTATGAAGAGCATATGATGTCGTGTGGCCACAATAACAGCCACATGAATTTGGATTTCTGATATTTTAATAATAAGCCTAGAGGATCTGCTGTACTCTCTTTATGGTGCCAGGCAGGTTCAGTGATTTTAAAAATGAAAAGGTCTTAAAATTGACAAAATACAGGCTTTTTGTGTGTTTTTTTGGGGGGTGCCACATCCTATATTGCTCAGGAGTTATTCCAGGCTTTGCATTTAGGAATGACTTCTGGCGGTGCTGAGGTAACATATGGGATGCTAGGGATAAAACCCAGGTCTTCTGAGTGCAAGGCAAGCACTTTCCTCACCCGCTGTACTGTCTTTCCAGCCCCCCCCCATGTAGGAATATTAATTTTGGAAGTTAAAAAATTATCTTTTTATTGGATCTACATGCGATGTGCATTGATGGTGTGATACAGTTACAAAGTTATTCATGATTGGGTTTCAGTTCCAATACTGGTTCCTTCATCAGTGTACATTTCCCACCCTAATGTCCCCAGTTTCCTTCACAACTCCCCCCCACCAGCCTGCCTCTGTGGCAGACACTTAACTTCTCTCTCTCTCTCTCTCTCTCTCTCTCTCTCTGTCTCTTTCTCAGTAAACACGTCTTTTTATACTAATAATATGGGGTCCAAAAGATTTCACAGATTTCCGATCATGTGTGAACAAAGAGCTATAAGAAAGCCATTTTGTTTGTTTTGTTTTCCTGTAGGGTACTTGGGATTGGTAGTGGATTGGAGGTGGTAGATTGAAGGCTTCAAAGGAGAGAATGACTTCCGTCAGCACTAAGAAATAGGAAAGACTTCCAACATTGCTTCCTGGATGCTTGGAATCTGGGAGGAGTCCCGGGCATAGAGACTATGATTGGTAGGTTTTTTTCTTTACTAGAGGCTTCAAAGGCCAAATACATCTTTAAAAAATAGTACATCCCTTCAGAGATATTTCTTTGAGGGAGTCTATGGGAAATAATTTTTTGTAAGTTGACCCCCAACCTTCCAAACAATGAGACGAGTCTGCTCAGGATGACCCTCACAAAGTTTTCTACACATGCTGAGACTTGGACTTAAATTCATAACCAGGACTTTGAGTTTGATTGAAAAAGATGGGAGCTGTTGGAGAACTTTGAGCAGGAGATAAGAGCCAAGAGCTCCCTCTCTTATTTATGTCTAAATAGATCACTCTTTTGTGGGGAAGAGGTTCTAGAGAATCAACAGATGGTGGTGATGCTTTGGACTGAGGAGTTGGTGGAAAAGAGGCGGCAGATTTGGCTTGGTGCTGTATAACGAAACTCTGTTGACAGTATTTGTGGAAGGAATTTAAGAAAGAGGCATAGGAATAGATGACACCATTAAAAAACCTGTTTTTAAAAAATTGATTAAGATTCTGTTCTGTGATTTACAATTCTGTTAATGATGGTTTCACATGCACATGATTTCATCATGCATGTATCCACCTCTCTCCTCCTAGATCCCTAATGCCCTTCCTTTTTAATCTCCACCTCAACTTCCTACCCCTACCAACTTGGGAATCAGTTCTTCAATTGTATTGCACCATTTTTAAAAAAAGGATCACTAGTTCCTTTTACTTATTAATTTTTCTATTAATAAATATTTATATTAAAATTTTGTTAAAGTTATTTATTTTAATATAATAAAATTATATTAAATGTATACAAACATTTATATTAATCACCAGGTATTTCTTCTGGTGGTGCTCGGGGACCACAGGGGATGCGGGGGAATCAAACCTGGCTTGGCTGCCCATGGCAAATGCCCTACCCACTGTGTTATTGCTCCAGCGCCATATGTTGCACCATTTTTGTATTAAACATCTGTGCAATGATTGGTGCCCTTTCTGAAACAAGGAATTTTGGGGAAGAGCAAGTTTAGATGAAAAAAGCTTATTGCTTGGCAGTTGGTGCTAAATGTTTATGCTAAATCTGGTAGCTCTACTCGATATCTTAGGATGGTGTCTGGTAGCTCTACTCGATATCTATTCTATATCTTAGGATGGTGTCAAGTAAGCAGCCTAGAGTATGGAGCAGACGTTAGAACTTTAGAACTTGATGTATATACTTAGGACTATAAGGAAGAATTTAACATGTACACTGGGGGAGAGAGAGAGAGAGAGAGAGAGAGAGAGAGAGAGAGAGAGAGAGAGAGAGAGAGAGAGAGAGAGAGAGCTCAGAGCTTAAACCTTGCTTGTGTCTAACCCTGATTCAATTCTTGGCACTGCATAGAGTTCTGTGAGCACTGCCAAGAGTGATCCCTGAGCATAAAGCCAGTAGTAACCCCAAGCCACCCCCAATATAGTAAAATATACTGTTGGGTAAGATCTCCTAGGAAGTTAAACAGTAGAGGGAAAGGTGTGATGGCAGAGCTCTGGATCCTCCAGCATTTGAAGCTCATGAAGAGGAGGGGATCTAGCAGAGGAACATGCTAAGGAGTGGTTAGGAAGGAGTCATATCAGAGCGGGTATGATCCGAGAAGTCAAATTAAAAACAGTGCTTCAACAGTGACATGATCAGTTACGTCAGATGCTAACGAGAAGGCTAAAGTTGGCTATCTTCAGGAGGAAGGAAAATTTCTCCTACATCTCTTCTGTGCTTTCTGGGCTAGTTAAGTAATCAAATCAGTATCAGACAGATCAATAGGAGAAAGACATTGTGGAAAGGGAAAGGAGAGGAGTATTTTTTTGTGGGGGGAGTGGGTCGCTAATAGGTGAAGTGCAGTGCATAAGGGCCTGGCTGTTATGGAAATTGAAAACTTGCTTTCTTGATTTATTAGAGTTTTGAGAAGAGGGAAGGAGAGAGAGAGAGAGAGAGAGAGAGAGAGAGAGAGAGAGAGAGAGAGAGAGAGAGATCTAAGGTGTCTCCAGAGTCTCTAGAGGGGAAAAGCAAAGGAGAGTAAGAGAGAGATACGTGTTCAAGAGAGAGCATGGACTGGAAAAAACATTTTGGAAGAAGGCATCACGAGCTCTACAGCAGGGCACATTTCTTTCTCTTTATTTAAATCAAGTGATATCGCATTATAACAGCACGTAATTCCAGGTGTATGTTGTTGAAATCAACTTGTATATATAACTACATAAGTTCAGCTCTAGAAGTCCGATTCTGTCCTTCACCCTACAGTTGTCCCTTTTATCTTCTTGCCAGACAGATTGGGGGGGGGCTTTATTTTGTGTGTGAGCTCACTTCAGGCTGCTCTAATGGCCCTCAAGTTTAAAGAAAAAAAATACTCTCAAGAGAGAACATGGACTTCTCCAGACTGCAGAGAGCCCAAAGCTGAGTTCTGAGGAAGGTTAAGTATGGATATTTTTTCTAGATGCCTTTGACTCAAATTTTTCACGCAAGTCGGAGTTGATGAGGTTTTCCTGGGGAAAACCGTTGAACTTTGGTGTTCCATTTCTGAGTTCCTACTGCAGCTTTCCATGCATTCCTGCTGTCTCTCCTCTCAGAGACCCACCCCTACTTGCACCTGGAATTATGCATTTCAGTGGTTTTTCTGGGCTCCTGAGATGGGTCCTTTGTGTCAGAGTTCCCTATACCTTTGGGTTGCTTTAGGTTAGAACTGTTTCCCTCAACAAACAAGTGGCATGCTTCCCCATTCTGGGCATTGCCTGCATCTCAACTTGGGATGTGTGATTTATTTCTTTCTTTCTTTCTTTCTTTCTTTCTTTCTTTCTTTCTTTCTTTTTTACTTTATGATATACCCTCAACTCTCTCCCTTGGAGAAGCCCGTGTCCTCTCCTGAATGCCTTACTCTACTTATTAGGTCCCTGCAGCATCCCTTCCCTGAGGTCTCACAACCAATACTAGTTCCAGACCTGGCCACTCTCCTGGAGACCAAAA